AAAGATAGGTGCTCTCTCGTCTGAAGTCTTTCATTCTGGTAACAGGGACGATGCCCCATCCCAAGCTGTTTTAAAAAAGGCACGTCATGAATCTAGGGTTATCCGTGTCCCCGACCCCGGCAACCAATGGGATTCGCTATATTCACTGAGAAAGTTGCAGTACGAAAGGTCCAAAAATCAAGTAATTCGTGGAACCTTGCAGCAAATTTCAAGGGTTCCTTCGGGGATTATGTTTTGGTCAGAGGCTTCGGTAAAAAAATTCATTCAAAATTCCTCTATTGACATTATATACATTGACGCTACTGGTGGAATTTTGGCGTCCGATGGGCATAGCCCATACTACGTCTATGAAATTGTTACGCGTCATCCACAAAAAGGCAAATCACCCCTGGCCGTTGCCACGTTTGTAACAAATCGGCACAATATTCCAAATATTTCGAACTTTCTCATGCAATTCCGTTGTGATGTTTCCAAACTAACTAAAAGGTTCCCCGCGAAAGTTTTTATATGCGATGGAAGCATGGCCCTTATAAAGTCAATAATTCAGGTTAACATGCGGGAAAGTTTGGAATCGTACATTTCGCGATGTTACGCTGTCATTGAAGGTACCGCAAATTTAGATATGCTTTCACGCCCCTTTCTTCATTTATGCACGAGTCATACCATGAAAAATTTTAAACAGTTAGCTTGTAGACTACCAAAATTAAAACGTGAACTAATGCATATATTTGGACTACTCGTTTGTTGCGGAGAGTTGAAAACAGTCCGTAAAATTGTTTATCATTTCACTATTTTATTAATTTGCCAAAATTCTAATCTTGCGCATGATAGTTGGACTTACTTGCAAAAGCAAATTGAAAAACAGAACATTCCTGTGCCTTCTGATGGTGAATTAGACCTAGGGACATCGGATGAACTTTTACCAGATGAAGATTTGAGCGAGATAAATCCTTTTACGGAATTAATGAATTGCGACATTTCGTCAGCCATTGAAATAGCAAGTAATGCAGAAATTTTGGGTTCCAACAATTTTTACTGCCCGGAAATATTGTCCAAATTTAAAACGTTCTATGTCCCGAAGATATGTCTCTGGGGAAGTTTGATGGTAGGTGATTTGGGAAGATATGGTAATTCAATTGGCTATTTGAAATATTCGACTTTTTATGCAAAAGTCTCAGCTTCTGAGAAACAAAACATATCGCGAGATAATCGCACTCAGGGAATCATGGAAAAAAGTCAGCAGGAACTAAAGCGAACTCGTTTAAACAACAGACGATTTAAACGTCTTGACGAGATTGCTATAGTTTATGATGAACTCCATGACTCTCTGATTAGGGAATATGAAGATAATTTGATTGTTTGTCCAAAAAAAAGGAAAGTTGAAAACAATGACCAAATTGACCAAGAAATTGAGAAATGGAGTAAACGATCCCGAATTCAGGGTAAAGACAAATGTAAAGGAGTGTATCTTCAGCCCCCCATTAGACCTCTAAAGATGTTTCGACCTCAAGAACTTTCTAATAACGATAGCCCAATTCTAATAAAAGCTGACGAAGCGTCTACTACACAATCTATGATGTTGCGGTTCGTCTCACCGAAAATTCCATTCCAAAAATTTGTACATTTATCTGATGTCGATCATAAAATAATGAATTCCAAAACTAATTTTAGAAGAGACTGGTTTACTTCGGATATTATGAACACCGCACAATTAATTTTGTCATCTCGGTATTCTGAAGTAGACGGGTTGCAAAGCACGACTTTTTATACAACGCTATCTGGCCCTAAAGTGTATGTTCCTTCTGAAAAATTTGTTCAAATTTTATTTGTGCACGAAAATCACTGGGTAACAGCATCAAATATATTCACCGCCGACCAAAATACTATACAGATTTATGATAGCTCCTATATGAAGTACAATGAAAATGACAAATATGCGATTCCGCTTCTTATGCGGCCAAGGCAAGGAACAAATAAAGTACAAATTGAATTCCCCGTTGTCCAGCAACAAACTTTAGGTGCATCATGTGGCCCATTCTCGATTAGTTTTTGCATAGCCCTATGTAACAAAATACGACCAGAGCATATCCTATTTGACGAGAAAAATCTTAGGAAGAAAATATGCGATGGTATAGTCTCTGAAAATTTTTCGTCGGTATTTAACATCAACAAGAAACGTGTTATACCCGCGCCCAGGCGATTGGAAATTCCGATTTTTTGCAACTGCCAACTGTCTTACATTGAAAATCAGACCATGATCGAATGCACTTCATGTTTAAAATGGTACCATCCGAAATGTTGTAGTATTCCAGTGTCAGTTGAGGCACTGGAAAACAGCGAAATAGAATGGAATTGCAAAAAGTGCATTCGATGCTAAATTACATGCAAAGCAATATTCAACTAGATATGATCATTTACATTCTCATTTTTTTTAGGTACATCATTCAAGTCAGACGAAGGATCAGTCTGTTTTACCTATTTGGCTTAACATGCCCTTTGCCAGGTTTTTCTCTCTTGGTCTAGTCTATAATATTGAGATGAAAACCGCCACGATGGTTGGCACCTTGACGTGGTGTGGTGGCTTTCTACTAAGACCAACCATTTTAAAATTTTTTTTTAAATATAAGATAGATCCCTAGTATGAAAGAACGAGATGATTTCACAATTCGTTTATGTTATCTTACTTAAATTGAGGCACGCCATTATAATGTATACAGTATCCTGGGTTGTGATAGCGTTGTTTATTAATTTTTCTCAAACATGGTTCGAGGTTACTTCACAATATGTTCTTTTGGGATATTTTATTCAAAAGTGGGGCACGTAATCGAAAAGTCCAAAATTTGGGGTTGAAATACTGATATTTATTAATTTTGATGTAAAATTCATGATTGTGCCATGTTTGACAAGATATTATTATATGTTCCCGACATACAATTTTTCTCAAACATGGTTCGAGGTTACTTCACAATATGTTCTTTTGGGATATTTTATTCAAAAGTGGGGCACGTAATCGAAAAGTCCAAAATTTGGGGTTGAAATACTGATATTTATTAATTTTGATGTAAAATTCATGATTGTGCCATGTTTGACAAGATATTATTATATGTTCCCGACATACAATTTTTCTCAAACATGGTTCGAGGTTACTTCACAATATGTTCTTTTGGGATATTTTATCCAAAAGTGGGGCACGTAATCGAAAAGTCCAAAATTTTGGGTTAAAATGCCGATATTCACTAATTTTGATGTAAAATTCCTGTTTGGGACATATTTAACAAGATATTAATATATGTTCCCGACATACAATTTTTCTCAAACTTGGTTCGAGGTTACTTCACAATATGTTCTTCTAGGATATTTTATTCAAAAGTGGGGCACGTAATTGAAAAGTCCAAAATTTTGGGTTAAAATGCCGATATTCACTAATTTTGATGTAAAATACCTGTTTGGGCCATGTTTAACAAGATATTATTATATGTTCCCGACATACAATTTTTCTCAAACTTGGTTCGAGGTTACTTCACAATATGTTCTTTTAGGATATTTTATTCAAAAGTGGGGCACGTAATCGAAAAGTACAAAATTTGGGGTTGAAATACTGATATTTATTACTTTTGATGTAAAATTCCTGTTTGGGCCATGTTTAACAAGATATTATTATATGTTCCCGACATACAATTTTTCTCAAACTTGGTTCGAGGTTACTTCACAATATGTTCTTTTAGGATATTTTATTCAAAAGTGGGGCACGTAATCGAAAAGTACAAAATTTTGGGTTGAAATACTGATATTTATTACTTTTGATGTAAAATTCCTGTTTGGGCCATGTTCAACAAGATATTATTATATGTTCCCGACATACAATTTTTCTCAAACTTGGTTCGAGGTTACTTCACAATATGTTCTTCTAGGATATTCTATTCAAAAGTGGGGCACGTAATCGAAAAGTCCAAAATTTTGGGTTAAAATGCCGATATTCACTAATTTTGATGTAAAATTCCTGTTTGGGCCATGTTTAACAAGATATTATTATATGTTCCCGACATACAATTTTTCTCAAACTTGGTTCGAGGTTACTTCACAATATGTTCTTTTAGGATATTTTATTCAAAAGTGGGGCACGTAATCGAAAAGTACAAAATTTGGGGTTGAAATACTGATATTTATTACTTTTGATGTAAAATTCCTGTTTGGGCCATGTTTAACAAGATATTATTATATGTTCCCGACATACAATTTTTCTCAAACTTGGTTCGAGGTTACTTCACAATATGTTCTTCTAGGATATTTTATTCAAAAGTGGGGCACGTAATCGAAAAGTCCAAAATTTTGGGTTGAAATGCCGATATTCACTAATTTTGATGTAAAATTCCTGTTTGGGCCATGTTTAACAAGATATTATTATATGCTCCCGACATTCCATTTTTTCTGAAACTTGGTTCCAAATGACTTCACAATATTTTGTTTTGAGATATCTTATCTAAAAGTGGGGCACCTAATCGAAAAGTACAAAATTTGGGTTAAAATGCCGACATTTATTAATTTTAATGTGAAATTTCTTTTTGGCCATGCTTGACAATGTAATATTATATGTTCCCAACATATAAATTTCATAAAACTTGAATTAGGATGACTTCAATATAAGTTCTTTTTTTATATCATCTTCAAAAATCTGCCCGGCCATCGGAAATTACAACTAAGTTTTGTGTAATTCCGAGTGTAGCAAAATTTCGCCGTAAATCTGGCAAGTACTTTGCAACTAGCTTTCCTTTTTTCCGATGCGGCATTTGAGTGCCATGTTAAATCGTTTTCTGGCAACGCTATTTTACCGTTCCGAAAACGAGAGAGATGTCCGCTGAGAGATGTCTGCTAGGGTAACTTTGGTTCCAGCAAGCTTCGAGGCATTCAGAATGCAGAAGCGCAGCATCTCGTGTAGTTTCGTATCTAACGTTCTTATAGTAGGCGTAGCATTACATTTTTTTGACATGTAAATCCAATGTCGCTGGCAATGGTGCTGGATAGAAAATAATCAAAATACTATTTTAGCAAATGATTCGGAATGCAAATCTAAATAACAATTTGGGAATATCGAAATTCAGTAAAATATGATGAAATACCTAGTATTGTTAAAGGTAAAAGTATTATGCTTTCAATTTTCATATGTAAACTAGGCCTCTATTGCCTTCTTTGGAGAGGCAGGTGCAAAATTTATAGTCGAGAAGGTCAAATGCAACACCGATCTCATCTAGGTGGAATTTAATCTAAATTTCGATATGGGTATTGCGTATTGGCACTACAGCCTGGCGTGAATAATAAAATTATTATTAGTACCGGTACGGTGCTGTATCTAGAGTTGCCAACCGTTCTTTATTTCAAAGAACAATCCTTTGATAAAGTTTTTCAGTCCTTGTCCTTTTTAGCATTTAGGAAAAATGCTAATTGTCCTTTATTCTTTCCAACGTAGTTTTGACCGATAGTTATTCGCTTTTTATTAAATATGTTTTTGTTGTGTATATGTTTTCTGGTGGATAAAACAAATAAACTCTCTCCCTCTCTCTGTGTTTTATGTTGTTCTGTTCTTAAAAAATCGCCTCTGTGCTCTGTTTACGTATTTGCAATCTTTTAATCATTCTTTTTAATTTCGCTTTGGTCTGGCTCAAATAGCCAAAGAAATAACAATTTCATTAACATTTCAAATATTTTACATTAATTTTCCGTAAATGGCAACACTCCAAGATTTGAGTAAATTTCAGTTCCTGAAATTCTACGTATAATTGGTCTCTATGACATCCACAATTAAACAATGCGGTTTTTGTAAATGCTTGTGTATTCATAGTATGTTATCCCATTATCTAGAACGGTAATCTGTGTCCTTTATTGAAACATTTCATAGTTGGCAACCCTAGCTGTGCCGTATTATTGTATTACCTGCTTTTTGCTGCTTAGTCTGAGTCTTACCGGTATCAAAACGGATTTTACCCCCAATACCCCTTAAACGCAAAGTGGATGTTTTGGATCTTCTTTGCTTGCCCAGTCTGCCAGTAGCCTATTGTATACCTAACTTGTGAAAAAAAATCAGACCAGACAAAAGTAGTTTACAGAAGCAAAACTAGCTTCTCATATATAATTCATCATATTTCTGTATTTCAGCTTTAAAGTTTACCTGGAATAGTCATTTTCAGCTGCTTCTGAATTCAATGCTTTCATGAACCTGTATAATGAAGATATTTGTGGGTAACCTTCCATCTGATTGTGCTCGTGCTGATATCATTGACCTGTTTGAAAAGTATGGAAGTGTTAAAGATTGCGACATAATCAAAAACTATGCCTTTGTGCAAATGGACGATGAAGATGATGCAAAGGATGCCATTGAGTCACTGAGCAAGTCAAAGTTCATGGGTATATCATTGTAATATTTATAACATGTGTCATTCAGGTCTGCTTTGTTTAGTCATTTCATATTTTGAATGTCATTTGGTAGTTAATATTATAATTACTATTATGTTTACCTTAAATAAGTGCGTCGGTTTAGTTTAATTAATTAAGGATAAGACCATTCATGATGTATTGATTGTATGGGGTCTAGTGAGTTTCGTACTTCAAGTACTTCTAGTGGGCACAGCATAACGATTTTTTTTATATGTCAATCCCAACAACCCCCACCTGACTACGCCATCCAAAAATTACATTGCTATGACATCACAGTGACGTAGTAAGGCCCTCCAAACTATACAAACTGATATCTAAGATATTACTGTCTTATACATATTTGGGGTGTTTTAATGATAACTGAGAAATAGTAGATGTTATTTCAGCAGAATATTTGGTTTGTCTAGTTATAAAAAAAAAAGTATGAAAATATCACTAAGACAGTACCGGTAATACTTTGATTTTAGGAATGAATTGTTAAATAATGTTGTATTTAACTTGCAGGAAATGACCTAACAGTTGAAGAATCCACTAGCCGGCCACGAAATACTCAAAAACTGTATGTTGGTAATTTATCATCAGCGACAAGTCGTAGAGATTTGGAGAAAATGTTTGATAAGTATGGCGATGTTACGTCTTGCGATATCATTAAAGATTATGCATTCGTTCATATGGCGAAAGAAAGAGATGCTGAGAAAGCGATCAGAGATCTGCATGGAGTCACCGTCGATGGTCGCAAACTCATTGTTGACTTTTCTCGGAGTGAAAGCGAGAGACGTGGACTTGGTCGCTATGGTTCTGGTGGTGGCAGAGGATATAGGGATTATAACGACAGGTATGAAATTTTTTCATTTTTGTACCTGCATTGTTCATATTCTACTATGTTTTTACTCCAGTCTTGGATTGATAGATTGTATTGATGGCCATAAGGGGAGTTATGGGCGTTGTGTCATAATTTCTTCTCAGGCGAATTGGTTACTGAGCCAATTAAACCTCGTTTGAAATTGCCAGTTTTTCGAGGCCTGTGCTTACGGTAAATCGATAGGCTAATGAAATAAAAAAGATAGCCCAATTATGAACACCATCTTATTTCATATGCAAGGGAATGTTGAATTTGCTCATGTTTTTATAAAGATGAATTTATGTTCTATACATCATAGTGTTAATTAACTGTTGATGAGATTTCCTCAACAAAATAAATGTTATAATGAAATGCATCAGACCAAAATTGTTACCGTATATCCATTGTGCTTTAAGTAAAGTTTGTAGAAAAAATATATAGTATAGACTTGAACCTTTTAAAAAAATTAACCATTTCTGCCTAATTTGAGCTAAACTTTTCAATGTATGATTTTCCTTGATGTGTTAAGACAAATTTGATCATCTTGGTAAAATAATTGTTTTGGACATTAAAATGTATGATTTCCCTCTAATAGCTTAAATTGGTAATTTACCCAGATTCCTCATATTTCATAAACAAGAAATAGGTAATTTCGTTTATATGGCTGCTAGCTCCAAACATCCCATCAGAATGACCCATGCTATTTTTAAGGAACCAAAAATAATCATCAAATCACTTCCATTTCGAAATATCTACCGGTAAACGATTTCTCACTCAATTTTTTGCGCTAAGTATAAATTCACTGAAACAAATTATAATACAAATTGTACATAATTTTAGCTGGGACGCATGTATGCATTCATTAGAGTTCAACAAAATTGTCTTTTGATGGAGACAAAAAATCATTACTATACGAGTTGTTTCATGTACAATTGAGGCAATTAAAAGTGGTGTTTGCCAAACTATCTAATGGGACGTGGGTTTGTTGCGCTGAAGATTCATTAAATTCATAGTTATGAATTTAACAACAAATGCTTTTTCAGCACCAATATTCACCACTTTTTATATAGTCGACCGCAATCATAAAATTTCTATTTTTTTACTCAGATATTGGGGGCTTCTGGCGATGGTAAAATAAAACTTTGGACATAATGTTAAAAGTGTCGGGTTTTATTCAAAAAATCAAAACTAATAAAAAAAATTCTCCAATTTTTAATGTATGCCATGGATGTTAAAAAATAAGAATTCCCAACTCCAAAAATATTTTTTAATCATAGTTGTGCCACACAATTTGTTATCTATCACATTTTGAGTGTTAATTTAATGTTAATTTATTTTTTGTTCCTACTTGCAAATATTATGTCAGGCAGTTTACAGTTCCGAATGGCCAGCATGGTGTGTTTATCGTGGTGTTTCTCTCTTCCGACCATTTCTCCTCTTCGTTAAACGTGCATTTGCTATTTGTTGTGAGTTCGTTCCTATCAGAAAGATTCCTCCCTCAAACTCTGTCATCAGTATCTCTCCGTTTGCTGGTCGAACAGTCACGTGTCTCCTAAGCAAATGAACAGCTCTGGGATAATCTGTTTGCATCCTCAAATCTAGTTTGCATCGCTTCTCTGCGTTGCATAATCAGCGCGGTTGCCGGTCAATATTGTAAGATATTAGTTTTTTAGATTTAAATGTAGTTATCTACTGCTTCTCATTATTATTTTGTTTGGTAGTTTCGTATTTTTATAAGATAATATCATATATTTTAGTTGGAGTTGAATGTGACATAATGCTTGTTATGTATATATTTCAGGTACAACGATTACAGCTATAATCGTGGTGGGTATGGTGGTGGATATCACAGGGGTGGGGGCGGATACTACAATAATTATAGGGGCTACAATGGTGGTGGGGGTGGCCGATATAATTCGTACAACAGAGACCGTTCTCCTGTAAGGAGGCGTCGCGTGACTAGATCCAGGTCCCGAAGCAGAAGTCCTTCTAAAAGCCCGTCAAGATCTCCAAGTCGAAGCCCAGAGAGGCAGAAGTCTGAAAGTCGAAGCCCAAAGCAACGTAGAAAGCGCACACATAGCCGACACAGTCCTTCCAAGTCTCCTTCTCGTTCACCTGACCGCAGAAGTACATCGTCAAAAAGCAAATAAACAGCATACAACCTCATCAGATTTCTACAGGGCGCTGGATTCAAAACATAAAGACTGCATATTTGTAATATAACTAAACTGTTACAGCATCATCATGATGTTAATACACCTTTTATTATTGATGTAATGTGGTTTGGGAACACTGTTACTTGAATGCATCGCTCATGAAATGACTCGTACATGGTCGGCTATATTTTGTAGCGACGGGTTTAAAACATTTGATTTGCCTAGAAATCACAACGAATCCTGGTTGTTGTTCAGCATTTGATACCAAGTGATTTTCGTGTGTTAAAGGTATTAATAAGTAGGCGCAGAGACTATATTTTGGGTTTGGAGGTTATGATAGTTTCAATATCGCAATTATCAGTTTGTTTTCATTCGAAAATATTGTAATAAAATGTCAAATTATTGCAATTTGTTAAATTGGTGACACAGGAATATGCCGAAAATGAAAATCATTTTAATACAGTCGTTAATAAGGCGTCCTACGATACGATAACATTTGAATGTATGATCTCATCGTTGTTTAAAGTGATCACTCTGCGATGTACATTATCCATCTTTGTAGGTGATAGTGCTGATTTGAATGATGGGTGTGATATGCTTGGAATGCCATGTTTTTATAATTCCAGGAGCACGACACTCGGTCCACAAAAATCGAAAACATTTGCAACGTTATATATTTCCGCAATTGATTTTTTTTTCCTTCAACCGTCTTTACCTCAACACAGGATGATGGCGAAAGGGGCCGCCGGTCAAAGTTGTATAGTTCGCGTTAAGTTTTTCAAGTTTAAACAGATACAAACTCATTTGGGGTCTTCGATGTCAAGTTTATCTTTGATTAGCATCGAAAAGAAATTCCTGACAAGCGAGATGAAAAAATTCGTTGGCAGCAAAGGAGCGATTGGACATCGAAAGAAGTGACTTGCTTTTTGTTAATACACGTGTTTTAATTTTATACATGTAGGTTGGATGATTTAGTTACCCAGTTTTTAAATATACGCCATACGGTCCAAAAATGTAATTAAACCTTAGAAAAAATCAATTATGTGGGAAAACAATTGCCTATTATTTCATTTTTCCAACAATTTAAAGTACCGGTAACAACTTATTACTTTTTAAAAATCAATTGTCGGAAACGAAAACTATTAGCTCCGTAGTTATTGTGTATTCAACTTGAAGATGGTGTTGTAGATATATAAAATGATGCTATTTGCAATTAAAACTATAGAATAGGACGTGAGTTCGTTCCCGACGGGGTGGAATCTGCGGCCCATCACAGGGTAATCAACGCTGTAAATTGCTCTAATGCTCAATAATCAATACCGCTTAGAATAGCTTCGATTTGATTGATCCTATAACTCACTGAATAAAAATGAGTGAAATATCGGGAAGGTATTAGATATAGTGGTTTCTAAATATATGAAATGCTAGAAAAAAAACACCACGATCGGCTACTGTATTATCAGGGTAATTCAGTAGTGTTGTGCAAAAGTTAAAACTTGTTTGGTTGGTTGTGTTCTCTGACAAATTGATCGCAATTTTACAGATGCCCAATTCAAAATGCATCTTTGTTATCTAGACTTTACGAAAAAAAAAATGAATTAAATCGTAAATATATTAAATCAGTATTTTTTAATGAAAGGGGCAAGCTCAAAAGACGGCATCGGAGGCACAACGATCCGAATTCCTGAGTCAGTTTTGATGTTGTTGTCCACTTGAATTTGCGATACTTGTTTTGACAGTGTAGCTTCCAGCTTACAAAACAATCGACAGCCCATTGGAAAACAATTCGGTAAATTAAATTTAATTAAATATACCAAAAGGACCATTCAAACCTCGCGCTGCAAATCTGCAATCCCAGAAACCCGTAAAAGCCGAATTGAGGTTTCAGAAGCCACTGCAAATCTGCAATCCCAGAATCCCGTGAAAGTCGAATTAAGGTTTCAGAAGCGTCACAATGCGCAAAAGAAAGCGAGAGTTTTGTGAAATCACTATCGTAAAATCGTGAGCGGATCATTTTAGGTCAGTACATAAGAAAAGGGAGTGATAGGCGGCGTTCGAATAGTGACCGGTATTTACCAAAATCTATCAACCAAACAAAGTAGAGATTTAAGTTTCTACAATGTCTCTCCGTTTGTGTAAATAGACGAATGCCGTTACAAAGGTGAAAAAATGAACTTTATAAACTGATTGCCGACAAGCACTGTACATCAACTTTGTCACCGTTACCACCTAGTGGCGCTGTGCTGCTTTTACTTTCCATGAATCCATGGGTAGCGCCAGCGTTTGGATTGTAATTTCGTGTTTATCATTGTAGATTGAATAGTCTTTAACAAGTCTGTATTGTGTAGTTTGCGAATATTAACGTATTGGTACCGAACCAGAATTTCACTACATTGCTCAACCAGTCAAGTTGACTGGGTCAACCATGTTTGACCGCGTACGATTTCCGAATAATTTGCGGCGACTCTACAAAACAATCTAACAAACGTTGGTTTTATTGAGATTTTTATATTGAGGCAAATTAAGATATGTTCTCTTTCATCGCTTCATGTTCGTAACATTTTAGACTTGATAGAGGAGTTTTGTTGCAAGTTCACTGTAAAACTCGAATAAAAATTTATTTAAATCAGTCAATGTCATTTGTGACAATTCTTAAGTACGGTAACATCTGAACATTCTGCATTCGGTCAGTCGGTACCTACAGACTAACAGACCTAACGCTGTAACCTGATATTTTGATGCGTCATCCACAAATTTTTGAAAATTTAATTGATTGTGATTACCGGTAGGTATGTCTGTACAGCTGTATGTGTCAGCAAACGATTATAACTTCAGAACTTAAAGTACAGAAGTACGTTATTAGGTAATTCATGTAATTACTTTTACTAGGGATTTTTGCTTTGGTTATTGAATTGTATCAAAATAAAGCGCATTCTAAATCAATGATGTCCAGAAGAATTTCTTAGCCTGCTTTATTGAATTAATCGCATAAAAGTACCCACCTTTTAGCTGCAACAACCCCCTGACCTTTCTCGGAAATTTGGAAATTTCACTTAATGCTGTAAGTGTAATGGTATTGAAGTATGCCTTATGTTTTTGCTAGAAAATCTTAGTTACTGAGCAGCTTTACTAAAAACTAGATTAGAAGATGACTTCAGATCAACAAACAACAAATACGGATTATGATTATCTTATCAAGTTTCTTTCATTGGGAGATTCTGGTAAGTTCGTAAGCGTTTTTCTGCTCAAACTGTGAAACACCTTTTATCATACCATGAAAATTATTACTTGATGGGTACTTATTCACTCTGTCTAGCTGTAACTATCATGAGGTTTTTATTCAATTTTGCCTAATGTCAAATTGCAAGCTCTTGTTCAAATGTGGAAAATTTAATGATGGAAAATGGGGTCTAGCGAAGTGAACGCCGTAAATAAAATATGCCAAACAAAAATCTAATGTGAAATGAGCGCGTAAATGACGCCAAACAAAAACGGATATGAAACTTTAATATTTTTTTCAAAAAAAGTTTCATTCCGTGCCAGGCTCATTTATTCAAATCAAACCCCATCAATTTTGCTAATTATAACAGGTCATGCGAAATAGGGCGCCAATAGCGTTTCGTGCAAGACTTATTTTAAAAAATATTAAAATTTGAGCTGTATTTTCACATTACATTTTTGTTTGGTGTTATTTTAAGAACTTACAGTATGTATTTTGCTAGACCTGGAAAGTGTGGTGATAGAATTCTGACAGTCTAATACATTATGCAATAACTGATTTAAAAGAATATTATAGAACATAATGTTGACTGTCTTGTTCTTCTTTAGCACAATTTCAAATCTGATTTATGTACAACTTGAAATATTTTTCATCAGGTGTGGGTAAAACCTCGTTTCTTTTTCAATACACCGATGGAAAGTTTGATGGGAAGTTCATCACAACTGTAGGAATTGACTTTCGAGAAAAAAGAGTGGTAAGTGTTATATAAGCGATGGAAGAGTTAGATGGAACAGTCAACAGATTTGTCATAATCATAGTTTATTAATGTTTGTTTTTATTGAGGAAGAATAATATCGAATTTGTGTAAGTAAATACAAATTAATGCATCAGTTCGCTGTATTTGCCTGATTTGGTATAATATTTAGTCTTTTTCAGTTTGAATTCTTATATTCCTGAATTATTTGTGCATTTGCGTGGAAACGATTTGATTGTATAATATTTTTGTTTTCTTTTTATTTTCTTATAATAATTTTTATATTAATTATGGTGGAAAAATATTTTTAAAAAATGTTCCAAATACTTGTCAACACACAAAACTTTCTAAAGCAGTGGTTCTCAAACTTTTTGAGCCGCCATTTAGAATTTGTCAATTCTCAAGCCCCACCTCAAACATAACTAGCTAACAATAAGCTGCAAATAACAGATAGTGGGATGAAAGTTTTATTCAAAAAATATGTTGAAAATCCTTAGATGGAACGTAAATATTGTAATAAATGAAAAGTTTTGAAATGTAAATATCCAAAATATAGCGGGCAAGATCAAATCTAACAATATTTTAATTTTACATTAGCTCCACGCTCCCCTCAAAAAATTGTCTACACTCCCCTTGTGGGGCGCGCCCCATTGTTTGAAAACATCTTTTCTAGAGAGTAATATGCCTTATTTTAATATTGAATATTTAAACCTATTCATTCATGAAGTTTTGGATATAGCCCAATTTTATTGGTAAAGCTGTCCACGATCAATTTTAACCAGGTTATTGACGCTTTCCTCTGTAATTAGTCTAGACATGAACTATAATGCTAATCATTAATATGAATTGTTGAGCAATTTTTCTTATGGAGTTGGTTCTTTGATTTTTAGTTTAAATTGAAAAATTCGTTTGATACTTTCAGTTGAATGTAAATCACATGAAATTCCTCTTTTCTTTTACAAGTTGAATTAAAATTTGATGTAATATTAGTTTTAATGAGGTTTACTTATTATTTGCTATTAATATGTTTTACTTGAATTTTCAATGAAGTATTATTACCTAGATTTGCTTTAGTTTTTTTAAATTATTATTGATACATTCTACATTGTTTATTTTTAATATGCAGAATTATCGTCCGCCTGGACAAGACACCCAAAGCGGAAGAGCACAAAGAGTTCATTTACAACTTTGGGATACCGCTGGCCAGGAAAGGTAAATTTAATATGTATTTTATATGATTATGGCTTTTAAATTTGTATGTATTAGAGATAGCGTAAAATTGGTGAATTATGTTGAAGTCTTATATTGGCAAAGTTATCTTCCGGTGGTAATTAGCTGTCATCATTGGCAGCAAAGATAGTCGATTTAAGTCATCCAAATTAAATAAATAAAGTTTAATTTTTCTATATATTTTTTCTTGTAAAATTTGCCATTTGCCAATGTTTGATTTTCCTTTCTTTTAAATTATTTTGTTATTAATAGCTATTCATGGAATGGCAATTTATGGTACTCGTAAATTGTAGATCGCAAAATACATTATTTATACTTCTATTGCGCATAATCAAACTATAATGACTGATTATGTGTATCAGACACCGACACATGAAAAATTTATGACAACAGTATTTCTTATATATATATATGATTATTGATTTTCATAGCTGTGATGATATTTTTTTTTTGTCTTGACCATCAATTACATCTCTTGGGATTGTCACATGGAGATATGCAGTATAGAGTTTTTGAAATTGGTTTTGCATAATGCCTATCAATTGCGTATGTCATGTCTGATTTCATTTTCTTTTCATCTCTGTCAAACTACAATCAAAAAACAGTTCAAAGCTCTTTTTTGCCGCCTAATGTTTTCCTCTATCGCAAAAGTCTAGGTAAAATATTCTGGACAACCAGCTTGCTTATATAGAATTCAATCGTCTGCAAAAATTTTAACAGTTCTAGTTCATTTGAACACCATTATTGCTCCTGAATGGTTTCTTGAAAGTTGTTTTTTGAACAATCCTACATTCAATGGCAGATGCATATTATGTTATTATCATACAATAAAAGCAAATTAACAATAAATTATATTAGAAATATTCCCAACACTTCATTCAAAAAAGTCGGTCAATTGCTGGTTTAATAAATATTCAAAAATGTAAATCTTGCTTCGATTTTATTGAGAAAACATATCTTTGAATTACTTGAATGTGCAAAAATGTTCCTAAGATATATAAAAGTCATTGGAATGAAAGGTGTCCAACATTAACATAATGACTCTTTCTGCTTATGTAAATAATGTCGAAATGTATTTGATTTGTAATGAAGTGCACTACTTCTCCTGAGAGATTCCGTTTATAAGTTTAACTCAGATATCAGTGGCCAGTTGTACATGGCCTTGTTCTAATCGAAAGGCGTGAATAAACATTGTATAGAAAAATTGGGTATATTGGACCAGCCACTTTTGTCATCTAACATTTACTTTTAGTGACTCAAAATTCCAACATTGTTTACTATGGGCAAGTTCTCATAAAAATTTGTATCAACTGAGGTTAGATTATATCTGAGTTGTCAGCTTAATACTGCTGTTATAAAAAGTCTCGGTATCTGCCGGCTTGCCTGAAGCTTACTTTATGTCTTCACGGATATTGTCATAATTTGAGTATGACATTGTCAGTCTTTACTTCACATAAATATATTCATAAATTATCCGAAGCTCATGCTCTTGTGTTGACATAGACCCTGTTATTTACTGGCAAGTATGTTTAGTTTTCAGGCGTTTCCAGCGTTCTTGGAAGCCAAGTAATGAGAGTTTTTTGTTTGCATATAAACAGTACATTTTTCATGGTCCACCCTTTTTTTTCAGGTTTCGAAGTTTAACAACAGCATTTTTTCGTGATGCGATGGGTTTTCTTTTAGTCTTCGATCTAACAAATGAACAAAGTTTTCTTAACGTTCGAAATTGGATAAGTATGTGCACTTTATTATTTGTTAATCAAAGCCTTATGGCTGACAATTAATCAAAGAAAAATTTTGTCATGTTAAATAACACTTTTCCCTATTGTAAAATCTGATGTGGTGTCATATTTATTGTCTAAAAACATTTTGAGTTCTCTTTTAGTTGAGCAATTGTTGATGTAAGTTTGCACATTCCCAAATTATTACTTGATAATCACTAGAAAAAAAATGACCAAGTTTGTGTATCATTACATTACTTTCATGATAAGAAGCTTTTTGATATATGAAAATGATAAAATTAGATTGTAATCATTTGTATTTCCTATATGCAATGCTTTCAGGTTGTGTTGCTGCAATGTTGCAATAATTTTTTTGTTCAATTGCTGGCTGTGTGATTGTTTTCTGTTATAAATGGAATGAAACAAAAATCAATCCTAATCTAGTTTATAAAGATTGTATTCACAAATACTAAAAAAATAGAAAATACTAGAAAAAAAGGCATGAACCATGTAATTCAGTTGCCTGAATATCTAATAATTAGAAAGCTCCTTGTAAATAGAACTAGATTAATACAATCATGGATATATATCAGGGATGTACAAAAGCAAATAATTTACTATTTAAAAAAAAAAAAACCTCAAAAGATATTTTTAAATAGTGACTAGGGCCTATCAAAACATTTGAAATAATCATTCAATTTTCACCCAAACTATTGTAAACTAAACTAATTCACAGAAAGAAAATTTAGTAATGCGTAATGTGTGAATTATATTTTTCTCACAAAACAAGTTTTGATTGAAAATTTGATCTGTTTTTGATATCCCTGGGATATATCATGATGGCTGTATCTAATTCTGCTTTGAACGACACGGTTCTATTCAGCATGTTTGAGCTTTGCTCTCTTGTTTTAACTTCCAGAGCAGTTTTTGAATGATTTGATATTTTGTGGCAATTACAACCTGTGATTATACAATTTTTCCTCAAATGGATCACCATGGTATTATTAACAATTTAGTTTCTATCATTTATTCGATTAATCACTCTAGGTCAGATCTGGTCGTCAAATTATTCAGGTAAAGCATGGTTGTGCTGCTTATTACAATAAAACTAATAATATTATCAATGAAAAAACAAACTTTGAGAATTCTACCACAAAATTAAAATTATTTTCAAGTTGAAAAATTGAGTTGGATGTGACTTAAATTCAACTGCATGTCAATTGAACAAATAATAAAATATGGCTTCTAGATTTCATGACACAGCTTTAGCACGAGAACATGGATAAGCGCATTATATTACTTCATCTCTTCTCTCCCTAAAATCCTGATTGGAAGAATATCCATGGCTGCAACTATTATGATGTTGTTACTTGGACTATGTCAGTGCTTACTTGTGATCATGGATGACCAATACCGATCAGACTCTGCTGTTCATCATTTGCTCAAGATAATAATTTTTCAAATAAAACTTCTGAATTATTTCAAATCAAGAGTTTAAAACTACTGATATAAAAAATTTTGACTTACATTGGATATCCATTTTTTTTTATACTGTTCTGTATTGGATTGTCATTCTTTTTCTCTTTGATTCTTGCGTCATTATTTCTTATTTTCTTTCCTTTGATATGATTAATTATTTCATTCAAGTTTCTGACAAAGTGTTAGGTTCTTGTTGTTAATAGTAATTCGATCATTTCGAACAAATAATAGTTTAAGAAGGATTTCAAGTGCAGTGATCTGTAATGTCACACTTGAGCAAACGTGAATGGATGAATTGCTTGGAATTTTGATGCTCGAAAACGAAATTGTGTTGTTTTTATGCTTTTAAGTTTAATTTCATGGACTGGTACTTTTTGTTTTATATACTGCTCTAAAATTAAGATCTTATGAAAAGTAAAATGAGCACTTTTTGGTTGGGATAATGTTGATTGGTTTTTGGGTGCATGAAAGTAGGCCTTTGAATACCCGTATTTGTCAATACAAACTAAATTTCAAATAATATTGCTTCTTGTTTCTACTATTTTACCTGCCACTTTCTATTTTTTGTGCTTTATTTCCTGCTTTATTATTAAATATATGAAAAACTATTTCTTATATTTAACTTAGGACCAAAAATTTCGAAATTCGTATTAAAATGTTTGAATATTATAGCCAAGACACCAAAGTAATTTGAAATACAAATTGAAACTTTAAATATTCTTGCTATTTCAGCTCATGATACTGAATCACTCTGCTTTTTTAGTATCCAACTTGTTTATTCATACCTTGTTATATTCTGGTCTCTGGATTAATAGAGTCTTGTCCTTAATAATATCTATTTGTAACTCTATCAAGATTCCTTCTCTTTACCCCATTACGCTCGGAGGACTTTTTTTTAAACTTATTTATGCTGTAATATATGAGATTAAAAATGAAGACAGTGATGGTGTGATTGTGATTCATGAAAACCCATAAGAACTATACGAAAAAATATGTTTGTCTGTATATTTCAAATATCTATCAAATTATACGTACCGTTGTTGTTAAATTATTTACTAAGTGTCCCACATACGGTATACGGTAAGTTATTTTAGGTGTACCTTGGGAGTGTTTATTTGCTTTTCGTACGCTTAGTGACGTTCTCTCAGTGAATAGGGACTTAGTTGTGGCTTTGATAACAATATGTATTTTCTTTTCAAATTCCATTCTACAGGGCTCGAAATAGGAAAATTTTTTCTCACTTTTTTACTTAAAATCCATAGTTTTCTTGAAATGCTTGCATTATAATTGATATACAACAATGTATTCTTGTCCTAATGTAATTTTTTCTTATATTCATGATATAACTTACATAATAATCTCAATATAATTCATTTCTCAGGTCAGTTACAATTGCATTCTTATTGTGAAAATCCAGATATCGTATTATGTGGAAACAAATGTGATTTAGAAAATTTGAGATGCATTACAGTGGACAGGGCAAAAGATTTCGCAGATAAAAATGGGTAACTAATGTTCACTTGATTTATGATAGTTACTTATTAATTTTGAAAACTTGTCATTGTTTTTCAATACCATCATCGTGGGATCGAAATAGGCAAAAATTGTCACTGGGTAGAAATGGCACTATTTTGAGTTGAATCTTATCCGTGCTTGTTGGTTTGTTTCGATCATAATGATGCCCTATATTATATCGCTGTAAAAAAAAATTTGAACTTTGCATTAATTTCATAGAATGGGTCATCGGGTCCCAGTTATAAAACATTCTGATAAATCTATCTTAGTGGCTACATTCGTTCTTTCACTGTAGAGGACACTGATTCTCATGCGTTTTCGGGCTAGAACTAGAAACTTTGTTTACTGTTTCTGTGACAGTATACACCCATAGTGTGTCAAGCGTTTATTGTTTATTGACTATTTCAGAGCTCTTTGTGCCCATATCCATCATGTCAAAATCGCTATTACATTTTTATCTTTCTTTATTCAGTTTACAATATTTTGAAACAAGTGCAGCTACAGGACAAAATGTAGACAAAGCAGTAGAAGCACTTCTAGATGCTGTCATGAAAAGGTAAGAACCGGCCGGTAATTAATATTGGAAAAAATAAAAGTAGGAGTCATCAGGGTCGAAAATGAACGAATATTGGAATACATTTAAAATTGTATATATAATATATTCAATATTTGTTTAAATTCATGGGTTGTCGGAGTCTCAAGCCAGAAGTTGAGAGGAATTCACTGAGCTGAGTCTCATTGGCGGTTATTTGAGTAGAGGTTTTGAGTCATTTCGATGATTCAAGCAGAGATGGCCAAAACTAAATAATTCAGTATTACGAATACATTCTAAAGTTATCTCCTCGAATATGAAATATCGAATATATTCTGAAATGGGTTTGTTTCTCAAGAGAAATTGTTCAAGGCAATTTTGATCTTGTAGAAATCAAATTTGGTCGTACGGAATATTTAAGAAATTAAGATAAACATTGTTTTAATTATGTAGTATTTTTATTTTTTTTTGTCAGAAGTCATAACCCTGCTAAAACGCTTAAAAACAATGAAAAACCTTCAAAAAACACCAACTAATTTTTGATGAATTACTAAACGATAATTGCTTAAAAACATATTTTCAAAAGAAAATATTCTGAATCATTCCAAAAAGCAAGAATTTATTAAATCGAAAGACGAAAATAACCGATTTCGAATGTATTTGATATTCAATTTGTTTGGACATCACTGGACTCGAGTCTCCCCAATGCTGTTTACTTTACTTATCATAAACATATCATATTCAAGTGGGTTTTATCAAGTGTTTTTTTCTTTTTATTTTGTTTATATATTCTCTTTACATAGAATGGAGAAAGTTGTCGACAAAAGTTCCTTTCCCGCCCGAACTCCAGTAACAGATAACGGCAATGCCACGACTAAAGTTTCAGAAAACGAAAAACATGACAACAGTGACTGTGCATGTTGAAAGATTGGACAATTTGAAAAGAGAATTAATTTTGGGCTTCTTTATGGTAATAAAAAATGGATTCAAGTGGGTCCATTTTAAACTGAACAAAGGCTATTAGTGTTTTCATACTGCTTTTTCTTTTATGAAATCGGCTTCCCTGAATATGGGATGAATTAAAAAATGGGATGGTTGCAATCACCTTTTAATCAAATTATAACAAATAAATATTTTATTACTCTCATTATATTTATGTATCTCTCGTTCTTATGTACATACATAGCATCACAGCCAGCAATCAATAACAATTCGGTTACTACTGGACTCGAATTTCTACAGGAATGTACCGATTTTAATGTAGGCTATTTCAGACAAACACTGACGCTTAATTACTGACAGCTTATTAAAATATGCATATATTTGTTTTTGTAATGTCATCAAATAATAGAATATCATTCCCAAGAATATTTTTACGGTCGTTTCCTTTTTAGGGCCCATTCAATCTTATATGAACCAGTAATCCAATGACTTATGACAGATTGTTTTTTTCTAAATACTGACTGTGACGGAAAAAGCCAATTAAAACAAATTTTACGCCAGGTTGGGCTGGTTTTTTGTTTTTGCCAAGCTCTGATGTATACACATCCTAAGGAAAGAGAATTAAATTGAATTTTTTTAAGAGAATGACTTTCCTTATACAGTGCTTTCTGCCACATCACAAATCTTTTAAAGGTTTATCCATATTATGACCAATCGAGCGTGTTTCATGAATTATTCTGTTCAGTTGGCAGATTCGATTACTGTCATATGGATATCAGCCCATTGAATTAGATTTTTTATTTTTGATCGTACTGATTTATGATCTTGCTAGCAACAAATGGTATAGAAATGATTTCTTTTACCACATGTTTGTTATTTTTTGTTTATCAAAGCAGAGTACTAGGATGGGAAAAGAGCAATAAAGCATTCACTGTAGGAATTATAGTGCCAATTTATCGTATACATCAAATTCAACATATGCCGTAGTCAATCAAAATCCTAATTTGATTGCAATTATTAACAGAAACTATCTAAATGTTAATTTATACTCCTATTTGATACGCAAACTTGTCTGTGAATTTTTATTCAGGGCTGTAGAGTTTGGGAGAATTTATACTCAAATCAAAATCTAAGCCATTTAAAATATGACTCTGGGTTAAATAAGAACTCACAGTCTGGCTCCGCGTTTCACAAAAAAGGAACTTTTGCCTTCGACACTCAAGAAAACCAAATTTCGCAAATGAAAACCTATTTTTACTTATTTTTTCGACGTTGCTGAAATAATGCTTTTTGGGTTTTTGTCAAGTATTATTCCCATATTTGAAATGACAATGTAGACTCCCCGCTAATACTGTTCTTTCTTTATTAATCCAGTATCTGAGCAAGACTATTGATGATGATCAGTGCCAATATACTTTCTATACTAAGGTTCATTGAAAAGGTACCAATACCTTTCATTTGCAATATTATGAATGAAATCAAAATTTGAATTCATAATTAACTGCTGATTTAGATTTACTGTGTTGTTTAATATTTCAACTGTGTCAAGCTTCTGTTTTCGATACATCACCTATTTTTTATTCACGTGTTATATGTGTCTCGAATTAATAATACTAAAATTGCAGTCTATATTCTAATATCATTAGATTTTAAATCCAAAAATGTATTTTCCATGTAATAATATTTTCTTTTGTTGCAGTAACATATTTGCACATATTTTCATCAGCATTGTGCAGCACTTTTCTATATATTATTGTGTGTTACCTTTTTGGTGTTCAGTATAAATACCAGTTGCAGTAATAGTGTCTGAAGATAATTTTTTATTTGGTGTTTCTATATTGTATTGAATTTGTTTTTATATCATACCAGAGAACTAACTAATGATCATGTATACCTGGCAAATCTCATCCTTCTTGGTAATATGTATTTTCAATATTATTCTGTTTTGACTAGTTTTATTGTTTGTTTCACTATGTTATGAACTAATAATATTCTGCTATGAAAAAAGTATTGATGCCACATTTTAAACATTGTCTATAATACAATAGTCGAAGTATTTCATGTTGTATCTGGTTGCTAGGGATTCCTAAAATCTAGATTCTGGCATTCCCTTTTTTTTAAATTGATCTATTATGCAGCAAAATCATTATCTTTGTTGTTATTTTTCATCTGTACGATTTCACAAAAATAATGGTTTTGCTGCCATAATGCAAAATTTTGGAGAAAAAATATGATTTGCTATATTTTTGAAGTTCATTATTTTCAGCTAATTTTTATTTAATAATTATTTTAAAATATAAGTCTCTCCTGGCGATCTAAGATATAGTTTATTTCAAAATTATCATAACACTTACTGTGTATTATTATGCATGTATATATTCAGCCTTAGGAAACGGGACAGTGCATTTTACTTAACCACTCCTATGATGCAAAATTTCTTCAATTAATTCACTAACAGCTTTATTTGCTCTGAGCTAGCATTTTTCATCTAGTACGCCATTTGTTACTTAAAATTAAAAAGCCCTAAAATCAAATACTCAAACACTTACCTAAAGATTTTCTTTTCGGAATGCAAAATATATCACTACCAATGCTACATTTTGAATTTCTTGAAAAATTTTACTGTTGATTCGGAGAAGTTTCAATTTTTTCCCATTTTGGAATACCTTGTTACAATAAAGACGATTTTTTAGACATTCCAGCTCTAAGAGACAAAATGTTGTTTTTCATTAGCAATATTTTCAACTTGATACAGTAGACTTTCCAAATTCTTTGCTTATTATTGGTCACTGATTAAAATTTCAATATGGCACTCTTTATGCTATTATTGATTACTTTGATCAAATTCGACATCAATCTAACATTACCAGTTTTCGAAATTAAAATTCACTTCACATTGCTTTTTATGGCAAATGTTATTCTACTTCTCATCTAAGCATAGTCATTGTTTTATGTACTGTGGAGCAGTAGATGGTGCTGAGTTTGCGAATTGTTATTATGATTGAACTGTCGCCTAGGATTTGTGGCCGTGTTGGTAAATTTCTTTTAATTTGGGATTGTGTGGTTTTCAGTTTGCGCTATGATTTATAATGCATTTCATTTTCATCTATAATGATATATATCTACGGTAGATAAATATACTTGTTATTTGAATCATAGTTTGTTGGGTTAATTTATACTGGTATATGGAAGATTTGGCGGCACGTCGTGCTGAGCTTTGGAAAGGAAACACGCTCGATGTCTCACCTTTGAATAACCAGCGATAAGATAGATGTGCTCCTCGTCGTGGTACAACGTGCCTCCGCCATCGAGTCTATACTAGAGATGTAACGGTATCGGATATCGGCCAAATTTTCGATATCGGCAGTGTATCGGTATCGGCTAAATGTAGACCGATATATTTAGCTTTTTAAACTGATTCAGATTGTTTCAAAAAATAAGTTATAATACTGATGTTGAAATTACTTTTTGCGTAGGGATCATGTTCGCGGTATTTACCTCGTTAACTATGATCCATGCACGTCCCAACCCCCGCAAGTAGAAACGGGAATAAGATTATGACCCGTTTTTAGCTACTTATCAGCCAAACTAGCTCAACTAATTTGTTTTGTTTTTTCGCTGCCAAATTTTCATATCGACATTTTTAATATTATGTGGTAATTATGAAGAAATATATCAATTTTATATTAGTTGATTTTACAATGTGTAAAGTACGACGCCATATTGGCACAAAATCCTGCGCACGTAGCTCAATGTATCAGTTTGATAGGATAAGTAAACATTCTTTTATTATACCACCCACAGTAGCCAATCGCTATGAGTTTTCTAATTAAACACCGAGATTTCCAGCGTCAGTACACAATGCATCTGAATCAATCAACGCATCTGGATCCCAAACATCGATTTCTTATTATGTGATATTATATCTCTTTTCCAATCTGAAATGATGTGCTCTATGAATAATGCTCAAAGACCATTGTTTCCACCCGTCTGCCCTGCGCACTCGAGGTAATATTTACATAATATTGGTATCGGAATATCGGCTTTTTTGAAGTATCGGTATCAGTTGGTATCGGCGACAAAATGGTATCAGTACATCTTTAGACTCTAGTTCAAGGCTGCCCAACCCGCGGGCCGCATGCGGCCCGCCAGACTGTTTTTTGCGGCCCGCCAAATAGTGTTTGTAAGCAGACTTTTGTAAACAGAAATTTTTATTCTGTTATATATCAATATATAGGCTTAAGTGTGTTTCATGATTTTGATCGTCTTTATCGCCAACGTAAAATAAATACATCAATAATTCTGATGAAATTGACAATCGCATTGCTACATATTAGTCACAAATCAGTATATATATTCGTTCAGAAATCTTTGTAATGTCACTTCATTAAATACTTGTACTGGTGTTTCAAATTTTACAAAACGGCCCACCTAGACTTAATATAACCGCGACACTGGCGCACATAATGCTCATTTAAACATTGAAGCAGTATCATAGCTACTGAAAATTAATGAATAAAAACACTATAACGCAATTGCACACGTGATGTGTGTGTTCGTCAAAAAATCGCAAGTGTGTTGTATAATGAATCTAATGAATGATTCCTTGATCCGGCGGCCCGCGAGTGTCATGTCCACGCCCGTGTTACCAGATATTCGAATAGTAAACTGCTATCCTAATATTCAACTTGATATTCGAATAATTTGCCAGCCCTGCTCAGGAAGTCAGGACTCAGGGGTGGACAACATACGGCCCGCAGGCCGGGTCCGGCCCGCGACGAGATTTTGACCGGCCCGCCGACTGTATCCAACCACACTCTGTAATGTGGTCCGACACATCATTCCTGAAAGTTGCTCTCGTCGCACTGTCAGTGCGAGCTGGGGAAATAAACAATTGTCTTAGTAAGAAACACTGGACCTTTCCCCGACCTTTGACTCCCGAAAAAGTCTTATATTTTACCATTGCAAAATTGTCGGGGCTTATTTCAAGAGGGGTTTCGCGAGTTGGCGCTTGTAAAATGGGGTATGTGTTTGAAACCATTATTATGATTCATCGCATACAACAATATGTTTTTTGAAAGTACCGGTAAAGAATTTTGGCCTAGTCTATCACATTTCTACACTAATTCTTTAATACTGCAATTGAATTAAAACTCTCAGAAAGACAGAGTGCTCATTGAATTATCTGATTTATATTTAAATTTCCGAAACACAACTGAAAACTAACGAAAAGAGTGCAAAAACGCGAAAACGAGGTAATGTTTACGACCACGCCTTAAAATCTGTCCGAGTAAGAAAATTGTCTGAGCGGATGCGAAAAGGGAGAATTGTTACGTCATTTTTTGCATCTTGCTGATTTGCCAATGTCACGAATTAAACAAGGAAGTCGATGCTCGGCGAAAGGTCTATTGCATTAGCACACTTGTTAAACAAACAATATACGTTTAGAGCAGAGAGCGTTGTAAACATTCCCCACTACTGTTATCAGTTATATTTGGATTCTAAATATAAATAGATTTTCGAAATTAAATTTTATATTAATATTAGGTTTTATTAACCATGAAATATCCCAAGAAACGTAAAATTGACAGAGAGTGTTGAGCATTAACAAAGATTGGATACCGAAGTATTTTTTATAATAATCCGGCCCGCCGAGGACTTCATTTTCCCACATCTGGCCCGCCGACTAGAGAAGTGCCCACCCCTGACTTAGCTGGTATTAATGTTTGGTACAAACGTTTGCGGCCGCAACGAATTTTGTCACGTGAAAGTGGCCCGCGAGACGAAAAAAATTGGGCAGGCCTGCTCTAGTTAGACTCTATACGGATGAAACGAATAATTGGATAACTTTTCCCACTTGCTACACAGGCTATGACAAACAAAGAAGGCGCTATGGTTCGTCTCATGGTTGAGCCGTCTTATTGGTGTTCCTGAATGAATAAAATCAGATTTGTTTCGATAATGTGCCATTTTACCATGTTTTCTTGACAATTGCGCGTAAGTTGCTGTTCTACGAAGAAAGAATATTTTTGGAATCCTTTTCAGTCTCCCGGGAGCGAGAACCATCGCAATATGTCTCGCATACGAGATTCGTGATAAAATGTGGAGCACCTCGAGATAAATATGGGAATCCTAATCTGGAAAAAGCACAATGTTGAGTTGACGGCGCATGAAAATATGATTCCACTTACACCTCTAGTGCAGTTGAATGTCCCGTGTTGTTAGACACTAGACATAGTCACAAATTACGTGACGGAGAGGGAGAGAACAAAAATGTTGGAGGATTTTCAATAAAAATAAATTCTTCACATCGACGTAAAATTTCATTGTTTTGAAACTATTGTCCAGTTGAAAGATGAAACTGGCATTTGGATAAAAAATTAATCAACCTCATGCCAATTAGTCCACCGATGACATGCCCGATCGGTCTCACTGCTGGGCAGTCGACTGAAGTGGCAATGTGCTCGACTTCAGGTTCCAAAAACCGAATTTATGCAAAAATGTTTTGGCCTGATCGGAATACCTACCTAGTCGGCCTTGTAAATTAAACGTGCATTACCACTCCACAGTTTGTGTCAGAAGGCCAATAGCCATCGCTGTGTTCAAGGGACCCTAAATTCTAAAGGAACCCCTCGCCGCTATTTCCTCACCAATAAAATACTACAAAACGAGTTCTGTTACTCCTGACACAGAGAGCGAGCGCATGCGGGAACCCTCCGCTCATTTCCACAGCAGTAGGCCTACTGGGCAGTTTCCTGGAACCCGCAACAGCTGAGCGTCCAGTGCTTGCACGTTATTGTTTCACACAAATTAAACTTGCGAACCTTCGCAGAGTAATCAGTAGTGCTATGCCATGCGTGTTCCCACCGTTTCGGATGATGTGCTACATGTCGAGCCATATCATGTTCGAGCTTGTTTTTAGTCAATAAACCGAAGCAGCAACAGAGAAGGTACAGTCGTAAAAAATTGGCGCTAGGCTTGTCAGTTTCTCCACAGCGACAACTATTTCGTGAAGAATAAATAATTAATTGAGTAATTTTTTCAAACGTCACGATCAAGTACGGCAACATATGGACGGGAGATTTTTCCATATAAAACAGTGAAATATTGGCATTTCCAGGCTTTGGGCATAAAAATATTCGTTATAATCCTATATTTCATGAGTTTTGACATTCGTAAATAACGTAATTCTTTTAGGGCATTTGACCTTGACCTTCGTTTAAACAACACTCAAACAAACGATGGAAAACCACAGACCCGTGGGTAACATAACCTTCCAGTGACATTGAATTATAACCCCCGCAATAATTGTAGGCTAACATTATAAATCTACGGCTCACATTCATCTTATCTATGATAAATTTATAACATGGGAACCACTTGTTAAAAAATGTTCGCCATCCCTGTTCCAGTAAAAATATATTAATGAATTATCCTGCGTTTTAGACTGCGCAATTGATGATACATTTATATATGTGTACGCAAAATTTGTTAACTTTGTATATGTTTTGGATTAGAACATGGATTATTAGCGTCCCGATGAAAATTTTTTAGCACATATATCTCGATGTTCCCGTAGTTCTGATACGTTTTTGGACATTATGTAGGGTGGCACATAAGCACCCTCATTTTTTGTGCTGAAATTGTCAAAAAAACGGTTAGGATACCCTGCGGACAAGATCGGTTTAACGCTTATACATAAGCGCGAAGCGATTTCCACGCCCATAAATTCACATTCCGAAGGCATTCATGCGTGAGACAATAAGAAATTTTGAGCAAATTTGCGTTTATCTGTGTTCCATTGATTTAGCTTACAGGCAGAAATCAATTGAAGTCTTTGTAGTTGCATTGATCTAAAATGTTTATTTAAGCCTATTTCAACTCTGCTTTACTAGTTCCGCATCATTCGTTATCTTATTCAAACCAAACTAGTATATACAATAAATTGCCGAGGCTTTCTAACAATTGTATCTTTCACGCGACGTTTGGCTGTTTTGTGTAAAAACATTTGTCGAACAGTTGTTCATTACTATACGTGAAGCGTGGTGCGAATATCTACAGTGATATTGGCAGCTGAAGTGACAACAGATCACGGCGAAAGAAGGCGAAATGTGGTAAAAATTGTACATTTTGCATTTGATGTTTAATGTTTAGAAAAAACTACAGATGGCATGTGTCAGGCTGACTAGAGTGCAAACGATCAACTCTGTGATCAATTCAGGCTTTCGATGAATGTTATACATACAAGATGTCGTTTAGTATCTCAAAATGGAAGCTTGAGATAGATAGTCGAGAGAGACATATCATAAAAAGTTTTTAAGTATAGTATTGAGTTGTCGAGTAGGTTTCGAGTAGCTTAAACATCGTTATGGTCGATGAACTCGAAAGAAGCGGCGCTTTTAGTTTAACAATGGTAGAGCACAGCAGGTACTAGCCATTATTCGTCAGATAAGTTGTTTTTATGTGAATTTTGGAATACACAATATTGTAAAAATGTAACAACACAATTAATCTATTTGGTCGATGTCAAGCGGGATAATGCCATACATGATATTGGAATTATACAAGAGCTGCAAATATTAATATTTCGTTCTAGAATCTGCATCAAATTGAGATAAACAATAAAAGATATTCCTGCATTCGTTTATTTGAGGCTTCATAGTATATAAAAGTGCTTTCGCTAGGGAGAAAAGGCACTTTGAAGATATCCCACGCTGAATACCATATAATGCTATGCGATGTTTCACCGATGACGGATTCGTAATCAAATGAACTCGTGCGCCCAACTTTCAGTGTCCATACTGACGCCTTTGGTAAATATCACTTTGTGGTATGTGTATGTGTTACAATACACGTGCGGGCGCAGTCAGCGTGGCGAATATGAAACCCACAATTTTAAACGTTTCAATATTCCTTCCACTTATAATGAAATTCGGACTGGTTATATCGAGTAAGAGAAGCAAGGGCGTGGTCCAGCGGTAGTTCGTTATTTTATGTTCCCATCTTAGACAAAAGGTTCTGAATTAGCCATTTCGAAAAGTCAAAATTAAAAACAATTTCCCACAGAGAGGGCTACTGGGCTTCCATACGTACAACATGTTCTTTTTTAGGGCAGCTCCACACACTTACAATTATGCTAGCTGTATCTTTAAGTCAAACAATATCCGTCACGGCAGCCGGTGATTCATTTTATTCACTCACTGTAGAATAAACTTTCGGTGATCAAAATAACATAAAAAACATTGACTTTAGCAGTTGATCACGGTGTCTTGGTCAAGATTAATCTTGAATTGATATATCCACGTAAATACGCATTCTGTTTAGCTCTTACACCTCGTGGACAGTTTTGTTTAGCAATATGCATACTGTTTATTATCAAGAACGTTCACAACAACGATTCACCAGGGCGGGTGACATGCTTCGAATAAACAAATTACGCATATCTGCATCTGTTTCTCGTTGACGTTACTTTCTGATATTTGTAACGTACTAGAGTTACTGAGTATTAGAGTTTTTAAGTTATTTTTGAGAAGCTGCAGAGTAGAATTATATTTATTTATATGGCAGGACTTGCGAATGACTTTTTGCTGCAGAGACATCCATAGACAATCGATGACACGATTCTTGAAATAGTTTACCTTTTGTTCAAGGAAATTTGGCATGCGGAAAATATCGTAATTGACCTTCAGCTTATGAATTTCGTTTGGTAAGCTCGACTTTTTATATCGTTAGTGTAAAACGTTGTCGCTATGGGCTTGCGGAAAATATCGTAATTGACCTTCAGCTTATGAATTTCGTTTGGTAAGCGCGAATTTTTATAGCGTTAGTGTAAAACGTCATCGCTAAATTAGTAATAGGGCGCAGGTTGAGAAGGCCACATTTGATCGTTGAGAAGACTTTGAAAGCTATATTTTTAGAGTTCGAAACTGTAACCGTTGAATTTTGAGCGCTGATTTAAATATGTTCGGTTCGATGCGTAATGATATTCTAATCCGTTGCGGCGACTGAGTACTAAAACATTTTGTTAAACGCTTTGTTATTTAGCAAATTATTCAATCTCACATTTTAATTTTCCAAGTCAAAGCTAATGGATTATCTTTCCGTTTTCGCATCGTCGAGCAATTTGGGCATAAACGATAGATTACGCGATAACGCTTTCGCTGCGTAGTAAATACATCGAAAATAATTCATGTAGAAAATATTCTACGCTACGCCGTTGAGGCCCGAGGATATACGCTCTCTGTGGTTACGTATAACTTAGGAACGCACAAGCAAAATAATACTTAGGCTAACAAGCAATATTGCCGCATCTATGGAGCCTTTATCTCACCTTTACAGACTTTGTTACGGTTAGGGTTATGGCACATTTGTTTATAAAATTTCAATTAAATCGCGGCTGTAAGCAATCGTCTATAAAAGATAAAAATATCCCTCTAGAAATTAATCTTTGCTAGCAATCATTAAAATGGTAATATTTACATTGTATTCTATCATCACAAATTCGATTTGTGCAATAAACTTGCAATCATGCTAAATTATTGAGGATGCAAAACATACGTCTCTGTCACCGACCGTAAATTATAATCATGGATCGTCCGTCGACCGTCAAAAACGAATCTACAGCAGGTAGATTTGAAACTTTTATGTTTTTGATTCCAATTTCGAAGTTGTTGCACCCCTTCATTTTATGGTAAAGTGGGTTTAGCTACAATTAGTACGCTGGGATAACAATTATTTATGAAGCAAAAAATGTCTCACGATCAATTGTTCACGGAATATGAAAGAACATGAAACGAGGCAATATAATAATAAGTTTTTCTCATAAATAAAATTCAAAATTACATTGAACGTAAATTTTATTATATTAGTATTCGTCAAAATTATGATGAAACAATTCACGATTTTGTAGAGATTCGTGAACCAAATCCGGTGGTGATGATATTATTGTATTTTTTCGACAGATAAATAACAAAAATATATGTATAAATGTAATTTATTGTAGATTTTCTTACTTTCGTTTGTGAGATTTAAAATCTCCTCCTCCCTTTTTCTGTTAACAAAATGGACCAACGTCAACTTTCATCGTCATATTGCATGCGGACTATTGCAATTTGCCACCTCCTCGTTATTTTCACTATCATACATTCTGCTTCAACTTATAATTTGGAAGCTCGTTTACCACTTTTCAAATATGGACCAGAATTGAGCAAGTTCGGTTTTAGCGTTGCACAGCACAGAACCACGACAGATGATGCAAGTGAGTACATTTTATAATATATGTGACTGGTGTCGTTTAGGTTATCAATGTTATATCTCGTTTGGTCTAAATAAGATATTGTTTAAATCTAACAAAAACCTCTGCCTGTTAATTGAACGATTTGACGATATGGACATGCCATTTGTATCATCTTTTGTGAGTAGGATTTTCTGATTGATACCAGGGGAGGAAGGTGATAAGCCGGCTCAAATATATATAGCGAACGTCTTTCGTCCAGTTACCCGTACATGTTAGGTATGGGAACAGTTTGCCAGTTATTTGTTTTAGGTGCACGGTTACGTGAACCACCCTTCGACGACGAGAATTCTCGCATATTATAATTATCTCCAACAGGATTCGATCCTGCTAACCCGCGCATGGCAATCAGAGGTGCGAAGAAAAGCGTTCTTCTTATGCTTAGCACGCTATATGCATAATGCAATCAAAAATTTATAACGAAATATGTACTTATTACGTTCATTTCAGCTGGTGTAAAAAATACATTACTTGTGATTGGAGCTCCTACTGCTAGTGCAATTAATTCACAAGTTGGTGCAAGAACTCCTAAAAACCCAGGGGGCGTTTTTTATTGTCCTGTATCCACCGATCCCCTCGATTGTACAAGAGTTGATATGGATGCTGGTGGTATGTTAATTTTGTTTTTTCTTTGTAATTTTTCTATTTCCCAAGGGGGAACATCTCAAGTGGATATGTGGAAAAAAATTCGGTTGGAAATTTAGTTGCAGACGACATAAAAATTTGGCGGAAAAAATTAATTTCAATATATGTGCCATACACAGCATATACATAATATATAGATAGCTGTTCAAATTTTCACACACACATTTATGAGATTTTTAATGTTCCCATTTTCAAAAATTATTTTACTTTTCGTTTTTTCAGTATCTTTTATTCATCCTCTCTACATGTTCTTACTTTGACAAATGTTATTTTCTTAACTGAACTTTTTTTTTGTTTTGTTCATAATGTCAGGTGACATTTCTATAGGAGAAAAAAAGCTGGTGAAAAGTAATCAGTGGCTTGGAGTTAGCTTGAAGAGTCAAGGTATTGAAATTTTACTAATTATATAATACTATTCAGAAGTAATGGATACACCCTAGGCCAGTGGTCGGCAAAATATTTTTAGTTAGGCCCAAATAGTAAAATGAAAAGAGTTCCAAGGAGTCCAAGACCAACAACCATCATGTTGGTGACAACCAAGTTTGCCTCAAGAGTCTTGTGTCAAGTCCTAGTCCCTACAAATTTCAAACTTTGAGTCATGTCTCGAGTTCTTCGAATCTGGTGACTCGAGTCGAGTCATAACCCAAAATTCTCTTACACTGCTGTTTTGTAAATAAAAAATTGAATATTAATTCTTTTCTGCTCACCATAGGTCCAGGGGGATTTCTCATTTCCTGTGCACATAGATTTACTCAGCATCTTTTTACCGAAAAAATATCAAGAAACGACGAAGTTGAGAGAATGTGTGGAAAATGCTTTCTTTTAAATGGTATCCTGCTTTTATGTCTAGTTTTGTTTTTAACTTATGGCCTACAATAAAATAAGGTAAATAAGAGTCAGTTTTTTTTTTCAGCATGTTGCTTTTGCAACATTGGATGGGTCTCATTCCCTGAAACTTTGTTTAAATATTGTCACACATCCTTACTCATGCAATGTAATATTTTGTGGATTTTTAGTTCTTACAAGTTTATGTGATAAAACTTATACCAAATAAATGCTATTACATTGTGACCTTTTATGTTACTGCACGAATGGAATTACGTTAATGTTAATAATAATTCATGGTATTTTAATGAAATTTTATGTGTCTCACTCCTCGAGTCAGCCAATTATGTAAAAAGATGTATAAAGTGGGTTCTTCATTCATATCTTCACATGTGAATAGGCTTAATAAAAAATCCAAATACAATAAACAAGATTACACAGATTATTTTAATTGTACCAGAAAGATTTTAAAATTTCATTCAAGTGAGAAAACAAATATGAAACATATTTCAGGTTTTACTCTCTCATGTTTTATATTGTAGAGAATTGTTATTTATCTTTTTCTCATTTCAGCAACCAGAAATGATAGAGTTGTTGAAGTTTCGCCAGACAGTCCATTGCTTCCTAACGAGTTTATATGTAAGTATGTCTCCAAGAAAGGTTGATTATTACTGAAGATTTGGGAGACAAAACGGAAAACTCATTCATTTCTACATTATTGCCTATACTACATTCCTATTTACTATTATAAATACCAATATATTATGATTACTACATCAATACTATCTTATGGTGTTATACCACATTTTCAGAAAATTATTAAGTAAATTTACCTTTCAATCTAAATTTCCTATTTATTTTTATTTTTGATCACATGTTTTATGCACTCTGAAATTGCTTGGAATAAGGCTCTATATACCTAGGCGGGATATAATAGGAATATACCAAGGTATCTTTTTAATTTGTAATAAATTGCTCAATTCTCTGACAATTCTCTAAATATTCAACTGAGCAGTAGGGCTGAGCATTTTGAATCTGATCGAATAGTAAATTATTCGAATCGGTTCAGACTGAAATTTTGAATCTCCGCCCACAGGTCTAAATGATTTTTTTATTCATATCAAATTGTTAAAATGTAATTCTGACATATGACTCTTTTCCTCCGAGTGAGTTATTAATGAAACATGTTTCTTACTGTGTGTGAACACTCAGCAAACTATCTGAGGGATAGATTACGTGTTTTTACTAATTTATTCGAGATTCGACTCGATTTGAAAAAAATATTCAATTTGATTCTGAAATCATCATATATTCGAAAATGCTCAGCCCTACTGAGTAGTATTGAACATACTATCTTTAAACCCAAGTAGGCCATTAGGCAATCATGTCAATTAGTACGTCACTGCTACCTGTATCTTTTTTATATAATGTCATGGAATATTTACTAAATCATTTTTAGCTGTTCCAGTGGACCTGGCTTCCACAAGGGAGGCTGATTTGAATAATAAGTATTCATTTAGTCATGCACAGACTGGTACTTCAATAGCCATGACTTCCACTGAATACATTTTTGGTAAAATATAACTGTCTGGCTACCCCATCGGTGAATAACCAATGCAAGCGCGATTTATTTCCTAAAACTAGTACAAGTCTCTTGATGCTGAACATGCTGTTAAAGGTGTGCTGATAATGCATTGTTAATAATAAGAGTTAGATAGAAAAAGATAACAGAGTTTGTGAGAGTACCAGGATTTTAGAGGTGGCTTCAAAAACAATAACTGTCAATTAATGCTCAAAAATCTTTGCAAAAACGTGCAAAAACCGTGAAAAACTAGCAAAAACCTTGCAAAAATTAACAGTTTTTGGTGGTTTCTGAATATATTCGATTAATCTTTGATATAACAGCTTCACCCTGTGATTCAATGGAATCTACCGCAAGTTTGCTCAGTAGCAAACGTAGATATGGATATATGCAAGCTGGGACCTCAATTTCTCTTCATGCTGATCAGTATATGCTGGGTAAATCAAGTGTTTGGCAATGTAGTTCATACAATCATACCTATGCATTCCATCGTCATTCTGCACTTCATTTTTCTTTAAACTGATAGTGATAAATTTGACAAGGCATGCATATTAGTTCTAGTTTTAGTGTTGCTTTCTATTTTGGCTGTCTTCAGAAATTATTAATTTCAATGCAAAGTATTTATTGAAATTATGGAAATCTTAACTTGATCTGAAAATAATTAGATTGTTTGTGACATTTCATCTACTCACTCTGTTCTATGTTATCATCATTTAAGTTATCATAGTTATTTAACGCAATTTGAATCTGTATAAACGGATATTCATCTGAACTTATATTATAATATTATCACACATTAAATTTGATGTATTTAGTTGCATGTATGTATAACTCATTGTTATGGTTGTAGCATGATTTTGCATGTGGTATATGTAACTATAATTTTGGTTGGTCAGTGTAGATTATCATATTATTGTGGTGGCTCATATTTTGGATATTTTATATTATTACTACATAATCAATCATGTTTTCATGTACCGTTACACACAATACGCGAAATATTCATCAAAAATTAATCATATGCATACAGACATTTGAATATGATAAATAGGATTTGCGATCAACATACATTTACCACAAATGTTAACAAAATACCATGAGGTTAATGGAATTTATGTGGTACTTGAGCCACAAGTAAGTAGTAATTTATGCATTCAATATTGAAATGAAATGATGAACAAGATGGCCCGAAAGAAAAACATAACCAGATCATTTGGGACATAACTTCTGTGCAAAGTGTCCTAGATCAAGGCTTCCCAAACTGGGGGTCCCGACTTCTCAGGAGGAGTGCGCAACAAATTTCAGGGGTCGCATTGAGTACACCGATTTCACACAAATTACTAAATCTATTGTATTCAAAACACAATTAATGAAACTAGTGCAAAACATAAAATCATGATTTCAAACAAATACACAGGATCAGAGAAGCGGCGCAATTGCGTAACAATGCCGACTTATATAATAATTTCAACTATAATAATTTTATTATATTGAAAGAGGTAGCGAGCTTAAAAGTTTTGGAAGCCTTGTCCTAGATGACTGAAACTATTGGGTATAATCATACACAAACTGAAGTTAGGGTGTAAAATAAATTTCTTTATATTTGTAGAAATAATTAAGAAATTTAAGGGTTATGATATTTTAGGTTTTCCTGTAATTTTCCAATGTTTCGAATTTGCTCTATTCTGTGTTCAATATTGTTCTTGTCATAAATGAAAATATCCTTCTTATTTCTTTGCTTTCAGTTTAATTTCCTATGTAATCGATTTGCTTATTATTATTCAATTTAATTTAATTTTTCTTACAAATTATTCAGGAGCACCAGGAACATGGGCATGGACAGGTGCAGTTTTTGACATGGACATGGAAGTTGGATCAGGAAATCATATGGCACAAAGTCCCACATGCTTCAGAGACAGAAATGAAATGGGATCTCTTGGTGTGAAATGCAAAAAGTAAATATACAAGTGATAAATTTGATTATTGTGTTGATAGTAAATAAATACTATTATCATTGGCATATAAGCGAATAAACCATAAATTATATGTTATTATCTCTTTAGGGTTTTATATTTTTCTAAACACATGTATGGAAGTACCAAGATTGCAATGTTTTCACATATTGAATTCTTTTCAGAATTCCTGTTAAAAGGGACAGCTATATGGGATTTTCAGTTGCTACAAGTGATGCTATTGGTACTGATTCTGATGAACTATATTATGCTACTGGAGCTCCAAGGGGTAATGACACAGGAGTTGTTATGTTTTTTCAAAAGATAAAAGGTAATAACATTTAAGTTTTTTTGTTATAAACAATGTTCAAATTCTCATTTATTTGACTTGATAATCTTTTAATTTTCAGTGGACAGTGGAGAAAAGAAACTTGAACCAGTTCCTATACACACAGTTGTTGGGGAGGCTATTGGATCAAGTTTTGGATATGCAATTGCACTGACTGATATTAATGGTGATGGTTTGGATGACTTAATCGTAGGGGCACCTCAATATTATGAATACTCCAATAAAAGAAAGAGAGGAGGAGCTATTTACATTTATGAAAATGTTCCAAGAAGAGGTTTCAGGTGAAATTTCGCGTACAAAAATGTAGAGCGCTCAAATGTTAGCATTTTAATATTGCTGAGATGCTACTGTTCATTTTTATCTAACACTACTTCAAATTCAGATTTCTTCTTTTGCTTTCAATTTGGTTTTGGTTTTTTATAAATTGATTTTGTAATTTCAAGTTTAATCAACTCAAATTCACATCCAAACAAACTGTTTATCAGTTATTTGGTGTAGCATTTTTCATGTGTCTATGAAGTATAAGTTAACAATGTGTGATTTAAGTTGTATATCAAGTATTCTTCATTCACTATGCATAAAATCCTGATGATTTTTTTTATTCCTCAATGTTTCATTTGCGAGTGATACCTGCAATTTGCACTTGACTTTTGTGCGGTTAAATAGCTTATTTTATGAGTATATAAATAGATATTGCTATAATATTGCATGGGTCAGAAATAATCGTAATACCCCAGACAGAAACGAAGTAAAATTTCCTTTCCCAAAATCATAAATCCTTCCCAGAGGAAAATTAATCCCTGATTGGGAAACTGAGGACTAAATCATGTACCGGTAGTTGATGTGAGTATGCAATTCTGTTATTGAAATACTTCCTAGTTCCAATGATTTTCAAGTTTGTTTTTTAAAATCATAATTTTTTTGTGTTTTTAGTAACGTTGGTGCAAGAAAATTTTATGGACCTCTGGATTCATTTTTTGGTCACTCTATAGAACCATTGGGTGATATTGATCAGGATGGATACAATGATTTTGCAGTTGGAGCACCTTATGAAAATGAAAATGGCACTGTGCACATATTCAGAGGTGAGTAAACATTGTGGTAAATTTAAAAAAAAAAAGTACTTTCAGGATAATAAGTCTGAATCCAATTTTTGGCCTGATTTCCTGTAGTTGGCTTTATGAGTGGGAGTCTTATTTTCTTTTTTATGGGGTAGCTTTGAACAAGAAAATGAAGTCAGTAATGTTCCTTCCCCCTTTTGTTTTCATGAATCGATGTTTTCACACTGATAATCTGGAATATTTCCTCTGTGGGTATTGTATTTGTTGGGGCCACAGTTGAACGTGCATCACAAGCAAAAACCAATACCATCATTTGTAGTAAATCCTGAAAACAAGTCTGTTTAGCGCATGTATTGTAAAACATATCAAAAAGAGGGAACGCATTGGCACGAAACTGAGAAAAAATGAGTAAGATGTATAAGATATGCTTTTATATTTTGTGATTGATTTATTCTTTCAGGAAAAATTATGATAACTGCATGATTAAAGATTTTATGAATAAATATTTCAAGGTGCGCCTGATGGAAGAGTGAAAGAGTCTCAAACTATCAAAGCTAAAGATTTTACACAAACACATGAAGATGGGAAAGGAGATATTGTTGGATTTGGTGCATCATTATCTGGACAAGTTGATGCAGATAGCAATAAGTATCCTGATTTACTTATCGGAAGTCTATCTGATCATGTTGCATTGCTCAGGTAATCGTCATTATATAGAAATAATGATGAAATTTCATGGTATTATTAGGGATTGTGTATAATAATATTATGAAATCGGCCATAAGGCGATACAAATACTGGATAACCAATTGTGAATGCTGCTAAATGCTTGGTAGGTGTTGCATTGAGGGAATGCTCGATAATTGTACTCATTAGGAACGCACTTGCTATTATACCTTCAATTACTCTGCTCAAGTTCGAATCCTGTGAGGCAGAATTATATATTCTTCAATGTCGAGGGTGGTTCATGTAAAAGCTGATTGGTTACTGCTGTGTCCACCATCAAGTCCATGGGTTTGAAACAAATAACTGGTTCTCATACCCAATATGGAACAGCAATTGGGCAAGAGGCTGTGTTTGGCAGGGGACAAAGCCGTCTTGTTGTCTTTACTCTCCCATATAATATGAAAATCCTATCCCAACTTCTTCTCAATATCTTTGTTAATGATAAATTCGCTGCAGAACCTATTCCACTGGATAATATAACTCAGAGAGTTCCATGAATGTACTTTTCATTGTGCATAAATGTTTGAATATTGGGATATAGGAGTATTCCTATCAGTCAATTTGGGGCATGCTTGATCATGGGCACACAATTCCAGTATGTATATACCCTTAACCATCAAAATATTGTTTTTCAGATCTCGCCCAATCATACAGGCAGTAATGAGTTTGGATGTAAAAACTGATGTTCTTGATTTAGAAGATAAGAATTGTGCTTTTGGTGGGAAAGATTATTCTTGTTTCGAAATGTCATATTGTTTCAGGTAAAATATTTTTTGTGATGTAGATCAGTGGTTCCCAACCTTTCTATCCTGGCGGACTGGTAAAATTAAATTAAATGTACTCGCGGACCGGCAAAAAATTGAAATGACCGGAACAGATAATATAATGCAATGTCGGGCACTCAAAAAAGGCACACTTGGAGACATTTCACACGAAGAAAAACTATCAAATAATGTGCCGGCCAAGAATTGAAATTGGTAAAACATAATTTAATACCATCTATTTTGTAAAAAAATGCAGTACTGGGCAGTGGCGTAGCAAGACTCTCGTGACCCCGCAAAAATATTTCGTGGAAATGACCCTAAAAACTCTCGGACATAAGCTAAAACAACGCTTTTTTTATTTCGTCAAAAAGCATAACATGTCGCTATTAAAAGGCAATGGTAACATAAAATTTGCCGTTTATCTTGGTTACTTTATATATTTTTTTCATACGTGCGTCCTCTTCTGCCCTTTTTCTGCGTTTCTGTGCGCCACTGAAAGGTTTTGCTTTCGACATCATCGTGACAGCCTTCGCAATTTTGCCAGTGCGATCAAACCACAAGACGCCGAAAATCGACGACTCCCTGGCATTGTTACTTAACAAAACGATTTGAACAGAACTAACATCAACGTTAGATGTGAAAGGCACGCATAAAACATTTCACATAAAAAACATGTACATGCCAAATATTGTATAAACACAATCCCCTCTAGTGAGAATTTTGCTGCTGTTTCGTTTCCAATATTGGATTGCAAACGAGGCCTCAAAGAAGTTTCTGCAACACGTAGCTCTGCAGAGGCGAGTACCCGATTTCGTTGCTTCGTTTTAATTAAAGCTAGTGATGAACATGTTTTTGTCGCATAACGCAGTAACTGATTGAAAATACGGACAACAGTTTGATTGCTTACTTAGCGATGGGTATTCGCCATCAAGAGATATCCAAAATTGTGACAGTGATTCTTTCTTAAATCTGGACTGTAAATTTGAATCACAATTTTAATTAAGTTTTTTTCTTTTTGACTGGCAAGTTGGCACCAGAATCAAAATCCTACTATGTCTGCTCAAAATATTGGAAAAGATCTCTGCCGCCATGTTTTTTGCGCGTCTCGTGACCACCTGCAGTGTCGCAACAAGTTCATATCTTACTGGAATATTATACTGCTCTTGACTGTTTTCTAGTTTAAACAAAGGAAATATGCATAACGTTTTATATAAATGGTCATAATAATCAGGAATATGACGCAGAACAGAAAAAGCACGCGTGCCAATTTTTAGCTTTTGAATATTGCCATATTCGATGGAGTGCATTCGCGATGAATCGGAGCCGAAAAAGCAAAAAATGTGATTACTCGGCGCCAAGATGTCGCAATATGACGGCGGGAGAGAAATTGCGTTATAAACCAACGCAACCTCATCTTCGGTAAAGCGATCGGAGCGCCTCCGCGATGAATCGGGGCCAAAAAAGGGAAAAGTGTGATTACTCGGCGCCAAGATGTCGCGAATTACGTCGCAATATAACAATGGAAGAGAATTGCGTAATAAACCAACGCAACGTCGTCTTCGGTAAAGGGAATAAAAACAACGAAATTTCTCGCGGACCGGCAAAAAAGCTTCGCGGACCGGCACCGGTCCGCGGACCGGCGGTTGAGAACCACTGATGTAGATGATGACAATGTTTGGAATGTCACTTACAGTAACTTTTATGGGGAAGTTAAACTTCAATTCCTTTATTTCAGATATACAGCAAGACATAAAGAATATCCGAGAGAGGTTAAAATTGAATACAAACTTACATTAGATGACATACAACAGAAGAAAAGATCAGCGCGTGTCAATTTTGATTCTCCGACTGGACCATCTGTAATTGAATCAAAATACACAATACCTCGATCTGGTAAGTCATATAGTGTTAGTTAGACATTTTCTATGATTATTTGGATTTGATATATATCTATATTTTGTATTATACTGTAGTATTATAGATAGACTGACAGTATCTTTGCATGACGATGATTATTTTTCTCATTCCCCAATCTAACCTAATTATGTGATGCAGGATACATAAGCACTTTTATACAATGTATTCGTACCTTTTTGCTCAGAATAATTCTCTACAAAGCAGCCACTGTTAGAAGAGGAACTGATGTAGTATGAAATGACCCGAATTTGTTCGTTAGATGGGGGTATGGGATTTGAACTCTAACCACAATGCCAATATGGCCACATACATTATTTAATTTATAAGAGTGGTAATGTTAAAAACAAATCATATACATATAAAATAAGTTAATCAGTACAGTAAAATATTATTGCAGACGAAGAGGACTCCTATGGATGATTTTGTTATGTTTTTTTTGCTTTTCCTTGTCCTTCCTTGGTATTTTTCTCCTCATTGTTATGAAAAAATCACTTTTCTCTTCAACTACTGGACCAATTTCAATGAAATTTTCAGTGGTTAAAGAATGTATTTTTTGCCGAATGCTATTACTTTTATTTATTTCAAAAATTTATGTGGGCTTTATGAAATTTGTTTTTTGTGTTTGAAGACATCACTAAGGTTAAAAATTTCGCCTTTGCGTTAGCGATCTAGTGGTCCGGCGAAGTCTTGAACACTGGGTGCCAGTAGGCTACTGTGACAGACTTTATTCCTGTACTATTTTGTGTTCATATATTTGAGCTTCGCTCTCATGTTGATCATAAAAATAGTTGAAAATAATTTCCTTCAAAGACTTGTCATTTGGGAGAATTGACAAATAATAGAATAGTTATGCGTATGAAAAATAAGTATGATAATCTCTTTGGACTGACAATGATTTATGGAAATTTATTTTTTTATCATGACTTTGAAGTATATTTGTTATTGTATATATTAGAATATTTTTTCAAATGCAAGTTGTAAATATTTCAATATTTCAACCCTGGATGTAAGACATCTATGAATGATGAACAGACAACAAACATTGATACATGAAACATCTTTTTGTTATAGGTAAAAAATTTTGTCCGGAACAGGATGTTCACACTGTATATTTCAGCAATGGTGTCAAAGATAAATTAAGTGATATTGGAATAAAAATTGGTAAGCTTTGTGACAGTATTTGCGAATTCGGTAAAAATTTTGTATTGTTAGACTTGGGTAGTAGGTAGTGTAGGTACTATGCAATATTTTGACAACCATTTTTTGACAGTTGAAAATGGAGAACTGTCACCTAAGTAATCACTCATGTATACGACGACCCTTTGACTTTTCATTCTGGTATAAATCTGCCCAATTTATTTTACCCCTGATAAAGCGATGCAAATGTTTTTTTTAATTTAGTTTTTGACTTCCTATGATTTTCGCAAGATTGAATGGTGCGATTTAGAAAGTACTTTTCATTCTCAAAGTTCCAGAATTACATGACCAATCTGTGAGAGTGTTCATATACTCATTTCATACAAGATTTAATCCTGCAACCTTTAGTTATAATATTCATTGGTATATGATGAATGTGCTGTAATACTCAGATACTTGATTATTTTACATTGCTCCAGCTTTTTAGTGTTATAAATATATAATTAAAACAACCTTGCTAATTGCTCTTTCATATTTATTTTAGAGTTTAACTTGGACTGGCCTAAAATTGAACGTGAAGAAGTTGGTGCAGAGGTTTTTCCAATGATAGAAGACCCGATATTAGATGCCGATCTTGATAAGAAGAAGACAGCAGTCGTTAAAATAAAAACTACCTGTGGGAGTGACGGATGTCAGAGTAATCTGAAAGTATCTGCATCTATGCCAAAAGAAGTTGAAATCGGTGAGTTGAATATTGGTATATCTTTAATGCAAATAATCTTTTTCACATAATAAAGTGCTTTGAAGTATAATATCTCAAATTAAATAGAAATCGATGAGAAAATTCTGGGTTTCGTTAGATGTAAAACTTTATGTAGATAAGCATGCAATGTAGAAATGAGAATAAAACAAGGATTTTATACAGGGTTTGTATATAATTTTACTCTAAACAAGGTGCTTTATGAGCAGTCTTTGCTAATACAGAACTACTATAGATTGGAAGAACCAGTTTGGCACTGATCTTCCAATTTATTACACCCTGGTATTAATCCAAAAAAATGTTTCCCCTAATGACACCAACCCTTTGAATACCCATTGGTATATGAATGTTTTTAAGCCAAGAGTTTTCATTTGTTGTCCCTGTCCTTACTGTCAATAACACACACTCCATTGCTGTTGCTTGTAATGAAGAATATGCCAATCATGTCACTTAAGTTTCCTTTTAAATCAGTTTTGTCTCATTTCAACTTACAAAATACAGAGCGAAGTTCAGTTAGATTTAGTTCCTAATATTAGTCAGAAGATATTAGGTTGTGAGAGATTACATATTTATGGCATTTTTATTTTTTTATTATTTTCCTATCAAGTGATATTTTTATTACAAGAAATTTGTTAAAATCTTAGGTGAGGGTGTTACATTACCTGTAACAATTGTTGTGAGCAATGATGGAGAAGAAGCTCATGAGGCATTCATTACAATGTCTCTTCCACCTAGAGTTGACTTTGACTCATTCTCAGTTAAAGAACCTTCAACTCCTGGATTGTTGTGTTATGCACAATCATCTGGTAAGTCCTTTTTTGTGTCCTGTAATGAAGAAAAAAGACGAAAATTCAACCAAATCAAAAAAAAAACCCAAAATAGTTTATAATTGAATTAAAACGAATAAAATATAGTTTCCAATCCAATTCAGTTTCAATTAGAAAAACTGTTTCAACATTTAACTACGCCGTGTAATTTACAACACTATAAAACTGAGAACTATCCCTTCTTGAGCTGTTATTGTTACATCATGAGCAAAAGAGTGAAGAGATTTAGAAAAGATAAATTTTTAGAGCAATAGAAACACCCAATGAAAAAAATGACTATCTATAAAAGCTCATAACAGCACTGCAACAGTGAAAAATCTTTCCCCATCATCAAGTTCATGCATATGAAACAAATAACTGGCCAACCAATTCTATACTGAAATAGACTGGTGACCGGACAAAAGGCTATGGTTTGCCATTCGAGGAAGCTGTCTTCTTGCTGAAAGAATTTGTAAATCCTATCCTATCCTGAGAAAGCAGTATTACCGCTTTTTATTCAATGTTTACAATTGGACATTGGCTTCATTCTAGTTTTTCATGTGCAATAAATAAGTATTAACTAATAAATTACATAATTTCAGTTCTCATATTGAATTTATTTCTTTATTTTGATGTTATTCAAAATTTAACCGAGTGATGACACCTTCCAGGTGAATCATCTTTTATCCGATGTGATCTTGGAAATCCATACAAGCCTGGGATGAAGGATGAAATTGTGATCCCACTTGGAGTTTCAAGAATAACAGCAGAAGATAAAAAGGTAATGATTTTTTTTGGATTCTATATTTTCTATTCTATAATAAATAATTGACTAGGCGGTTTGGCATGATAAAGGATTTGATTACAGAATTGAGGCAACAATCTTATTAAACTTGTCGTGTTTTTTCTCCACCAAATATGAATAAATTTTAGGCATGTTTCTTCAAAAAACACTTCATACATTTGGTGGAAGATAGTGGTGTAGTATGTAAAAGATAGTTTGATAAACATATGATACCTCCTTTGAGAGATGTGCTTTCCAATAGTCAGAGAGTAGAATATGTACATAAATAATGCTAAAAACCCTAATGGCACAATAAAACCAGTTCTGAAGTGGCTTGAAATTCATGAAAAATGATACTGGAATGGTAGAATCACATATATTTGGAGAGGAGCATCATAGCTTTTGGATTGTGTAGGCCGTAGGGGTTTCACACCTTCAAGTAGGCCTTGATGCAATAAATACAATATTATGGGATCCTATCATAGATTACAAATTTTGTGTCTATTCCAGAGAGAAGAAACTGATAAAACAACTTAATTATAAAAGGGAATGATGGTTTCCCATCAGGTTACCAGCTAGTCAGTTAATCATTCCAGACGTATAAACATAGACAGTAAAAGTAGCCTCTACTGACTAATCCTTCCACATGCGGAGGTATCCAGCGATCCTCCTGCATATAGTCGTCTCCCACCAGTTTCAAATCTATGAACCCACTCAGGATTGCACTGGCAAGAATACTTTTAAGGCTTACTCCAATGTTCCGATCATCAACCTTACTTTCTTCTTGATAATTTTTAGATTGAACTTCAAATCGGAGCACATACTTCAAGCGAAAATCCAGAAATTCCACCAGTTGTCTTGAAAGCAAGAGTTATGATTGAACTGGATATTTCTCTAATTGTATTTGCACAACCTGAACAGGTTATAATATTTTTTAAATTCACATTTCTTTCATGAATCGATGCTTGGTGTATAAAAATACCTGTGGGAAATGTAATTTCGCTCTATATCATATATTAGTCTGATATTTGATTTTGTAATAATATCAGAATGGTCTTTCAAGTTATATTGTTCAGCTTGTATTCTTAACCTGTACTCTTGTCATATATTTATTTAGGTGTGCCTAGAATAAATTTTTGGAAAATCCTGTTTTTGTGAAAAGATGGAAGTTATAAAATTTGTTTTCAGTCAAATGCATTTTAAAACTTATAGTGAATGTAAATCGGCTTTTACTTGCTTAATTTCTTGCTTAGCAATTAGTGGACCTCCAGAATTATGTGCACCAAGATGGCGCACAACCTGAGCATAGTGTGTGTACCAGGTTAGGGTTCAGGTTGTGCGCCATCTTGGTGCACATACATCGGGAGCGCCCAATAAGTTGTCTTGTTATCAAATACTTTAGGTCAGATATAAGGAAACACTAATACTTGGTGAAAGTGGAATGAAAAACACTGAAGATATTGGACCATTGACTATTTATACATTTAATGTGCGAAATGAAGGTAATTAGCTTTGATTATATTAGATGAAGCAGTTTTGATATACTATTTTTCTATAATTTCATTTTCTACTTGTAGCTACAAAAGTTTTGCAATTTTGTGAAGTACGGTATGTTATGGAGATTAATGAAGATTCCTGTGCTAATTTCATTGTAACTGTTCAGGTAATATTCCGGCTTCTGATCTTAATTTGAATGTCCAGCTTCCTGCTGAAATTCATAATGGAAAGTGGTTACTTTATCTTGTGACAGCAGATGTCAATGATGGTGGAATACAGGCTGCAGGAGACTGTGGTAGCAGGTACAATTTTGTTTTAACAAATTTGAAATACTCACTATTCAGCTCGGTGTTGGTTAAAAGGTTCCTAAACTAATCTCTGAAATTTCCCCAATTTTTTTTCTATTCCAAAAACTTGCCTAAAATTATCTTCGAGTATCAAGTCAAGTCTTTTTGGCAGTTGGCCGAGTTGCTTGCTTAGATGAATCAGGTCACTTCAAGTCTTCGAAAAAAGTGACTTGAGTCTCCCAAACACTCATTTCGTCTTCCTGCATTAGCTAAGGCCATTGACAATGTTGAATGTAAGATAATTAATATTATATTTAATCTTTCAGCAATGTCAATGTACTTCAACTAGAGCCATCCTTAGTTGCTGCCAGTACAAGTGGAAGATCCAAGCGGGAAGCAGAAAGTCTTGCCCAGGTATTGTTTAGCATTATTTATATTGTTGTTTGGAAATGGAATTATTTGTTGCTACATTTTAGTTTATCTGCAACAATTCATCATTTTCTTGATTAGGATGTTTTTCTTTATTGTAACATTGAACTTTGAATTATTTAGTACATAGTACTAATTAGAATAAAGTGTTTTGCTTTTTATGAACTTAAACTCAGTACCGATATAACATCTTAACACCTTTGTAGCAATTAACTGGGACACCAATTGATGCAACAAAAAACTCCCTCGATATGGGTAGAATACCAAAATATAATATTAAAACTTCATGCCTTCCTGTGTTTCACAAAATATTAACTTTCTGTTTATGTAATCGAAATTGAATTGAACTTTGCGAAGCTGCCGACAAATGTACCATATTTTACAGACTATAAGGCACACTAGTGCTATTTCATTGCTTGCCTACACTCAAAACCAGTACTGGTACTATTGTTTTATAAATAAACCATCATAAAATAACCATAAAAACAATTTTTTTGTTCAATGAGTTATGTAGGATAACCTGATAATCGTTGAACCTTCAACCTTAAAAACCGTTGTATCTTATGTATGGACAAAACCCCAATGTAAGCAATTTATTGAAGGTGCCTTATGGTTCGTAAAATGCTGTAATGTGACCAGTCCAGAACTATGAAAAGGCAAGTCTCCCAATGTTTAATTTTTTCTATTCATGCCACTTTTTAATTTTTCATTATGACATAGGATTTAAATGACTATGATTTGCTAGATATATTATTCCAGCAACACGATGTAAGCTAACTTTTCTCAGTTTGTCCAGATCTTCAATACTTGTATTAGCATTGTTGTTTTTTATTTTTTGCACAGGCTCAACCAGAGGCTGAAGCATCATCCAGTGGAAGTGGATATATCAGTAAAATTACTTTAGCTTGTGACAAAAAAAATACTCGTTGTATCAATATAAAATGTAATCTTGATGAGATTCCCCCTCTTGCAACAACTTCAGTGGTATTACAGGTGCGTAAATGAATAAATTGTTTTAAAACATATTGTTTTAGTTAATAGACCTGCGCTTTCTCACATGCTTGGATGACACTGTTATGAGTCAAAGTGATTGAATAATTTTCAGTTATAAAACGCATGTTATTTATACTAGAAAATCTCATGAGACTCCGTCAATCAACATGACAAAATCAATCGTTACGGTGTCTGTATGAAGATGCTCTTAATCACAAATAAGAAAACACTCATTCATTCATTATTATAATCAGACAATGTTAAACTTCTTTAGGAGATGCTCTACTGTCCATAAACCAGAAACACAAAAATAGCTGTTTAATCTCATTATGAGTAATTGATCTGGTTCAATCAAGACTTTTTTCCTAGAAGTATAAATTGAAACTATTTTATTTGAAATACGTATCAAACATGTCAGTAACATGAAAGAAAAAAAGTATTGCTTTCAATATCTTTGTTATTACGTCATAGATTCATGTTTGGGAACCAACCTTCCTTGAAGAATTCAAAGAAACTGATCTTGTGTATATTCAAACTCATGTTAATATATCTACTGATGCTGATAATATAAGATTCAAAGAAGACAAGAGTATCGGAATGGTAAATCTAAATCACCATATATTTGAAACCAATAAATTTTGATACTAAGTTTTAATTGCCAGCAATTGAGGCATAGAAGGTTCTTTTAATCATTTATGAAAACACTGGAGATCTTCTACTCGATATCTAGATTTTAGCTTTCATTCCCTGCATTTTCTCTGGTATTGGCCTATTGGGTATAACTTTTATATGAATAGAAATTTGTCCCATGCTATATTTTAGTATAACAATCTTACGTGTTAAAATGTGATGTGATAGTGTCAAAATATCATTTTCTTATTTTTGAATACATTTAAAACAACAGAGCCATCAATAAAAATATTCTCACAAATTTTAGTATTATAGTTTTTGATCTTAGAAAATCAATATTATTTTTGTCCATAACATTGTTTTAAGAAGCATTGTCTGAATTAAATATGGGACGCTTTCACAACTACAAGTTCAAAATAAACATAGTAAATACGGTACTTATTGCATTACAACAGTATCAATCATCAGCAAAGACATTTACCAATGTGGCTTTTTTTATTTGTACTTATTTCAGGTGCAAACAACTGTGGATCATGAGTTTTTCAAAAGTGATGTTACGTCCCAATTCCCATGGTGGTATATTTTAATCGGAATCATACTTCTTCTCATAATATATGTTCTAATTATAGTTTTGCTGGTGAAATGTGGATTTTTCAGGCGTAAGAAGTGAGTACTCAATTTTATCTATTTATTCATATTTTGGTTTCCATAAATTCTAAATTATGTTTGAAAATTTTCGCGGAACAAATAGTTGAGTGAGGATTACATATTTTATATGACATACTGATATCCTAATGGATTGTGCATATAAAACAAAGTAGAAGCACAGGACTGCTGCGTTCCGATAGTACAAAACAAATCAAATATTCAAAATATACAAGAATAACCGCCATAAACGAGACAAAGGTTTGGTACAACAACGATATATGCAATAGTCAGTTAATGACATGTTTTCTACCATGCAATGTAAGTAAAATATAATAACCTGATTATTTAAAATTTGTTCAGATTTCCTCGTCCCGAGAATGAAAATGACAGAACAGTGTTAGTAGAAGAAAAGGAATATGATGACGAGAGGATATGATTCAGCAAGTGACATGCCTTGGAGCAAAACAGCCAATATCAACATCATATCACGTCGAGCTGGTCTGGACTTCCTGGGAAGAGTCTGCTAAAATTATGTTGAAAAAAACGTATTTTGTTTTGTAACTTTATTGAGCCAAACCGAAAGCATTTATTATTTTTAGCTGTTATTCTTTCATGACTCTAACAGTCAGTCAACATTTTTATTCATCAATTTGTGTCTCTTTATGTTAATTACTTACTTACCAATGAGATTATATAATCTATTTTAATATCTGTAATATTGCGTCTGAAAAACGACCTAACAATTTGCAATTTTTTGACAAGCCGCTTGCAAATGAATAACAAAATTGTTATGCCTCTTGTTTGTGATACATTTTTGTGTTTAGAATTTAGTACAGAATAGTTAGCCTTTGCACCAAATTGTTACTGGGAAGATATATTTTGATCGTGATTGATTTATTTTGGGATGTTGTGTACAAATCAGTACAAATATTATTTGCTGGAATTAAGGAAAATGTGTTGAGAACAGTCATATTTTCTTTATCGGATATAATGCAGTTTGGGCAGACATGCGAAAATAAATGATTGATCGATCACATGCAGCTCAGCGATGTTACATTACGTGGTTTCTGATGGCAGTTTTAGATTTAGTGTGATACATTAGTGCGGCGTTTCCCAAACTGTGTTCCGCGGAACACCAGTGTTCCGCGAGCGTCTTCGGAGTGTTCCGTGGAAAAGGAATCTTGAATACGTCTAAAATGGTCGCCATGACGATCTAAGAATCGTGAAGTTGTCGCCCAACTGACCGTTCTATATCGCGTCATCGTCGGCTTAAAGTGGACTAACTGTAGTCAAATACTAATACGGACTAACTAGGGCGAAGTAGGCATAGTGGCATTTTCGTTAACCGTCGGCCTAGATTGTTGACGGTTAAGTTCATTATCAAATGTTTTTGATTTTTCTATAGGCAAACAAGTAGGTTTAAAGAATAAAGGCAAAAGGTCAACTGTTCTTCCTCCATCTCTGCCTGGTTTTACTTTAAAATGCTGAAAAAATTAATCATTTTCGGTAAACTCTATTCAGAAAATAAATAAACGGCAAGTCTGGAGCTCGCGAAATTGCGGAAAATACTTTTATTTCCATTAGACGTAACATTAGAGGCAAACATTACGTAATGGAAAGTAAACGCCATAGAATGGTAAAATGAATGAATTGATTCATATACACAGCATTTAAACTAAGAAACAATAAAACAGGTATAATAAATGCAATATGTAAAATATTCAATCATATTTTAGGTATGTTTACCACAATTCAATGTTTACACCGGTTTTCTCTATCAATTTGTTGTTTCATTTTTTGGTGTTCCGCGAGGCGAGATCAAAAGTGTAGTGTAGTGTTCCATGGCCGAAAAAGTTTGGGAAACGCTGCATTAGTGGATAAAATTTTTTCTTGATAACTCGACCTCGACGAACCACAGAAGGTCAGCTTTCTCTGTGAATAAACTAAAAATAAATTCACAAAACAACTATAGCTAAAACGTAGAAAAAGGATTCCGGAATGTTTCAGACAGGATAATTTATTGTATATAAACAAACAATGATAACTTCTATAATCAGTTCATACTATGAAAAGAAAAAATGCATGTACTAAGCGAAATACTAATCGAGACGAAATTAACACAAGTGTTTTGATAAAAGAAAGATACCGCATAATATTTGCGCTGATGATTTGGTTTCTGTGAGACTATTTACTATTTGTTGTGCTATCCTATGTACCTAACCTTTGACCCCATAAATTGTTTACAATTTGGATAATAATGATTGTAAAATTTTTTTTTCCCATTTTTTCTATGATTATTACTGTATCACATTTAACACATTTGTGAGCGTTTAAAAAAAAAAAAAAAATGTTGGTTTGCCCTACCAAAATGGTTTATTATGAACTCGACCATTGAAACCTTAATAATTTGGATGTATGTCTTCTACTGACAAATTTTCCATCAAAATTTCTTCTTAGTTTTAAACTTGAACTGGAAAAGTTATCTCAACAAGGTTTAGAAATGTGACCTATAAAATTGTGTTGGTAGTGCCGAGAATTGTTAAGGTACCGGTACCTGTACCTACCTTACCGTTGTCTACTTGTATAAACCTGTATAAATTGAACCCGCGCCGTACTTTGTACCTACCGGTACTCAGTAACATGCAATACTGTACTGGTACAGTTATTTTTCCTGAACCAGTAAACGGGTCTGGTATAGTTTAGTACCACATGTACTTTTAGTTGACCTGGCTCAACAATTTTTTCATATGTCAATCCTAACCACCACCTGACTACGTCACCGAAAAATTACGTCATTTCGACGTCACAGTGGCGTACCATAATAAGGCCCATCGAAGTATGCGGATGGTCGTCCAAAACGCGCAGACGATCACGATAGGAGAGAGATTGCCGGCTTTAGCAAGTTCATTGTCAACGGCGCAGATGCCATTTCGGGCGATCGTAGTTATAATTTGGCAAGCCCTATGACGTGTTGGTGACGTAATTTTTGGATGGCATAGTCAGGTGGGGGTTAGGAATAACATATGCAAAATTCGTTATGCTACGCCCACTAGAAATACTTGGTACTAAACTATACCAGACCCGAATACGGTACCGTAATGTAATGAAATAATTCTGCTGGCTGCTGTTAATGTATTTTTTCTGTTAATTTTGGATAGTTATTTATTGTTGGTAATTTTTTATTTTATATATTCTTTGATTATTGAATAATCCTCATTGTCGAACCTTGAAAAAAAGAATACTGTACCTGAGGTAGAGGTATAGCAAGCAAGACAACAAGGAATTTGCAAATGGTAGATACTAATGAAGTTAATTGCTTATCCGGCGGCCTCGAATAGATTGCTACTTATAGTTTGTTTTGTGACACAAAAAACATCCCAATTCTGCAATGTCAGAATGTATATAAAAAAAAAATGATATGCCAACATTATTTAGTTGTGTATTTTTGTACTTACGTGTAATTGGTGTTTGCTCGATATCAGATGTTCAAACCGTGGCTCCAATTTGGTACATTTTATTCGCAATACTGCCTTCAAGTGATTATCTGTCAGTCTGGACCAAAGTTTTGATTTGTTAAGGTTCATGACTGTTTGCTCGCATTAAATTTTGAAATACGCCGTTCAACTGTCAACTGATCTTAATTTGAAGAATGCTTCATCTTATAATGGCACTTAATGTCGTATTCCCTCAGAACTGGAATAGTTAATTATTTCACTTAAGTTCGGCAGGCCAATTTAAATTGTTACGTGGGCCATAATTGGCCCGCGGGCCATGGTTTGGGAAACCCTGCTTTGGGTGATGAAAATAATCTATAATTTCTTATTTTCTTTAGTGATAGATTATCGTGTATGCGAAGATAGATAAGTTGAGTAGCATGTTGAGTGGTGGACTAAGTTTGTCTGATTTAGCAGCGGAGCATCTTAAAAATGCAAGTGGAATCAACAACTCCTTTCCTTTTTTGTCATCAAAAGCGGCAATACAAATATCAGAAGATGAACCAGATTCATGCAAAAGCAATACAGGGGGTAAACTTTCTGCAAGTAGTAAAATACATTTTGATGAATTCGACAATATGTTCGATAATGATGAATTTGACTTTGAAACTAGCATCAAATCTGATGATGGTTACACAAGTACCAAAGGAAATAATGTGGAAAAAGTTGTACCATCGCCATTTGGCTGTGTCATTGCTGGAGCACTGAAAGACAACGACAAAATATATGCAGAAAATAGTTTTAGTCATTCTACATTTAAATATGCAAATCAACTTGTAGAACTTGATCAAAATCGAGACACTCATACAAAATGTTCTGCGCTTTTTCCGAGACCGAAACATGTCGAAATAGTCCCTTTTGATTTTTCAGAACCATCTCCAGATGATATAATTATTTTAAAGCAAAAAGCTGTTTTATGATATATTTTTATATTACTATACAATATACATATTGATTTTGCACCAGTACTAGAGCAGTAGAGTGTTTAATTTTTGGTGAATAGGTCGAGGGTGAACTGTGGCCTGTGGCCCTCTTACTGAATGTAGTCGATAAACAAATAATGCGCAGCTTGTGTAATTTATAATGTCATTGCTGAACGAGTATTAGTTTTCGATTGCTCGCTCCAGTGTTATGGTGACCGACTTAGCTTTTCTGGGTTGTAATATTAAGTTTTTTATTATTAGTTTCGTTATATGGATAAAAAGTCTACATTGTTTATATCTAATGAGATTTAACAATTTAGCCAATGTTCTGTTAAAACATCAACTCAAAATACATGCACATTTCACATGTGAACATCTACACAGTGGCGTGAAATGGTGCCCATGGCCAAGTTTAAAAATGCGCCTCTTGATCGTTGGCTGACAATTTTTAACGTCAGTTGTTAAATGATGCCTGTACATTATTATTTACTACAAGTAAAAATACAAGCTTCACATATTTCCAATTTGAAATTACTGGATTGAAACATTATTATGATTAAAACAATTAGATTTTTCGCTCCCTTTTCCAAACAGCATCGGCTTCCAAACTCGCACTGTCTAGAGATGATCCTGTGCACTGAAACATTTCCCTCTTTTGCTTCAGTCTTACGGAGATAGATTGGTGTTTCTTTTAATCTTCCTTTTTATAAACAATGTTTGATTACTGATGACATCCAAGTGAAACGACACATAACAAATCTGACCTATGTGATCTAAATCTCAGTAATCTTTTTTTGAATATTCATTTGTGCCATTCAGTAACGGCTCCCCGAGTAGACAATATTCTGATGAGGGTAATATTGGTGACTAATTGTTCCATCTTTTTCTAATTGTACCTCCATAATTGTAGCCTTGGTGAATCTGTCCTCAATATAATTTTTTGGCATATTTTTTTTTCTTGAATCAGTAGTTTAGTGGCTCTGTAATAGAATAAATTGGAACAGTCTAAAATAATAACAAACTATATTTCAGGTTTAAGATGTGGGAATCATTATCATATTACTCACAAAATGTCTCTGAGATTTTCCACCCTTCAATTTAGCGTATTGTGCTTTACACTATTTTTATCTTTTATCATTCACCTGGTGTCTGCAATTAAATAACTGAAGCGAAGTCTATTTTCCAAGTTCTAAGTAATCTTGGCAGGATTAAGAATAATTCACTTCATTTCCAAACTGATACAAATTTTCTGCTATGTTTTCATTTGGGCCCTACTTCCTCAGGTTGGATTATTTGCCCTATCTTCCTCAGTTTATCTTAGACGAAAGTCACGCAGTAACAGTAGAGCACCCATGTTCCATGTAACAAGTATCAGCCAGCTTCAATTTCCATACTTTACCACTCTGGGACATTAAGGAAGCAATTATTTTCAAAATCAATAATGCAAGTATAACTGATTTTAAATGTATTCATTCCAAGCATTTCTGATTGTTTGCTATCCTGGGTAAATCAATAATTCTGATCATAATCCACAGAATGCTCAGCATAATAGTTCATGAATATAAGCGATATGCTATCCCAATCAAACATGAAATTATTTCATTGATGCAAATATATTTGAGATTGTTTCTGTTATTTAATACAGTATGCAACCATGGTGTTTTCTTTTTTATTTTCAATTTTTCAAAATATTTTTGTGATAATGTGTTTGGTGTATAAGCTATCTACACAATACAGTTGTGTGTTATTTTTGTAATAAATTTTCATATTAGATACAGTTATCAGTTTTTGTATTGTTTGCTTGTTAAGCATTTAGAATCCCTGTTCACCACCGCACCAGGTGTGAGAAATGAGACTGTGTTGAATCTGAAATATTTTTGTCAAGTGTAATTTATTGTATCTCACCTAGAATCTTTCTCGGGAGTGAAACCTTTCCATAAAGTAAGTTGTATGATAGAATTCATATTTTCAACTTGTGTTTGCTCGTGGTCTCTACAATGAGCAATAATATTTCCTTCACACAGAAGCAGTCTCGGATTTGAAAAATGATATGAAATGTTCGTTCGGCGCTGTCTGGAGTATTCATACCAAGATGGCGCACATCCTGAACATGGTTTGTGTGCCAGGTTAGGGCTGTTCAGGTTGTGCATCATCTTGGTAGGAATACTTCCGGAGCGCCAAATGTTCTTCGTCAGAAGCTTGAGAACAAACACTGCCAAATAACTTGTAACCATATGAGCAATATCATCCATATCTTAATGTAGACATTGATTTGTTGATACAAGACTAAAGAGTAATTTTATTTTGCTATTTTCCATCTTATGCATTCAAAGTTTTATTTGACACCACTGGGTTGGAAGTCGCAAGGCACTTTCACAATTAGAACCGGTTTTGTAAGTTGATGCAGTATGAGTAATTAATAGGAAAATCTCACTTATTCTGTGTGTTAAAGCAACATATCTATTATTACCTCATAATAATTGAATGATGTATATGATGCACTTACTTTCAACTTATTTACTACATCGCATATCATCTATGGTTTAAAAAATCATGGCCAGAGGAATAATTATATTGAATTTATTGAAAATTCCAAAAAGTATTTGTCTTATCTTAAGATTTATAAAATTCAATTATTCAGATAGATAGTCAATGAATTCTGTATAAAGGAAATACTCAAAATAAAACACTCTATAACGCGCTCATATCACAATAAGTTGCGCCTAGAAATATAATGCAATGAGTTCAAGAATTTCCCAGAAGAGTGTACATTTTATCAGAAATGAGTTTTGAAAGCTGAATGATCTATATTTCAGTTCCCTCATCAGCATCTCGTTTTCTAACTTCCTCCAGAACAACCTTGCTATCATCTTCATCATTGGCTGTATGAGAATATCTGTGATAGATATAAAAGTAATGAGGTTCACCCGCTCATATTCTAGTGGTAATTGTTGCCCAAATTCTCTATATGTCATGCCACACAATCGCCTCAATCAGCGTATTTCGTGCAGTGGCGTATCTAGGGTATGACAGCCATGGCATGGGCCATGAGCGCCGTTTGAATTGGGGTACAAAGTGAGTTAAAAGTATTATTTCTGAAATGTTTCAATAAAATAATTTTAAATTGGAAATAATAAAAACTCGTCGTTAAAAATGGTCAACCAATAATCAAGGGGGCGCATTTCAAACCTTGCCATGGGTGCCGCTCTACATAGATTCGCCACTGATTCCATGCAACTGGTCAATCATTTTTACAGACCACCGTCAAGATAGAAACCAATGACAGTATCAGTTTCTTGATTTATATTAGCATTTGTTTAATTGGAAGAGAGAAAGTTCATTATTTTTGTCTACCGCAATACATATTGAAATAAAAATTTACACTGCACTTATTAAGGTATAGACTGGGAGATGGAGATACGACCAAAGATCATTAAAGTCAGCCACAACTGATTCCATCCAAATAATTAGTAAAGAAAAATAAACTGTTTGGTAGTAGATTGATAGACAACCTGATAAGATAACCCAAGAAAAATGAAAGAAAATTTACCGTTTTCTTCTGAAAAATCCACATTTCAGCAGAATAAAAATTACCAAAATATAGATCAACAATAGGGCTATAATTGCAAGCAGGATATACCACCATGGAAACGTTGATCTTATATCAGTCTTGAAAAAATCATGGTCAACAGTTGTTTGTACCTGTTATACAAACAATAATACATTTGTTAAATATGATAAGAAAAGTAGATGAAAGTATATTTGAGTTCCTGGGGAATAAAGAATATGGTACTTCACATATCTAGCAGGTTATGTCTATGCCTGTACTTCATGGAAATATGCAGATAATTTTATCAGAAGAATGTTGGATGACGAAAAATAACATTTTTACAAATTCAAAACTATATTCTTGATCAACAAATTACTAATCCTGGATTGGAGCAAGATAAATGTAAAAAAAACTGAGTAAGAGTGCTTAATTCAATTCTTTTTTACCAAGATCGCAAGAAAAAAATAGATTCCAATGTGCATAAATTGTATTCAATTTGAGAAATCAAATGAGAAATCAATTCAAAAAATATTCATTGCCATGACCTTTATGCCGATGTCACATTTTGAACAGAACCTTCTGTACAATTTCGGGTCGAATCAGCTTTTAAAGGTTTGTTGCAATGATGCTCCAGAAGGCATACAGACAGGGCCAGATATAAATGATGAGAGACACCCAGACTATTTCATTTGTGAGTCACCTCTATAACAATGACGTCACAAGGCTCCACGGAATCAATTATGACATTTTTAAATTTTGTAAAATATGAAATTCCAGTTACAGGCAATATACATACGCTAATAACAAATAGATTGGATATTGAGTTGAATTTAAAAACAAAAGATACAAGGATGTAATAAAACATCATGGCACAGAATAACAGATGAAACAACAACCATTTCCAGTCGCGAAAGGTCAAAAAAATTGAAAAGGTTTTTAAACCGGTAAACAAGCCTTTAAAATGTAAAACCGACTCAAAAAAATGAATAACAGTTTGAAATTGAGTGTCGAGGCCCCTAGGCTTCAGTCTACCTTGGTAAATCCGACACTGATTCGGACAATCGCAACCCCAAAACAAAAAATGCAATTCGCTATTGCTCAGGAAATAGCCATATGAAAAATTTTGGAAGTTCTGACATACACAGTATAACACCATATTACAAAATATCGCTAAACTGATACTAACCATTCCGTGCGTCTTATTTCCTTTGAATCGAACATTTTCAATAGATGATGTTAAACTGATCTGTGTTTGAATATGGACAAGATCAACATGAGTGAACTCTTCCAAGAAAGTTGGTTCCCATACATGAATCTTTAACAACATAAAAATTGCATATTATTGAATTATTTGTTTGTGGTTTTGTCAATCACAATTTTTGAATAGACTTGATATATCTTAGGATTAGGATTTACATATTTATCCAGGGGGGAAGGGAAGCCGATTATACAGCTTAATCATATGCGAACCACGGACTCTCATTCGGTTACCAGTCCATGTCGTATATGGGATTAGTTAGCCAGTTATTTGCTTTCAGATGCATGGACTTGATGGTGGAGAAAACTGTAACCGACCAGCGGTTACGGGAACCACCCTACATAATATGTGCGATGTGGCACATAATCCCATGGGGGATTCAAACCTGCGAAACCACGCACGGTGATCAGAGGTGCAGTGGTAAGCGTATTCCTAACGCTTAGCACGATGTGCCACACCGCCGAGAAAGTAGTGATTAATTTTTTTTCTCGTTTATTCAAGAAAACTTGCTCAAAGCAAGGTCATGCAAACTCACTCAGTATCTGAGCCAAGTAACATGTATCGTAATGATGTCATATATTGATTTAATGTCATAATAATGCTTTGCACGAATATATCTATGACGTCATAAGTAATGAACTGTAACATGCGCACAAAGAATGCGCTATAGACATTGGAGTTTATGAGTTGATGCTGCATGCTGCTATTATACTGTCCTGTATTTATTACTGTGTATTTAACAATGCAACTGTGTTCTTGGAAGTCTTGAGTATTCATATGCTCATTGCAACGCCTCTAGGTATCTTGACAATAACCTAACGAGATATTACAGACGACCACTGAAATACCAAGCTCTACTATATGCTTACCACATGTCCCGGTTTAGCCGGGACGCTTCCAATTTTAGAAAATGGTCTGGACTTAAATGTCCCGGTAATGCAGTATGACGGTCGTAAATATTTTTTTTCATTTGATATCAATACAAATTTTTAATGCAGGCCGCCAATTTATCACTGGTTTGCAACTCATTTCACTAGTTTAGATGGATAAAAAAATTGTTATAGTTCTCATTCCATACGTTAATTTAAAATGCTGAGAATAAAGGACAATTTTTTTACCGATTTGAAAAAAATTTCCACTGTTTGAAGCAAAACCAATAAAGAATATTTTAATAAGATGTACAGCTAATCTTGATGCCCATAATCTACCCACAATGTTATAGATAAAGTTTAAACTATTACTAAGCCTCAGTATCGAACCAAGGTCAGCTTGTCCAATCTGTACTGTTCAGTTTTTTGCATCAGATATATGGTAAACCTATATAGATTTGTTATGATTGGTTACACAACCAGCAAATGTTAAATGATTCGAGACTTGAACCAGTTCAAGTCAATGTGATCAGACAAATATCTATGAAGTAATGATTTACACACAACAATTGTGAAAATCAATGTCATTCACTCAAAATCAAATTTATGATCAATGTCTACCATCAATGAGCTTTTGTGAATAATATAACTACAGCAAATCACAGAATGTACAGAAAATATTTCAATTCAATTTTTTGGACTCGTTTTTGTTCCATTCTATGATATTGTCATCTGCAGCACGATATACAGTGATAAAAAGTTTGCTTGCTTAGAACTTGGATCTATCTTGTTGAAAACTGATTTCCAATAAAAATCTCAGCATTATTTGCTAATTCTACTAAATAATATGAAGTCAAAATTGGAGTAGCCTATAATGTTTTATGCCATCAAAAAAAATTAAAATTTTTCTCACCTGCAGAATTATCGAAGTAGTTGATTGAGATTCAATTTCATCCAAATTACACTTGATGTTAACACATCGCGTACTTCTTTTGTTACATGCAAAAGTTATCTTGCTTATGAAGCCACCACTTGCAGTCACTTCAGCTTCTGGTGCTATCTATTTTAAAATATACGGTACATAAATTTATTGAGATTAGAACTGGTCATGCCACTTGCGAGATACAACAAGATCAAAGAATCAGAGCCGATAATGGGGGAGCTACGTATGAGAACAGGGTGCAAAATTACTTTTCTGAATGGGCCAGTTACAGGTAATACACTTGGTCACTGGGCCAGTGAATCGAACGTAATATGAAAAACCATGAATAAAAAACAATTTATTTACAACAGATAGGCCGATGTACATACAAGACCCTCAATGTATAATAATGAGAAGCACAGTGTAACAATCGAGACATCATAACTTTATTTTCATCTATATTTTCAATGGAAATTTATATTCATGAAAACTATAGTTGTAATTTCAATTTCTCTCAGTTATCACTCTAACCATAAATCCAAGGAATAAATGCTAGATTTTCTTGTATGACTATGCAAGTTTGAATTTTGTGGAAGATTTGTATATGCAAAAGGGTTGCTGGACTCTTTGGTGCCCCGGGCACTATCTGGAGCTCCTGACTTGTTATGTATTCCTATACCAGATCTATGTGCAATCTTAGACAGAGGTCATCCTTCCATTTATGCTAATATCTAAACTGTATATGTTGGAAGTTTTCTTCAAGAACTTTGTGAAATTTTATCAGTCAATATACGCTATCTATAGATGTTAGGATAAACCTACGGAGAGTTTATATCATGTCAGATATAATCTTCTATAATTATGCATCCCGGTTTTATTTGAGGACCCGAGACCTTGCTTTGAGCAAACTTATCTTATTAACACATTTCCTATCTTACCTTGGAATATGATTCAGTTTCTCTCTTGCTTCTAATATTTGCAGGTGCTTGCAGCCGTGGGTCCAACTGGAGAACATTTACATAACTGAAGTAAAAAGTAATATTGCAAAATTAAGTAAAAGGTTTTTCAAATTCGCCAAATCGATTTAATTTTTGAAACATTCTTGTTGAACAAGTTCCACAAGATTCTTGAAATAATTGTCGAATTTTCTGTAATTTAAAAAAAAATCTGTTGAAGTTTCTCTCCGCTTCTTCCTGCGTCTTTTAATATTACGCTAAAGGCTACATTTCGTTAAACAAAAAAAAGAAAACTAACTTTCCACTACATGTTCCAGCAGGCACTGGACTTCCAGCTATTACATCTGATGCCACCAAATAAAGCAGCCATTTTCCGTTATTTATTTCCATAGGAAAATCAATGTTCACGACTATTCCAGAGGCTGGTTGACTTCCTGCAAAATTACGAGTCAAATCAAGTTATAAAATTCTATTTTGAAGTCGCAGCTGATCATATCATATCATACCTTGATTTATTACATTGAATGTATACACAGTCAAAGGCCCAATATCTTCAGTAGTTTGCATACCACTCTCACCAAGTATTTCTTTTTCTCTGTACCACACCTAGAATTTACATGAAAAAAATTTAGTATTGACTAGGGTCGTGTTTCCCAATCCATTTCTTAAAGAAAAGTTATTTCTTATTTTGCTGCAAAACTTGACATAAAATGATCATATTGTTATTATAAACATTGAGAAGTATGATTTGCTGTATCAGACATTAATAAAGTGAAATTCCCTCTTCAATATCGCATGAATTCTATTAAAAAAAAGTAAATGCATCATGAGTTTGGGATAGGACACAGCAACAAGTTCGTGAAATTCAAATCAAGTGAATCAAAGTTATAAATACGACGCTCCAGAAGTATGTGTACCAATGTGGAGGTAACTAATTTTGTTCGTCTATTTTACATCAAGTTGTGTAAAAGAACTGAAACCTATGGGAAGGGGGATATTCACTTGGCTAACACAGACAGTCCCTGAACTCGTGATAAAACTAAATAAGAAAAATCGTAACCCTATCTTGGTACAAATACAACGGGAGTACCATAAATACTTCGCCATATGACAGTCTTCTCATTAAAGATGAAACATTTTTAACTTTCATAATAATGGTTCAACTATTTGATGTTAATTTTCAATGCTTCTTGCTAAATGATAATCGATCTTCATTTTAATTTCAATGCATTTTCAATTACGCAGGATTGATGACTACAGTAATTATCAAGTGAGTAAGAATTGTAAACATACCTGCTCAGGTTGAGCAAAAACATTCAGAGAAATATCTAGTTCAATCATTACTCTTGCTTTAAGTAATATCGGTGCGATATCAGGATTTTCACTTGATGTTGACCCTTTTATTTCAAGTTCGATCTAAAGCATAATTTTTATTCATTTAAATAGGCAAAAGACATTAGCTGAGTATTAAAAATTATTTGGTATTCTGTGTAAATCTGTTAATTAATTATATTCTATTTTACTAATAAGCCATGCTCACCAACTTATCCTGTGGAGTAAGCCTTGAAACACCAAGTATTATTTTAATCTCATCTTTTGTTTCTGGTTTATATGGATTTCCAAGATCACATTTAATGAAGGATAACTTATCTGAAATAAGGTAATAGTGAATTCATGAAAATATAATGAATACATGATTTTATATGCTGCATTGGAATGATAATGGTGTAAAATGATGATACCAGTTACATTCAATCCTTGGTGAACATGTCTTCACTTGGAAAAAATGGAAAAGCGTTCATGTCTATACCATAAACACAACTAGTTGAATGTATATAGTACACTTTTACAAATTCATCTTCTGAGAACTCAAAATATATTGCTTTTTAAGATGGCTTTATAATATGGTAAGATGCATCTGTGTTACCTCTCTACTTCAGATATATACATAGCTAGTGATATATTTATTTTACTCAGATGTTACTTAATATGAGTTTCAAGGAGAACAACATTGCATTTGAAACATTTTTGCAAGTTTAGTGCAAGAAAAATAAGAAGTTGTGAGGCACCAAAAATAATTTATTTGGGTAACAGTATACCAATAAATCAGTTGTTAAAAAACATTATGACATGATTTCATACTCAGAAGCAAGAACTATATTTGATGAAATTACTATACCTGAAGTGGTCGGGTAACAAACAATTCGGCTAGACTGATCTTCCACTGTGTAATTATTAAAATCAATATTAGGAGGCAATGATACTGTGAGGAAAGACTGATGTGCTTCTTCTCCATCATTCACTACAAGAATTTTAACAGGAAGCTCTGATTCATCACCTGATTTGAGTGTAAAGAAAGTATGTTTATTTTGATTTTCCATCACAAACAATGTGCACCTGTCTCTCACCGAGTCACAAAAAACATTACGTCAAAATGCACATACATGCGGTAAGTAAAAAAACATATATATATATATAAAAAATGAAAAAATTATAGAGGTTTTAAATTTTTCAAAATATAAAGTTTGCAATATGTTGAACTAAACAAGAATTGAATTGTGAATCAAGCTTGTTAAAATCAGGTTCTAATGAAAAATATGACAGTGCTAACAATAAAAATTTGTAGATAATTAAATTAAAGATCACATAGATAGATAAAACATATGCAATTTAAAATTGTTTCAAATTATAACTTCAAATGGTCACTATATCAAAATATTCCTACCCACAACAACTTCTTCTGGCATTGATGCACTGAGTTTTAAATCACTCTGACAACCATCATCACCACAAGATGTTTTTATTCGAACTATTTTTTGTTTTTCTTTATCCAGATCAGCATCAAGAATGGGATCCTTAATCATGTTGAAAATTTCTTCACCAATTTTTTCTCGTTCAATTTCATCTAAATCTAAATCAAATTCTGTAAAATAAAAAAAATGATGTAAAATTGGAAGTTTGTTTTATAGATTATAAAGGTTGCAAAACATTTGGAAGCTCACCCATTTTCAGTCCAATATCACTCAGTTTATCTTCTGCACCATTGTTAAAAAATATCAAATGTGAATCTTGTTCTGGGCAAACTTTTTCTCCTGTTAAATTTTCATAATAATAATATAAGTAACCTGCTACTAGTGAAAGTTATTAGACTAAATTACAATGAGATTTCTCACCAGCTTTAGGTAGAGTCAGCTTTCTCTTTATAACTGAAGGACCATCAATAGTGTGAAAGTTTACTCTTGGAGATTTAAGTTCATCTTGACGAATACTATCTAATGTTAGTTTGTAAGTGATATCCACATTTTCTGAGTATTCATCATGTCGAGCATGGTATCTGAAAATAAAACAACAAATTATGACTTTGTGAAACTTTTCATATCTTCAATTAAAGATTTTTTGTGCCAAAAGTTTTTCTTCCAAGAAGTGAAAGTGGAAACAAGAAAGTACTTCACTGTATAATAAACACTTACACAAAGCAGTAGCTAATATCAAAACATGCATGATTTCCGCCAGGTGTTGAACAATTCTTGTCTTCAAGATCAATTTCAGTCAGACTTATATCAAAAGACATGTTAACACTGATGATTGGGCGAGTCCTGTATGATATTTAAATAAAAGGTAGGTAAACACTGTGAGAAATTAAAACTAGTTCACAGAATTAAAAGAAACAAAACAATATATCCAACAGCGAGAAATCATGTTCCCTTTATAAATTCTTCTTCTTTTTACCTGAGCAGTGCAACTTGATCAGAAAGAGTTCCAATCAATAAATCAGGATACTTATTGCTATCTGCATCAACTTGTCCAGATAATGATGCACCGAATCCAACAATATTTTCTATTCCCGAACCTTCGAGCTTGGTGTAATCAATCGCATTCACAACCTGTGCCTTAATAGGTTTTCCTTCATTCGATCCTAGATTATAATAGACACAAATAATTGTTAGCATGACAAGATAGTAATGCAATAAGATATAGATAGACCTTTATCATTGACATTCAATTGCCTAAAATGATTAGACACAATACCCATGTAATCGGCATAAAATTCAGGAGTTGGTGAGCTTTTCAACATTAGCAAATTTTAGGGTAAATCAAGCCACACACAATCACAAATATTTTTTGTAAATGATAAATTGAAAGCCATCGGCCCTACATTAGAAGGTATATTCATATTAACCTTAACAACAATTGCAGTAGTTGATTATTCAAATCCAGTCACTTTTCAAACTTTTAATGTAGAAAAAAGTCATGTGATAGCATACACTATATATTATTTGGTACCGGTAATGTTTTGGAATCACACAGAGGTTACTGTGGAATATTATATAAATGCAATGAGAAAATGTTGTCAGCATTTAAGAACGAGTTTCTGTTCTTATTTTAGTGTGATGGCTTTTGTTTAATTACTGATATGTGGTGAGCCTTGAACAAAGATCATTTCAGATAGCCTTTACATTGACATATTAGGTTGTTTCCTGCAAATTGCATCTGAGCCTAATATATATATATATACCTGTAAGTGGAATGGAAGTATTATAATTTCTATATTGTATTTTGTATTAAAGGATTTTACGATACTGGGAAAAGCATATTATGAGCTATCATTTGTTCAGCTTACTGGTATATATATTATATATGCATTATTGCTGTGTACCACTGTATTTTTTGTGTGGCAAATATGTGGGAAACCTTCTCAAATCACTTTACCTCTAAATATATGAACTACACCATTTTCATTTTCATAAGGTGCTCCAACTGCAAAATCGTTATAACCATCTTGATCTATGTCACCCAATGCAGCAACTGAGTGACCAAAGTATGAATCGGGCTGTCCATAAATTACTTGTGGTTCAACGTTACTGTAAAAAGAAATAATATTTATCATTTGAGAGATGATACCATCCACCGCAAATTATATTTTCCTGTTTTAATACCTCATTCCGCTTTGTCCATTCAAGTAAATATATACTGCCCCTCCTCTCTTGTTTTGATTGGAGTATTCATAATATTGTGGTGCTCCCACAATTAAGTCATCTAACCCATCACCATTAATATCAGTCAATGCAATTGCATATCCAAAACTTGATCCGATAGTTTCACCAAGCAACACATTAGCAGGGTCTGGTACCAGTGTTATATCACCGGAACTGTCTGATAAAAGCAACATAGGAATACATTAAAAGAATATCTTCATTACAATTTAATCAAATAGAATAACAAACTGCAATAGTGAATAATATTGGGTACTCCCGAAGTATGTGAACCAAGATGGCGAACACCGGAATGAGTATGTGTACCAGGTCAGGGTTAGGTCATAATTTCAGGTACAAATACTACGGGAGTCACTTGGCTAGTCCCCGAACTCGTAATAGAACTAAAATACGAAAAATTGGAATAAAATTATGGCCTAACCCTAACTTGGTACACAAACTGCATTCCGGTGTCCGCCATCTTGGTTCACATACTTCGGGAGAGTCTAATATTGTTTGTAGAACTTATTTTTTAGTATAATGGTCTAGTGTTCAAACCAATATTCAACTTGGAAATTTCAGTTTTCATTAGATGGTACTGGTACAACAATTAACTCAGTTTATTCTCAGTTTAAGCTGGTTGCTACCTATCTTATTTAGTCTGATTAAAACCGAATCTCTGAATCTACTATCTTTATGAAACAATATTGTTTGACATGCTCAACTAAGGGCAATTTTTTTTAAATTTTAATGCAAAAATATCTCAGATTTGATACTTCAGGAAACCTCTCCTGTGTAACTATTATCTCGAGGGTATTCGTTTTACTTGATTCATTGCTGTACCAATTGACACTTTCTTGTGTTTTTTTGAGTTAAAAATTAGCACAGCTTTTTCACCTTCTTGGCAGGCTAAACGAAATGTCATAGTTATTTAGACACATCGAACCTTATTTAAGTTAAGGCTATCATATTTCTCATACCTTAACCTATCTTTCAAACTTGATAACTTCATTTAACATACAATATATATGCATTACTGCAAGACATACCGTACATACTTTATTCCAATTGATACAATTTGTATTAAATTACCTGTATTTTTTCTGAAAAATACTACTGCGCCAGTATGATTTCCTCTTGGTGCTCCTGCAGCATAGAATACCTCATTAGAACCTGGATTGATTGCGTTACTTGTTGCTACTGAAAGACCCATGTAACTGTCTCTCATCAGTGGAAGTCTGAAAATTATGATGGGTCATAAAATGATGATAATATAGCATATAAGATATACAGTTGTATTAAAAGATGAGAAAGTCATGAAAAAGCCATATAAATTTCAATTCAAGTTTTGCTGAAATATTACTCAAATAAATTTGTTGTCTGTTTCACCCTATCTTGTTGATAGGAATCATGTGTACACTTGTGGATGAGTAGCCAAACACATGTAGGCATGTTATTTCAAAAATTACTATAATTCTTGTTTGATATCCAGATATCTTCTCTTTTCTATTTGTTTGTTAAAAACCTCTATTTTTGTTTGTAGCTGTTGACAGTGACTTTATATATGTCACTTTTTGTGTTTTAATACTTTGCAATAGGTTCTAAGATCTCTATATAGTACCACAAACTTACTTATCACACTTAAGACTGGAAGAATCCTTCTCTTTCTTGTAGCATGTAGGAGTTTGGTACATATCTGGTCGTCCAGCTTCCTCATCAAATATGAATGCTAAAGGTGTAGTGGGTGAGTAGGTTGGCATACCAATATCAAACATTGCTCCTGACCATGCCCATGTACCAGGTGCTCCTGTAAAGATGAATGAAATATTTTGTAAAATGTATACCAAATTTATGTAAATCAACAATGATTTTCAGTCATCATACAATGTGATAATGTGTGATAATGCCTGCCCCGTAAGTGTTGTGAATATATATGATACGCGTGAATAAAATCATGCAAAGCAATCAAGGTTTTTTGAAAATGATTTTTAACAAATTACTTAACAAGTCTATAAAAAAATAATTTGAATATGAATGTTATTGTAAAAAACGTCCTTTTTATATATACAGGGCAGGCCAAAAAAATGTTTTCATATATACACGGTGGGCCAAAAACAATTTCCAGCATTTAAACATATTTTTTTTTAATGTTTGACAAAACAAATATTAGTGAATTATATTTCAATTCAATATTATATTCCGAAATATGGATAACGGTCTATTTTTTTTTCAAGTTATGTCTGCAGTCTTGAGTGTGTTCCCATCTTTGCTCCAAAGAAAGCTCTGGACAAGCAGACAAATTTTACAATTGAAAACTATGTAAACAAGTTTTAAATGGCTGATGGTGGTTTATATATTAAATGAATATAAAACAACTGTAATTAAGTCTGTAACTTGAAATAGTTGTACTTGCATATGTGAATGACTGTTTGACACACAACGTAATTCTAAAAATTATGCTTTGACTGGTTCCATTACATTTGAACCCATGACAATTGCACCTGTATGCTATTGCACCTATGGAATTTTTTTTGTTTCACGGATAGTTAAACCCATACTAACTCTAACCCATGGGTTTTAGCACCCGCATATAGATTGAACCCGTGGATATACGCATGGGTTCAAATGTACATGGGTTCAAATGTACGGTCACCGCTTTGACTATATTAGCAAATCATTGAGTGATGTGAAACAGTGAATGCAGGAAAATCATTTCACACAGGTGAGATATGCATTCGATCAGTTTTCACCCAGGATGTATTGTTCATCACGAATGGATATAGAGGATCCTGCTTGCATGTATCCATATCTTTTGTTTGATTTTAGCATGTGATTTCGATCTTTCTCTATATCTGATAGTACGTCACAAGGTGAAGCTAAATATCAAGACATTAATTCCTTTTGGTTTCTCTAAATCAGAGGTGTGCAAGAGGTATCTCGAGGGTCACAACCCAGCCCGCCAAGCCATTTAGTGTGATCCTTGTCAAAACTCAGATTTTTCCCCATCAAGTATAAAAATCTAACTTTTGTCAAAGCTGATGGTATAAAAACTATGCAAGAACTCGAATTTTCAAGTGTCCCGCTAATGTTAAAAAAATAAAGTTATGCATTGTGAGAATTTTTTAATTTGTTGTGTACATGGAAAAACCAATTCTCTTTCTGTGGCTCGGCAAGATGTCTGAAGTTGGCTATATGGCTCACCAACAAAAGATGATTTGATTCACAAAATGTTGGAAGCACATATTTCATTACATCACTGATCACCACTTTTAGGAATACAATCACATGAATGAAAGTGATCATACCAGTGATAATCTGTGAACACCTCTTTGCTACAAGGTGATTCAGTTATCTACTGGTTGTTACAAACTTCACTAATCAAATCATTTATGCACTTTGCGCAATCATCTGTTTGGCTATTATAATTTCTTACCTTGCTTGCAAAGGTAAAAAATTACAGCTTACGATTATTTTCTTCCTCAGTGTGTACATGAAGCCCTGCCCTGTTTTATTTTTAAATTAGGTATATCATGGGAGCATTTTCATTGCAGAAAATATACTGCAACAAGTATGAATTCTAAACTAGTACATAATATGATATTCATTTTAACCTATTGTTCAAAGTTAGTTTCATGTCACCCACATTTTACCCAATATATACTCAGATTCAGTAAATGCAATTGAAGCACCGGATTGTGCATATGCATATAAATACTTTTGATTCTGGAGTCGTGGAGAGAACTTTGCACAAGGAGAAGCTATAAAATAGAAGCTTATTCAAATAAAATTGGGCCTCATTATTAAAAAGTTTACAAATATGTCATAAATTGTTTTTCATTGCTCAGACAGACAGATGAAATAAAAAAATAGAAAGATAAAAATGTGTATTTAATCTAAGAGTAGAAACTCTCATAATTTTTTAATTTGTTTTTTCCAAACTGTGGCCAATGCATTCAACAATGTGTACAAACATATACAACTAAAGACTATAATACAGATCATAAAGAATTAGTTTAATTAATATACTTACATATAAACTTCGTTGTGAGTGAGGCACTATTTGGTGGTACTTCAGTGATAAGTCCATTATCAGTAGCTAAACATAAAAATCAAATTTCATCAGAGATGATATTTTGAATAATTACAGTCACAGATTTAAATTTGTAAAAAAAAAGTATTTTTTAGAAGAGTAATTCATCGCTCTTTTGAGTCGCTCTTTTCACAGAGTTATGCTAATTGCACTCTACAACTCTAATTCAATGTGGCACAATACAGACTACTAGTGGTTAAAATAAAAAATAGTATATTTGTACCATTCAGAAGAAAACATTTTCCACAAACACGTTCAACTTCATTTTGACTTCCAGTGTATAAATGTTGAGTGAATCTGTGTGCGCATGATATCAAAAACTTCCCAGGTCCTTGTAAATATATAACAAACATTTGGTAAATTAAACTAATAAACTAGACGAAAAAAAGATTTTAGACAGAACCTATTGGGGGTAAATAGTATACTACATATTTAAATACAAGGTAAATATAAATTAGGTAAAAACCATATACGGAACATTCAATTTTTTATCATTTTTGAGCATATTAGAAACATTAACTCCTTTTACCAGTTGAACCAAAAAAGGTATAAATCATTTTCAATGTGGCCTTCAGTTAAACATTTGTAATGACCAACCAACCTATGTATCATACCAGCAGTTTTTCATGGAGGCACATTCTAGTGTCGATTAATGGTATCATATCACTATTAATTGATTAACGATCAGTAGCTTTGAAAAACAAGATAGCAGAAGAAAAAAATAATAATCTTATGAAAAGGAGTTAGGTTAATTATACAGACCTTGACTCATCAGACTAACTCCAAGCCATTGATTACTCTTAATAAACCTTGTACCAGATCCTGATAGAGTAGTATCACCTGAAATAATAGAAAAGTATATAAGGGGACAAAAACTATACGACTCAACAGAATATCATTGAGAAACAACAATAATTACTGAAGTTGAACTGAGATTAGGCATTTTGATAATAAATTTCTTCATTCCCCGGTCTCAAAAGTCAAAATATTCCTGTTATCAATTCAAAATTTGAATGGAGTTGAAATATCACCAAATTCATCTGTGAACAGATATCTATCTGTCTGAGGTTTTTGACTGATGAGTAATTTTCATAATTAGCCTGGTAATTAGGAAGAGGAGAATGTGATGAATCAGTCATGATGGCTTTCTCTCCTATGAATAATGTACACTGCATTCTATTCAATTACAAGCACAAATACATTTTTGCACATATCATTAAAAATACCTCCAGCATCCATATTTACACGAGCACAATCTTTAGGATTTGTTGTCACAGGACAGTAGAATATTCCACCCGGATTTCTTGGAGTATTCCGACTTCTTTGTAAAATAGAAGCTTCTGCAGTTGGTCCACCAACAACTAGAAGTGTATCTCGTGCTCCACCTTAAAAACATCATTAAAACATTAGATTCTTGTGTAGTTCATTTCAATATAAATATAATATTTTAGTTCTAGCTTTGATAACCATCAGAAAAATAATCAATTCACTATCAATAATCAATTCCCATGCACGCCAGACAATGCCGAATTGATGAGATTATGGATTATCTAAAAAATATCAGCTACTTATACTTATATATCACTGGATGTAAAGGAAACACTTGTACATGGTGAAATTAATCATATAGAAAAGCTTAATTTGGATTAATTGAAGATAAGCCTTCGGTACCAAAATATTGAATATCAACTGCTTTGCTATTTGCATATCAGCATACAAGTCAGTCTCTGAATAATATAATAATAAATAAAATAGAATAATATGGGTATTCACTGAGGAGTAATAAAAGGTACTTTAAATATAATTTTAGTGTTAAATAATAACAAGATTAGTGATAAATACCTAATTTTTTGATAATAATTTTTTAAAAATAAGTTACATTATTCGCACTCTTGGTATAACCTGTTTTTTTTTGTAATATTATAGCATGTAAGTGCATTTGTTTTTAGGGTGAGGGTTCTTGATTTTACCCCCATAATATGGTGAGAGCTCAAATCCTAATGCTCATTAATGCTATTATTTGAAAAGAATTACATATTATAAAAAAAATTCATTTTGCAATTCCTTCAACTTACTTGAATCGTCAGTGGATATTCGATGTTGAGCAACACTGAAGCCAAACATACTTGATGATGGCCCATACTTGAATAGTGGCAAACGATCTTCCAAATTGTAACTTGAAACAAGTTGTACTATAGTGAAAATGATTAGCATGCATCCAAATTTATAATGTCTTGATGAGTGTCCTTGGTCCATTTTGTTGAAAATATAAACAAGGTTGCAAATCTTTTATTAACAACTAGATGTGATGAGAAGATTATATATAGTTCAGTGAATATTTAGTAGGGATCTACATATAAATAAAGGAAGTTATATTATTTCATTATTTAGTTAATGCATAGATATTATAATCATCATAACAGTAGAAGTTCATCTCGATTGATAACAAAATTAAAATTGATTGTCTATCGTGAGAAAATGGTTTGAGAAAATATCCAAACATCAAAAATAACAAAAGTAATGATATAAGTATACCATATAAATTAAATCCTGTTGCAGGAACAGGCGGACACAAATACTAGGTGCTGCGAGTTTACAACTACTATACTAGGCAACAATTTGTGTTGGTGAAGAAGCATACAATGCACATTAGCAGTAAAGAACAAAAAATGATATACTATATCTCAGATAATATTTCATAATTATAACCTATTTCGCGAGAAATGATATCAACAACACACATTTGGGCTACAAATGTTATACGATATACCTTGGTGAGCTTGAATTTCTGGTAGTTCATATTACATTTTTCAATGAAACAAAAAGCGCGTTTTCACAACAAACTGAGCTATAAAGGTATAAAATAGACTATTTCTGCCAAGAGCAATAAAAATATGTAACGATATCTATATTCCTTGTAGTTCCGAATCGTTTTAGCCACAATTTTGCGAATGAATCAGATTCAGATATTTTATTTCGTCGAGCATGAAATATTGCAACGACACAAGTAAACAAATATAATAATGAACAATCAATTTGAATAAACAAATACGGTATACAAGATTTCCGAAATTGACGAGGGACATTCACCACATTCAAGTCCTTCACTAACTCAAATTGAATAGCGCATCGCACAAATAAATATGTCACACAATTTATGAAGAAACTACTGTGTTGATCCCGAAAATTTTTCAACTGGTTGGAGGTCAACATTTGGGAAAAACGATGAAAGCATGGTCACCTCATAAACGAGTTGTTACACGGCTCACAACAGTAACTGTGTTCTAGTTATTTTGCATTTACCCTTACATAATAATAATCTTCGACAAGTTGAACAGATTTCGGACGTAAATTATTGGCTCCCCATCACTGAAATGCCTCTCCGAATAAAAAGACAGCATTTTCATTGACATATTATATTAGCATAAGCTGCGTATATTAAACATCGTATTTTTATCACGATCTACAATAAACACGTTCAATTCGCTATATTACAAAAATTTCTGTCCACCTTTCTTAAAAACTTTCTACTGACTAAATAATATTCATGACTGGCCACACTTGCGCATCGTATAGAAACTCTACCAGGAATTTACTGCATATGCTCAACTCGCATTGCGATACACGAGAGACAAGATATGTTTAATCATTCATCATCTTTTCTTCAGGAGCAGCTGTCGACTGGTGAATTCCTATGGACACTTTCCTCTATGATTTGTGCGATAGCGAAATGACGTCACTCAAATTTAGTTGTGTTGTTACTATTGAAAAAGCGTGATAAATTTACCGGTTTGGTATAGTAAATAAACAAAATTCATTTCATTTACCTTGCCAACAAGTCAGCAGTGCTTCTAAAATTATCCATGATTAAATAACTAGCACGGAATAAGCGCGAGATTGCGTCATGTATATTTGAAGTACTAACTAATCACGAATAAAATTAAGTAACAATTGAAAGCTAACTGAATTTTACAAATCTTTATCGGGTGGTAAGATGGAATCAGACAACTGAAAAGATTTAGCTAAAATCACGTTCTACAACATAAATATATCCGTTTAAATGAGGCAAATGTAATTGAAAGAAAATTAGGGCGCTCCCGAGAGGTAATGGCTATTAATATTATCTGCGATAAAAACTTGGGAAATAAAAAGCGATGTTATAAATAAGAGCCCTATGACAGTCCAAACTATGATATATATACGCCCTATTAGACAAAGCAAATTTTTAGAATTTATTCCGTGTAACTGTACAACCATCACTAATCTGGTCTAAAGTGATGGGAACTAATAATGAATTGAGCCTGTTGTTATTATGCTAAACAGTATTTTGCACTGACTATTCTATAATATAGCCTGGTACTTAAAAATGGTATTTATGTTATATTATGTCATGTCACGCAATGTCTCCATTCATTTTCATATTCAGAATGTTATCCATATGGTAATGCTATATATATAAACAATTTCTAAATGTATTCTATAATTGCATATGACACGATTTTTAGAAACACCTTTTAATTATTTCACCAAATATTCACAATTTTCGTTCGTTCGCTATTTTACCCATATTGAACTTGCTTCGGGTCAAAGGTAGATTCTAAGTATTTTTTTACAAGGGAAATGTGTTTTTGAAATTTTTTTGAAACTAATCATTATATATACGACGTTTGTTTCCTGCGTAATGTGAACAATACCTCATTGCGTTCACGATCTGAGTTTACGCTGTCCATATCAAGAGATGATGAAAAAAGCATTTGCATTTCAAATTATTTTTCTAACTTGACTCCAAAACAATAGGATGACTGACAATAGCAAACCACTCTTTTTCTCATTACAAAGCAAGATGATTCCCAACGGTAATAAGTCGTAACAAGCGGAAAGGTCTTCGACAACGCCCAGTCACGTGGTTCAGAACAGTTGTGGTATTTATTTCATTACTATGTGAGAATCGAATTAACAAAAAACATAATTCATCTGCACGAAATTTATACTGGTCTTAAAAGGTGAAATATTTAGATACACACCAGAGCAAAATGCATTACATCGACTTGTATAAACCAAGGTTGAAATATGAAAGTTCAGGGTACTGAATTACTTGCAACCCGAATGGTGCATCGTGTATAGTGGTTCTGAAAGTAACGTTCTCCGAGGAAATCAGGCCGTTTTTATGGTATTTTGTTGAGTTATATAAAATGTGGCGATCTCTCTTTTCGATAAATACACATTATGAGATGACCAAGTATATAATATACAATACATTTACTTATATACAAACAAACATGCGTTTTCAAAGAAAATGTTGAAGAAGTCTCGTGTTAATCTGGCAAAAATACGTAACATTGATCTTAGTGCCGTACAGAGATGGTTTTCTTGTTTGTTTAATGTCTTCGACGACACGGAACACACGAGCTTAGGATCTTTGCTACGTTTTCGGTCAGATTAGAATATAGAATTGGATTAAGAGCACTGTTGATTGGAAGAAGTACGACCGCTGCAACTGCATAAGCAGTATTGTCCACATATGCTCCAGCAAACTTGCAGATTGCAATAATACAAATTGGAATCCAGCAACAGAAATCCGTAGCCACAAGTCGTAGAATCTTTTTCTGCATTTCTGAAAAGACAAAAGCATAACTAGTATGGGAATTTGATATCAAAATTATTTTTGTGATGCATTTTTACACTCATCATCCGAACAAAGCTATAAGAATCGCAAATGACATGTAGGAAGCTATTTTTTTCGAAAACACTTGGAATTATATATTTATATATTGGAGTTAACTATATGGCCCATAGTATACCTAACTTGTTCAGGTCCAATATGTCCATAACTAAATAACAGCTGAAACTACCTTTTGGTGAAACAGCTTCTCATTCATCTAAAATTTCACTTGTAATAAATTTTTAAGATACGCTTTGCTTTTCGCCATGAATGAAGATTTAAACTGGCAGACGTCAAGGTATACGAGGCTACATGAAACTTGGAATTACTGATATGTTTACCTATGGATTAAGGCACGTCATTGGCGGGCCGCACATGTTTTTTTAGAAAGTTGAAAACCGAACGGATGATGCTTTTTAAAATAAAAATCAAGCAGTAATGCATCTCTCAAAAAGAATATAGATTTATTTCTTCATTGCATTGCATCTCAAAAAATTAAATTTGGATATTTTCGGCGCCACTGAACCCTTTGCCCTTAGCATCAACCTTTCTGCGTTTTGTTGACATTTGTCTGATTATAATTAAATTATAGGCCCATTAAACGAGTAATTGTGAATTATATACTTGTTAGGTTATAATAATATTCAGTCTACACGTGTCTCACGATAAATTCTGTCACGTAAAGATAATAATCTTCATAACAGCTGATTTGTTGTTGGGTAATCGAACATGTACTACTACTTTTATCAATACCTTCCCACCTAAAATCTGTACGCTTCAAACCTTACTTGAGGTTTCGTTTGCTTCCCCGATTCTATAATCAGTTTTATTTATTTTGTTTTTATCAATTATTTTATCGTCTATTGCTGATTATTGAGTCGAAATAAACTTATACTTATGTTACCAATTTGTTAATTCAGTGAAGCGTCGCGGGCCTGTTAGCATTTTAACGAGTAAGGAATTTTATTCCTAATGAGAATTACATATTTTTTATTATCTGGGGGTAGTAAATGATATATTCGTTGTTTTAGTAATATCAATCACATCAGAAGTTATTTTTTGCTCCAAAAATTCGACAACTCATTACTGACGTAAATTTCTTTCGTTGTCTTTGTTTCCTGGTGCTATGTTTGAAGTGTTTGTTGATTTGAAGTAAATCGCCAAATACATCGATACAACGAATATGAATGCAACAAGGTTGAAGATATTGATAGTCAAAGAAAATTGCCATGCAGGGTCCGATCTTGTGACGAAATATTTTGGAATACAGACGCTATTCACACTGTAGTACCTAAACGGAAAGTGTCGTTAACTAATCAGGCAAAATAGTGAAATTTGGAAATAAATACTCAAAATGTAGAACATTTCATTAAATAGTTTAATTGAATATATATTGAACTTCTTATTGTAGCTTACGGGCGTCTCTACAAAAATGAAAATATCAAGATGAAAATTTCAATATTCAAAATCGTTGTCATTTTCGTTTACTGGTTCTGGTTAAACTTGGAATTTACCATGTTTGAATCGTAGGCTAAAGGTCAATACAGACCAAACCCCATGTCCACTAACAGAGCCGTGTTCAGACTGGAAGGCATATACAAAACGTCGCATAAAAATGACTGAAATGGTTGAATCAATACTGCATACCATTTCAGTGTTTTATTCTCTACAATATTTAAATAACATTAATGTACTTTGAGAAAGTGGATAAAATTATGGTTTTATTCTGATTAAATATGATTTTCAACGTACCCGAATAATGTTTCTAAAGAGAATAAGTCACTATGAACAAAATATTTTTTCGACAATGATTCCAAATCGTGCCAAGTTGATGTGTTAATAACATCATAGATGTTTTCTGAAAATCAAATAAGATATAAATTATTCGGAAATACGAAGTAATGAGTTGTACAGTAAGGCTTTCATAAACGCTATAAACATACCGTAAGCACCTAGTGTCAACTGTTGTTAAAAAAGTGTATAAAACTTTATTTTTAATGCGTTATTTCGATTTGATGGCTTGATTCGTTACATGGGATCACTACTCACTAGTATCAAATATTACACTACTCTTCTTCATTTGACCTTTCAATATACCGGTAGCTTACTGGTTGTAAATACGAACAAAAATGTGTGCACTTTATTTACAAACAGTATAGAATAGACTATTGTCAAATCACACCCTGGATATGTCTCTGTCTCAATTCGATGCTCAGAAATTACCTTCCAGCGAAACATTATTCTTCAAATCGAAGACCAACGATCTTTTGAATAAAGTTTTGGCTCCATCGAGTGAGACTCCTACATTTTTTAAAAATGGATTATAGGAGAACGTTGCGTGTGCGACAAATATCTCAGATAGAAACGAAGTCAACGGTAACAATGCAATTATAATAGACAGTATCCAGATCATTATAATTGAAAATAAAATGCATCGGACTCCAGGACGCTGGGCCGATTCAAAAGGCTGCAAAACGAAAAGATTTTTGTACTTTAGAGTTAGAGTATGAATTATTAGTTTCCGACGCTTTTGAACGCCGGACTGTTGAACATACTTTACTTCGGTATGATTTTATCTAATCCCAACCTAAAAAGGGTGAAGTAATAATATTTCCACTGGCACTTTTCCTTTACATCGCATAATAAATATATAAAAAATTACTGACATTTACAGACAAATGGTTCTTGTTTCGTTGCTTAATTGCTATCTTCTCAGAATAGAAACTTGTATACAACTAAACACATTACGTCACAGTTCTATTGTGTAAACTCGAAGAAAAAACTTATTGCCTATACAGTATTAGCAAATTGCAATGAGAATCATACCCGCAGAATAGCGTACAATCTTGCACAAGTCAATAACACCAACGTCATCACAGATGCTTCACTCGATATTACCGATAGAACACCGAGACTGATGCAAGCGCTACTTGATCGCCAAATCAAGTCTTTAGAGCAATATTGACCCTGTAGAATACTTTGTGTAGTAAATCTCTTCAAGACATCTGCATAGTTGTCTTCATCAGCCAACACGAAGCTGATAAAAACCTGATGGATATTTCCCGAACATCGAATTCTTTTTTTATTACCGTAACACTGTTCAATCAGTGAGATGTAAGAGGTGACGTAACAACTGAAATTTCAGCAGCAGCTTTTTCATAGAGTTTTAGGCAAGATTTGCACTTTTCATTGTTTTGCTAGCTATTTGTACGTTTCAGTGCCCTTTCCGAAATTTAGATATAAATACCGAAAAAGCCGCAACAGACTAGGTTAAAATTATCTAGTCTGTAAGTGCCATCTCGCAAAAATGCTCAAAAATAAGAATAAAAAAATTCTATAGGTGAGGCATAGGAAGAACTTTTCTGGGTTCAAGGTTCGGGAAACATCCAATAAGTTAGTTGAACTGAAATAAACAACCATCACTTCACTTTTCATGCACTAAGCCTAAATCCCACCTGCATTACAAGACCTGCAATGCCCAATCCAATGAGGTAAATCCCCATGATTATATCTGAAACGGCCAGATTCAAAATTAACATCCTGTTGACTTTTGTTACGGGTTGGAGTTGGATACTTCCACAAATGTATCGTATTTCTTGGAATATTACAGACTGAAGAAAGAAGGTGAAGTGAATAAGTAAATCTCACTACATGTGTTGTAAACCAGTGTTGCAATAATATCAATTTGTGCCCAGTACATAGAACCGGGACTTTCGTGCGACCACACGAGTGGTTAAAACGTCAGACTTAACTATGATGACATCGCAGGGTAAAATCTCGGGTTCGATTCCCATGATCACCACTTCATCCAGAGTGTAATATTGTATATAGGTAATGCCGAACCAAAAGTCCTTCCAACCAAACCAAACGATGGTAGCTCCTTACCTAGCGAGGATTGCTTAAGCAGAGCCTTGTTTGGAGCGAAAATAAATATACGTCGTATACATATATATATAGAAATATTGACATAATTTCCCCAAGCAACGTTTCAAATAAGTTTTGATCTATTCCAGTTTTGAACTGTTCTGAACGGTACGGATGAAAAACGATGAAACCAAGTTACCACCATTTTACCAAGTTTCCAGAAAATGACAGAAACCCCATGATCCACACCAGTGTACGAAGTATGGGATTCGCCAGTAGTTCATATCGCGATGAAAATACGTTTGTGGAAGTTGATTGGTTAATCGTAGGACATTCATCACTCCAATCAGAACAATCACCTTTGCCATCAAACGTCTGTAAGATTTTGTCAGACAAAAAATTAAAATTAATAGGACTTGGACATAACTGTCCTATTGACTATAAGTAAGGAAAGGCTGTCCGAATAGCTTTTCGCAACGACTAAGAACCGTGAAAGCGTATAATTAAGAATAAATAAATAATAAAAACAAGAAAGTTAGCACAAAACTTGGATGTCTTGGATTTATTGCTATTATGAAGACCAATATAAAGCGCTAGCAAGGCACAAACAAGAAAATTTCGAAACCACGGTACTACTAATTTAGTAATGATGTAAATTCTCCAGACAGTGTTGTGAAAAGAGTAATGTACCTGTCGTCTTCTCACAAACAATGGATCTTTATTTTCACAATAGAATCGGTCGTCGAACGATGAACAGTTTGCTTCATCTGACGCATCATCACAATTTATTGCAAAATCACAGTAAGCCGATATTGGAACGCTTACCTGAATAAACACTTCAAATTACCTTTTTGGAATATTTAACCAAGAGCTTAAATAACTGTTATCAGTGATATAGCCTATTTTACCTAAACGCTTACATTTATTTTTTATAAGCGTTTACCCCCATACCTCCAGATTGAAGCGAACTAAATCCAGAAAAGCACGATGCGGAGTTTTTTAACGAAAACGAACTATTTTTTATTTATTCATTTCTCATTATTTGTTATCGATTGTCAATTACGATAAACTTAAACGTTGCCTAAAAAGAGTACACGTTTTAAAACATGTCTATACAAAATGTAAACTTATATATATTTCAATCCGCATGCATGATAGGAATCGGATTGAATTTGAAGATATTAATTGCCCAATTTAAATATATATCAGATAAATCTATACCTTTGTGAAATAATTTTATTTTACTCATAGGGGCAACAAGTGAAATTTAGAACCCTATAATTGTATAACCGTTTTCATATAACACAGTGATACGTCAACATAAGAATCTACAAACGCAATAACCATACTTTTCGTCCTCCAAGGGCAGAGCAATAAAATTTTTCATCTCCACAAAGTTCAATAGTTTCATCCTCGCCTTCGTCGCAATCTTCTGTCCCGTCGCATAACAAGGAACGATCGATGTTGACTAGATCACGAGATTTACATTTAAATCTGACAAGTTCACAATGATTTTCGTCTTCCCCTTCAGGACAATCAAGAATTCCGTTGCAAATTTTACGAAGGCCTACCAATGTTGAAGAATTATCCTGGCAAAGACATCAATCGGAGTCAGTAAAAAATGTAAATCGTCCTAATATATTCAGCTAGAGTGACAGTGGTTTCTAACCCTTTCTACCCTGGCGGACCGGTAAAATTAAATGTACTCGCGGACCAGCAAAAAATCCTACTGTGTCTGCTTAAAATACTGGAAAAGATCTCTGCGGCCCATGCTTTTTGGCGTGTCTCGTGACCACCTTCAGGATATAAATGGTCATATTAATCAGGAAAAGCACGCAGAACAGAAAAAGCACGCGTGACAATTTTTAGGTTTCTGAATCTTGCGAGATTTAATGGAGCGCATTCGCGATGAATCGGAGCCGAAAAAGCGAACAGTATCAATTACTCGGCACCAAGTTGTCGCAAAGACGTCGCCAAGATGTCGTGAAATACGTCGCAATATGCGGGAGAGAAAGAAATAACGTAATAAACCAACGCAACCTCGTCTTCGGTAAAGCGATTGAGACGGCATACAAACAACAAAATTTCTCGTGGACCGGTGGTTCGGAACCACTGGGCTAGACTACTAAGGGTGCCTCCGAAATGCCGTGTCCCACTTTCCCCACATTCACACAGGGGTGAATCCCAATTCATATGGATGGTTCAAGTAATATATCTATCAGAGCCCTGATCAAACTATAAGTTTCATTATATACTTACTTTAACCATTTGTACCACAATATATATCCACCCTAACTCATAACAGTGGACGAATGTAGTTAAGTGGAATTGCGAAATATGCACGCACCCAGAAAAAGGCCTTGATAGTAGGTCAGTAGGATGTTAGCCCCGTCGCTGTTTGAAGTAATATTACAAATAACAGTTTCTCTATATCATAACGTCATGTTTTGTAAATCTCATCATCTCATCGAGACACTATAGATAGGGCCCCCCCCCCCTTTTTTTTTGAATTGTCGTTAAATTTTCAACAAACCTCCCAATAGCATGTTGCGAATCCAACTCCCGACAGTAGAACAAAACCAGAATTCGAATATAGGCAGGTGAAGTTAGAATAATTCCGACAAGTTGCAAAGCATTCGTCCTCCGGAAAAGTATTCTCACCAACTGCAGACTCAGTATGTGCCACGGGAATCGGACAATTGGAGACCCCATCACAGGCGACACCATAGTGGTTAACGCATCCACGTGAATGGCGCATACATCTAAAATTGAATAACGAAAAACATTTCCAGCGCACTACACTTCTGATATTACGATAGAATCAAACATAGAAGCAGTTTCGATATCAAACGATAACGTATAACAAAAGACCAATATTAGAATGGAACAAACGAAAATTCGAGAAAAATAACCAGAATGCATTACAATAAAAATGTTAGATAAGCTGATGTAATTATGAAAACACAACTCAAAAGTTATGATACAAACTAATATACCTGCACATTGGTTCGAATTGCTTGGCCCCTCCACATTCCATTGTTCCATCACAATACTCATTGCTTAAAAGTAGAATAAATCTGTTAGCAGTACATAGCTATCATGTAAGAAAATACAAATATAGTTGGTGTACCTTTCATCTTCAGAGCATTCCGTTTGGCCGTCGCACACTGAACCTCTGTTCATGCATATCCCATCATCACATTGTATTTTACCAAACTTACAAACACTGAGAAATGAATTGTTACATAGGATTTTTGGATGACAGCACATTCGAACTCATCAATTTCACCCACTCACCGACATTTGCACCCACGGAATTCCCACCCACAGATTTTAGCACCGGCATATAGATTGTACGTGGATGAAAACTTTCCTGTGTGCAAACGTTCATGAGTGCAAATGTTCAGGGTGCAAATGTACATGGGAGCAAAGATAGTGGAAAATGATTTTTGATGTACTTCCAACATATGTTAGAATATGTCACAGTGGCGGCGCGTGATCATTTTGACAACCGGGGCAAGCTACTGCGGGACCAAGTCACCCCCATCTAAAAACCATTCCATCGGTAACAACCAATCGGCAAAAGCGACAATTTTTAACGATAAGAAAGTGTCTTTAAAACCGGTCCAAGTCAAGGGATTAATAAATATAGACATAGTTTATTTTGAAACCTCTTTCAAAAGGAAAGGCAATATTTACCCAGATAAATACAAAGACATATTAACAGAAACTTCGGGAAAGCAGACAAAACCTAAAATAAGGTTTAAAACGTTACTATGAAGAAAGGAAAGTTAATGCAAAGATAAGGACATGTGTCGCTCACTCATAGATATATATGCTGCTAGACTTCTACTGCTTGAACATATATGCAACACGCCGCGGTTTCTTGGAAGCAAAATGCTCAATAACGCGCTGATTAAAGTCATGCATCCCAGAAATAACGTCTCTGTGAATGGATAAAACATACAAGGAATTTAATCTATCTTGCTTCATTGTGTTTCTGAGATACGTTTTAATACGCTTCAGCGTGCTGAATGTTCGCTCTTCGTCGGCGGAAGAAATAGGCGTCGTCAAAATGATGTCCAGAAATTTTGCAGACGCCGCAAAAGTAGTTACTAGAGTGTTATCTATGAGTAACCCATAGAGCGCGCAAGTTGATGTGATGTTCAAAAAAGTTTGATTGGTGTATATACATCGCAATTCATTTTCCAATTTACCCACGTTTATCATGGGGTAAAATTTGGAGACAGTAGCCAACAAAAGGATGGGAAATTGACGTGCAAATTTTGAAAATTTTTTGGGGTTCATCAAGAGAACGCGGCAAGGTGTTCAGTGCGCAGACGATCGCCTATTTGATTTACCAGAATGTCACAGCATTCCTTTGCAGACAAAATCAAACGCTGCGTTGTTTGCCCGCGGCGTAAAGAAGCACTCCATGTGTCGTCGTATTTTATTGTTTCCCGGATACGAGATACAGCATCGCAGAAGTCTGAAATACACGACTGCACAGACGCTCCATCCATTAGCCTTGACTGCAATGCGCCGTATAATACATCCACGTGATAGAATATTGTGGAGAAAAAATGAAAACTTACCATCTTCTAGCAGACGCTTTAGACCTGCCGCCTCCCTCACAGAGCGTTCGTCCCAAACCGGAGAGCTCTGAATGCCATTGAAACACTCAATGAGCTCAGACCTAATTTCGGACACGCCCTGCACCACGCGTGATTGGAAGTTCCAACGTGTTGGTGCACAAGCTGGGAGACGGCGGCTACATATCTGGCGAAGGAGGTCAGAGCGCTTCGGCGAAACGGAAAAAAATGAAGAAAACCCCGAAACATTTGCAAAAAATATACGGACGAGAGGGGTATCAAGACACATATTTTTAATAACGAGGTTAAATTGGTGTGCATAACAATGTAAAAAATGCGCATGAGGAAAATCTTCTTTTATATAAACTTGAACACCATGTTTCGACCCACTCATGACTGCCGCGCCGTCATAAGTTTGAGCTATCAATTTTGACTTCGCGTTGTAAGGCTGTAACACTTCTTTCAGTACAGCCGATATCCCGCAAGCCGTGCGATCAACGATTAGTACAAAGCTGTGAAATCTATCGGTAGGTTTACCATCTTTCACAATTCAATTCAGACTGAATCGAAAGGAACTGGCAATTCTCAATTTCCAGAGCCAAATGTTGTAAATAAATTTTATACATTGAGTCGAGCAAATCATTTTAGATATCCTTAGATGTCCCTTTCGAAACAGTTGCGGCATCAAGATGATCTCTCAATACTGTATCTAGGGATGCGGTGTATTCCACCATATCCAAAAATACCCCTCTATTAGAAGAGCCAGCCCGTTCATCGTGCCCACGGAGGGACAGCTCGTGACAACCAATGAACTTCAAAACATCTATCAATCGACCGAGAACATGGCGGTTTTTCTCGACGTTTTGGTTGTGCCGACGAATAGAAACCGCGCGTCCTTCATCCAACTGTGCTGCAATATTAACATTTCCGAATGTTCGGTATTTTACTGCATTGTCCAGATGCTCCATAGAAGATTGATGATCCCTGGCAAGCTCGGAAAGATGTTTAAGATCTCTAAAACCAAATTTACACCAACGTGAGTCACGGGCGGTAGCAAAAAGTAGGCAATAAAAACAAAAAAGTGCATTTTTGTCCTCGCTGTAACACAACCATTCGTGTTTTTATACCAAGTTTCTGCGCAGAATGTACGCCGACGCTTTCCTCCGTCATGGGATTGTTCCAGTGAACAATTTTTTGGTTGATAAGGCCCAAGACGTTGTACCTCTAATTTTTGTTCCAGCGGCAGATGTGAAAACGTAGTGCGAAGTAGTGCATCAACCTTATTCATTATGAGGTCTAAGGCTAAGAAATGCGAAGCCGGAAAGAAGTGAGGAGCTCAAAAGGAATGTGGAAAATCGAAAGCAAATGGACTAAAGGTCTCTAACTGATTCAAATAGCGAAACAAGCGACAAAAACGAAGGCGAGGAAACTATCAACTCTTCAAGCAACCAACGAACGAGAAGGAATGCGTGAATATGTCAACACGTTGTTGTAAGAAACGTCGGCATTGTGTCGTCATAATTTCGGGGCTAGCCCCGATCGGCCCCGATGATTTAGTAAAAGAAACAGAAAACAAACGAGACAAACGCGGCGAGTGGAAGATAAAAGAGAGAATACGATATACAATGAGCAACCGGGGCAAAATCGGCGTCGCCCCGTCGACGTTCGGCGAAGGCTTTGCGAGCGAAAAATGAACCATGTCGGGAGAATATATGGCTAGTGTAGACAGTCTGTGCAACCGATAATAAAACCTCTACAATCTAACCGCAAACCTTACGACTAAAAAACAGCACCCAACCAGACAAAAACGACGCATTTGAGGAGCATGTCTGACTTCACAAACAATTGGCATGTCAGTATGTCGCAATGATGCTAGGTCAATTGTTTCCACTACGCCCGTATCATGTCTCTCATCAGTCCGTATAAGATATCTCCCAAGAAAAGATTCTTGCTAAGAACGTGACTACTGCACTACTGGCTCGTAGCTAACCGGTCATACCTAGTCAGTGCTAATCCTATATTTCAAAATCAGGATATTCATAATGATAGCACATCAGGTAAAAAAAATAGTTTTGGCAAAACAAACATCAAGCAATACCCAGACCAGAGTCAGAAGGTTTACAGGCCCCTTTCCCGAAATTCTATTAATGTGAGACCCGGTTTTCAATATTGATAACGAAGGACTGGATGTAGGAAACACGTTACGTGTGTCAAAGTCGACCATATCTCCAATATGGGAACAGTAAATGGCATGCAAACAAATACAGATATCGCATTTAATAGCATCACTTTCGTTTTGTAATATATTGTCAACGTAAGTTTCCTAATGTGTATAATTTATTGCATAGGCTTAGTCCGTTTGTAAAAAAAGTGGTTCGCCAAAATATTGGTCAGGCTTTACCAGTCCGTCAGATGAAAAAGGTTGCCGACCACTGCACTAGTACACCAGTGCATCCTAACTTATTCAATCCGCGTTACTGTTTGAAGCAGTTTTTTAGGCGGTTTCCAAAATATATTAATGCAGAATAACACTGACAATATCTGCGTGTGATCAAAGACGAAATTGAATGGGCAATTTTTGCGGGAGCGTTTTCAAATCTCCGTCTCCAAGAATATCAAGCCACCATCGGCGTTCTAGCTACATCGATATGCAAAATGGTCGATGACGACTATTAATCATTGCCGCTTTCAAAGAATTATTGTCATTGTACTACAGACATAGCTTTTAAAAAGGGGATTACCTTCTAAAACGAATTTTGTGGTTTCATGCTATTGTCGTTATCTAGCTTATATTTTTCAGTCAAAATAAATATATATATATATACAATACTGTATATATCTGTCGAATACTAGTATGACATTCCCATTCCTTTGTACAAAAATATCTGGCGCTATAGCACACTAATATTATTTTTAAATTGTCCCTATGTTGTTATGACAATTCGCTGCGAGCTATTTAAAGCTGACTGCAAGCGTTTGCGAACTCAGAATAATGCAAGATACTAATTCTACGGATCCAGCCAAGTAGTTGGAAAACCCAGTATTTCCGATCATGGAAGTAAGGTGGGACCTCGGAATACTGCTTGTCGCTTCAACCGCGGCTGGTCCAATGCCTTTTTTCTATGTCGCTGCTTTCCGTTTGTCTGGAAATTCGTTGTAAATTTGTTCTATATTTGTTTTCATCATTTTATCACCTCAAACCTCAACCCTCGGCATTATACGCTCAGTAAATGTGTGAAAACTATGATAATCATTTAAAAATGTGAACAAAAATCCTGTCATTGACGCCTACCTTGAATTGAGACTGTTTTCCAAATTAGGGATATGTTTTGTATTGTTCTTCGTCAGAAAGTGCTACAAGTTAAAATACAAAAGGTTTACTGAAAATTACAAGATACAGCCAACAATCAATCTAAGAACAAACTATGCCAACTTTTTAATACCGGCACCTCATATCCTATTATCTTCGTGCAAATGTCAGGCACGTCATCCTCGCATAAACATTCATCTGATAAATCAGAACAGTCAATTATACCGTCACAAATTCGAGAAGCGGGAATCAACATAGAATTGTCCAAGCATTGAAAGCATTTTGCCGTATTCAACATCTTAGTTAGTTGATCTCCGAATCTACAGGTGAATAGTGAAAATATCAGTGTCCACGAATACAGGATGATTATTTTCTATACCAAATTGGGAAATTAGGTTTTTGCCACTAAGATGACACGGGTTTACTTGACAGTATCTGGTCGTTCAATTTGATAGTATTCTACTTTGATTCTGAATTAATTAGACGGCGAAAGGTTATGGCATGTTTTTTCAAATATTAAAAATTGGTAGAGATTAGTGTTTTAGGAGAACAGATTAGTTGTTTAGATTTAGCAACCACGCGTTTGATGTACAATGGTCCGCTGTATATCTACCTGTTCATAGTATCCGTGTCCACTTTGAAACATAAATCATTTCCTCCGTCGCAATCGGAAATGTTGTCATGTAACAATTGCTGAGGTAATATGCATTTTATTCCATTTCTGAGGCATTTAAAACCGTGGCCATTATTCCACTCGTGATCTTCTTTACAGCCGCTACACAAAGATCCATCACAGACTGTGCTTCTTAAAACACATTTTCCGGACTGTGAAACGAAGTTTACTGTATGTTCTCCACTAGGTAGTGTAAAAAGGTCTTACATTCAAAGTCAGAGAACTTTGCAATTCGCAAAATCATGCATCATAGGATTTTAAACTCTTAATTTACATTTTACACGATCGACTGACCTGGCATGTGTAATGTGAGTCACAGTGAAGATCACAGGGCGATAAATCGTGACATTTGACCTCTTCACTGCAAATAAGTTCACGATGCAAAATACATGAGTCATTGATACATCTGATGAAAAAGATATCGCATTACCTTAATTTAAAAATCACTTTTTAATAAAAAATGTTATATATAGTTCATTATTTACGTAGTTTTATCTTACAAAAACACTCTAAATACAATTTTCTGTCGAGTTAGACCGTAGTATATATATTTACGGTTAGACTAGAGTACCGTACCGTAGAGTAAAATTTATGTTATTGCAATTTATAGAATGGAGGTTTACATGTAGGTATTGGGCTACGGAATTTTCGATTTCCTAACCGCTGGGGTACTTTAACGGAAGAACCAATTTGAAGTTGCTAAACTGAAAATTCTTCCAAATTTCATTCTCTGATTCATTCCCATACATTATAATTACAATAATTCCACGACGTTGTAATTATCTGTTTTCCAAGTTTCCGTATAATTATGCAAATTGTCATAACCTGAATCGAATTTAGCACGGTTAACATTAAAAATTTCAGATTTTCATCAACGCTACAAAATTTCGTTCATAACGCGTATTTTCGTATATATATCGTATCGTGAGCAATACGCATTTTGTCTTTCCTACGTGTAAGAAAATTAGCCATTGTCTTTCTAGATCTCCTTTGAATATGATAAAATATTACCTTGACCAATTCCCGAAGCCGTGATTTCTAGAGGATATTGATATATTTTTAACACCGCATACCATTTCCCCTTTGCAGTATGCTGTTATTCCTGGTACACATCCTAAAACCAAATAATTTTTTAATGGCGCAATACAGATATATTTTTGATGGATTTCAATATTCAAAATTACAACATAAAAACAATAATAATAGCGCATTGCCAGAAACACCAACACTGCGTTAACACTCATCTTTTTAAAAATACAATTTTTTTACCTAATGTTGATTTCATGAAGTTCCACATCAGGAATAACCTAAAATATTGCTTTGCTACGGAATCTACGCGAGACGACAACATCTTGAATCGCGTTCTTTTACGACTGCCAAGCATCTAACGCAATATGTTCAAAACGTTTATTATAATAAAACATAGGCAACGCTAATTGTTGCTGGTGCCTTTATCATATATTTCTTTTTGTTATCGAACGAGAGTTTCGGTTGAGCGGTAACTGTTGCTTTGACGGAAAACTTCACTTCACTTCACGCACTTATGAATAACGACGCTTTGAATTTCTTAAAAAGTAGGCTATTGCGAAATCGTGTTTTGTTATTCACGTAACGGCGACTCACCCGCTGTGACTTTGAAAATGTAGATGGTCAGTAGTGGGCATTCGAATCTACTCAATCTGAAGTACGGTTGTTTTTGCAGAGTAATACATAATTAATTTTATTACTGTAAGTATATAACCTTATCGTAATGAAGGTTATCAACGAAATGACTTCATGACTCTATTCCATAATAAAAATACGTCGACGCGATCAAGAAGAAATTGTTTGAAAATTTGATCAATCGAATAGCGTCCATTTGTGTGTGTTTCAAATTTCTTTTACATTCATATATATTATATAGATAGTGTTACGTGGGTCACGGATAACAATATTTGAAAGAAAAATGGAACAAATTTTTGGTAAAGAGTTTGTTCTCAACATATGATTGAACTATCTCAAAATTAAACTAATGTAAAAAAAAAACGTTGCGCTGCCCTAGGCAACTGTATTACCCACATTCAATCTGTAAATACTTTACTTTCTTTTATCATTGTTTTTTCAGTTTCCGTTTTTACTCTAATTATGCAGTAGAATTCGCGTATAGATTGCACTCAGGGTTGGATTTACCATAAAATCACGAAACCGATTTAAAATTTCATGAAGATGATATAAGTTCACTCTTTCTATCAGGTTAACCTGTCTCAAATATTTTGCTTGTAAGATTAAATATTTAAATGAATTTGCCTGAAATTAAAAACGCTACCCCTTTTATTTTGAATCAGACTATGATAATCTAAACTAATTCAAAAAGTTTTACTGTAATTATGCCATTATGTTTTGAAAGAGATAAATAAAATATCGATGTATAGCTATACTAATTCCTCTAAGTAACAAGTAACTGATCTAAGAAATATTATATTTTTGACTAATTTGCATGTTTTTTTTCTATTTTTTTTGGTATAATATAAAATGGAATGTTAATTTTCTTTATCAGCATTTGGCTATATCGTTCTGTCGCGACAAGAATGAGTATTATGACTACGATTTTTTGAGCTAACTTTGGGAGAGTTTTGGAGAGTTGGCGCTTACAAATGGTTTAGTTTAGGCCTATATGTTCAAATCCACTATATATATTAATAATATTTAACCACACGCCGATTACAGGTGCTGACAGCTAATTTTATCCTGACATATCGTAGTTTTTTTAGGAATAACAAGACTGCGCAACTCAGTCAGGAAGACAGAATGACGAGTCAAGTCATTTGATTCAAAACAAATTTCGGAAACACTACTGAAAGCAGACAAATAACACGCAAAACAAATAAAATCGAGTGATGTTCACAACCATTTCTGAATATCTGTCCGAGCAATGAGCATGTATATATGCTCATTGGTCCGAGCGAAGTAGGTGTCCAAGCGGTGCATAAATTGTTACGTCTTGTTGAGCTTTCTCTGATTGGTCATTGTTAGAGGAAATGGACAAGGGAATCAATCCCCAGGGAAACCTCAATTCATGCAAAATTCAAAAGCTAGGTGAAAAACATCATGTATTGTAGGTGCCATTATGACTTAACAATATCAAGTAAGGACATGTGTTGTGAATAAACGACTGAAACAAATATTCGCGAGTGAAAATGTCGATAAATACGTGGGTTCTGATGTCTAGGGTGCAAATGCGCGTGGGTCCAAATGTGGGCTACGTGGGTGCAATCTGCATGCGGATGCTAAAAACTGTGGGTACAAATGTTGGTGGGTGCAAACGTATGCGGGTGCTATCTGGTGATACAAAAGTACGCTTTCGCGAATTAATTCCCCAAGTGCAGTTTACGAGTACCAGAGTTCAGGGTCCAAATGTGTTGTCCCCCTGTAGTACACATTATATCAGTTAATTCTTGATAGATGATTGTGCTAATACATTTAATGCAAGGTAATACACATTACCAGAGCATCAAGAAATAAAAAATGATATTTTCAATGTAATTTGCAATATATGTTTTTTGTTGAGAAATTTGGCTAAACATACTTAAAATCTCTAATGTGTCGATTTAAAATCTAGTAATATCCCCATTGAAATTCGCAAGGGGAACATTGCTATTTTTGCGCCTGGATATACGCTAGTTCCAACCACGACTAACATACCCAACCATTTCTTCATTCAATGCCAGTACTGTACTAGAATCGCATAACATTTCATAATCCGGACATTTTGTTCATCTGCTGTACCTTTTGCAAAGGCGTGTTCGTTCATATTTAGCAAGCATGTCGCTGTTGAACACTTTACGTTGCAGCGTGTATTTATGCAAGCATGGAATGTTAAGATTATCTGGTCTCAAATATGCAAGAAATAGCGGATATAACCTAACAACGAAACCACGTTGCTCACACTATTCCACGTTACCTATTGACGATGAAATATATGGCTTAACTGAAGATCAGTGCCAGGTAAGGTACCGTACCTGCTAAAACTATTAGTGATATTCAGCTAATGCTATTGATTTAAACATATACTTCAGTACTTAGCACAACTTATTGAAGCTATACCGGTATGAATTAGATATCATACCATGACAGTATTCTACTGTTTCAAGCTGAGCATTGTATCCGAAATTAATAAAAGCTCTGTGTATATCATTTTGATTAGTCTAATCATAGGACTAAAAGATACGGTAGTCATGCTTTATTTATAAATATGTTACATCCGGAGTGTAATATTTTCTTGATAAAAAAGTGAAGAAGCTGGAATTAGTAAACATGTGACAAAAATTTATGGAAGACAAATCTTTTTGATTTCATTTTGCCTTTAGCTTCTGGAATATGTATATCCGCCTTATAATTTATTATGTCCATGCTCCTGAAAACAAAAAAACTGCAAACCCGACTTGGACTGGTAACCGGACAAGAGGCTGTGATTCGCCATATGATTAAGCCGTCTTATCGGCTTTACTTTTCCCAGAATAAATATGTAAATCCAATCCAATCCTGGACTAAAATAAACAGAATCAAAGAACATATTACAAAAGTAGCTGGAGTATTATAGGATATAATTCCCTACAGGGGTGGTGACTCTTCTACGGCCCATGGGCCGGGGCACAGTCCATCTAATTGGGCCACATGGGCCATGGCCTATCAAGCTATGGGCTGCGGCCCCATCAGGAAAAATTCAATTATCTTACCAAAATTTTCAATTTTTACAAAATTGTCAATATTCAAACCAAAAAAAAAATCACGGGATCACATTGATAAAAGAAAGTAAAGTACTTACAGATTGAATGTGGGTAACACAGTTGCCTAGGGTAGCGCAATGTTTTTTTAACATTATTTTAATTTTGAGATAAGTCAATCATATGTTGAGAACAAACTCTTTACCAAATATTTGTTCCATTTTCTGCAAATCTTGTTATTCATGACCCACGTAACACTATCTATATAATATATATGAATGCAATGGAAATTTGAAACACACACAAATGGACGCTATTCGATTTATCAACTTTTCAAATAATTTCTTCGTGATCGCGCCATCGTATTTTTATTATGGAATACAGTCATGAAATTGAACAAACAAATTAATAGTCCCTTTACACGACTTAATGGGCCGAGGCCCCGGCCCATGGGCCGTAGGGGAGTCACCACTTCCACTCTGGATTCCCCGCTGCATAATAAGTCATTTAGTCTTAGGCATTTAAAAAGTCCTGATTTTTTATATTTACAGCTGAGGCAAACAATGACAAAGTTTTTCCAAGAGGAACTTGCACCATATGCTGATGATATTGACAAAAACAATGATTTTCCACAACGAGCAGAGTTCTGGAAAAAACTCGGAGATATGGGAGTGCTTGGAGTTACTGCCCCAGGTAACATATTGCACTTGAATATTAATTCCATAGATGGTCCTTTGTGCATTTGTTGGGGTCAAATTGGGTTCATTTTCATCCATAATGGATTAATAAGCTACACATAATTTTAATGTCTTCATCATTTTACAGTTGAATATGGAGGAACTGGCCTAGGATATCTAGAACATGTTATTGTTATGGAAGAGATGTCGAGAGTCTCAGCATCTATTGCACTAAGTTATGGTGCTCATTCAAACTTATGCGTTAATCAGCTTGTACGAAATGGAAGCGATGAGCAAAAAGCAAAATACTTGCCAAAGGTTTGTAATTTAATATTAATAAATTATCTTGTTATTTTGCAGAATTACTGTGAATATCTCTCCTTCTGCCATAGTCTTCAGTAAAATGACTCAATGCCTATATTTTTTCAGCTAATAAGTGGTGAACACTGTGGTGCACTCGCCATGAGTGAGAGTGGTTCTGGTTCAGATGTGGTTTCAATGAAACTAAAAGCTGAGAGAGATGGTGAGCATTTGCAACTTGATATTGCAAACCCAAGTTTTTCATGTTGTTAAATCATACCCTATTAGTAGTATTAACCAATAATTGAAACTCAAACCTTTTGCAGGAGATTCTTATATATTGAATGGAAATAAATTCTGGATAACAAATGGTCCAGACGCTGATGTGTTGGTGGTTTATGCAAAGACTGATTTATCTGTGAAGCCATCTAAGGGAATAACAGCTTTCATCATTGAAAAGGGATATGAAGGATTTTCTACTGCTCAAAAATTGGATAAGTTAGGAATGAGGGGTTCAAATACAGCAGAACTTGTTTTTGACAACTGTAGGGTGCCAGGTACGTGGAGATCCTCTAACTTAATGTGATTTGAATTTCTGCTAACATTTGAGTTGCTCTTGTTATTATTCAACGGAGGTTTTTTCATTGTGAATCTATACATTTTGTGGAGCATGATTATCATTTGCATATCTACATATGTCCTCTCAGCGTAACTTTTCATTCAGCAAAAAATGTACTTGGGAATGTGGGAAAAGGTTCATATGTGCTGATGACAGGACTGAACATAGAGAGACTGTTTGCATCAGGTGGATCTCTTGGGTATGTATGCCAAAAGTCCCTTTGGCATGCCATGTAATGAAAAACAATCAAAATATAAATCATTGATTATAATTAAAACATAATTCCTTATAGAACAGAACAAATTAGGTGGAATCGGTCAGGGTGCTCGCGTGCTAATGAGTGGTTTGGATCTGGAAAGACTTGTACTGTCTGCAGGACCACTCGGGTAATTATGATTTTTCATTGTTGTCTGTATATGTCATGATTTAAATTTCTTTACAAATTTTCCAAATTGCTTCCGTTGTATCATTTCATTATTGATAGCTTTGTTTTTTTTGGATCATGCAGGCAGTGATGGATAATGCAATTCCGTATTTACACGAACGCAAACAATTTGGAAAAAGAATTGGCGAATTTCAAGTATGCTTTCTTATCATAATACTATAGGCCAGTGGTTCCCACCTTTTTTCGATTGCTCTCTCCATCTATTTTGAACTCTTTATTTCTCGCGTATAAACTACGTTATTTGCTCAATTTTCAGTTTAATGGTTCCTTAGCTAGTGCCATACGTACAACTCACATTCTGGCTTTAACACAGTTTGAATGGTTCATAATACGCACAAATTATAAAAATACTGAGTAACTAAATAATATTTGTGAAACTACAAAAAATTCCCCCCCAGAACATCAAAATTCCCCCTGAGGTGGTATCCCTGGTTGGGAACGTTGCCGCAGGCAAAATAACCTATTACTAGACTTGAGATTGATACTCAAACATCACATTTTTCAGTTGATGCAAGGGAAGATTGCCGATATGTACACAAGGCTGAGTGCATGTAGAAGTTATGTCTATAGTGTAGCACGAGCATGTGATAAAGATCATTTTAGTAATAAAGATTGTGCTGGAGTAATATTATACGCTGCTGAAGCAGCAACGCAAGTTGCATTGGATGGAATCCAATGTTTAGGTAGGCGCTAGTGACTCAATCTGTGCGGAACTTATCTTTTGATTCTGTTATAATTACCAGTATTTAAACTACGATATTAGCAGTTGAAAAAATAGTTCAATGACCCCCTATACAAGTGGTTACCAAACCGTAATTGCCCCCCATAACGATTTAATATGGCACTTTTAATGTTTTTACCATTTTACATTCTAGATACCTGTCAATCATTAGGTCATTATCATAGTTTAAGCATGTGTATATTCGTAACAATTCAATTGTACCAGTATCTTCATTATACATACCAGTGCCGGTATCGGGCCCCTTGCATGCGCTCCCCTCTCCTGATCCACAAATATTCTTCCGCTTCTAATTTTAGCCCTCGGTGAATCAACTTTGAAAATTCCTTCCCTATACCATGCTATTGAATATTACATTTACTTTGAATCATTCAAATATGCAACTCAATCCTAAAATTTACAGGTGGAAATGGATACATAAACGATTATCCTATGGGACGGTTTCTCAGAGATGCAAAGCTTTATGAAATAGGAGCTGGTACAAGCGAAATCAGACGACTCATTATTGGGAGATCTTTTAATGATGCCTTCGACAAATAGGAGGCACCAACTACTTACTATACAATGAATGTTTATGTAAATTGTGAGGTAGCTTTATCTAGAAATTCTGGTATGCGAGAGTCCCATCACTGTCTGGTCAGCCATCATCATAACATTGACCTCAAAATGATTACTATTGTTAAATAAAATAACTCTTATTGTTATTCTTTTCATACTCGTTGCAATCAGCGTGCCAATGGTTTTGCCAACTTAACTGTGAGTAAACGTGTACATGAGTTGGTTTTGAAAATTGTCAAATGGTTTCAGGTATTCAATTTGATGACCTCTGAAATATGTAATTATTGTTCAAGTTAGACCTCATCGACTCTTTCGCATCTTCATTGGCCACTGGCATTTATAATTGTTCAACCGGAGCAAAACCTTGTTCGTTGCCAATACTGGCATTTATGATAGTTCAACTGAAGCAAAACCTTGTTTGTTGCCATTGGTATACTTCGTCCTATCATGGTTGATATGTTTTTATATATATTTTTGTCCTAATATAACCAATAATGTTTAGATTGAATCTGGTGTTAATTTTCAACTATAATATTTTTAGAAAAGTTTTCTCCTATTTACAAAATATAGTATATATATATATGGATTTAAGGACGTTCTCGATACCCTGGGGTAGCAGCGAATTCTTGTAAAAATTATATAAGGGAGTTTGAATATTTCAATGGAAAACCTGGTTTTATGTGTACCTTTCAGGCGATGCTGCTACCTTTTCCAGCGGCCTACATTCGTACATCATGATCAGGCTAACGTCAGTCCTATTAGCCGGCGGTGGGGTGTCTCAAAAATGTCGCGTCCCGCTTGTCCTATTTGACCTTCAACTTGTGTCGCAACTTGTCCCAAATATACTTACCCTATAACTACAATTTGTATATTACGCAGATCAAACACCGCGATTCCCTGCACCTGTTGGCCAGGGGCGTAGCCAGAAATTTTCAAAGGGGGGGGGGGTTCTGAATTATTTTTTTTGCCAAGTTAGATCGAAACAGCTAGCGGGTCCGTTCGAACGCTGGAATACGCGTGTTTTTAGTAATCTTGGGAGTCTAAAAAGCATTTCAAGCTACGGAAAATTGCTATCTACGATACAGAAAAAAGATTTTTAATTTTTTTCACATTTCAAAAGGGGGGGGGGGGGATTTTCGACCCGCAAAACCACCCAATGACTACGCCACTGCTGTTGGCAACAAAACGTCTGCAGAAATTGCAATAATTTTAAACAAAAGTGTAGGAATGTTGAGTCGCAATAGGATAGGATTTACATATTTGTCCCGGGGGAGAGAGAAAAGCCGATAAGACGTATCCATATGGCGAACCACGGCCACTCGTCTGGTTACCACTCCAAGTCGGAGTGGGATTAGTTATATTGTTTGTTTTCGGAAGCATGGACTTGGTGGTGGAGGAAGCCGTAGCCGACCAGTGGCTACGTGAACCACCCATCGACGGCGAGGAGTCCAGCAATCCTCTCGCACATTACCATCCCTGCATGGGATTCAAACCTGCGAACCCACGCAGAGTAATTAGAGGTGCGGTGGCGAGCGTATGCTTCCCAATGCTTAGCTCGTTGAGCCACACCGCCGCGCCGATAGATTGCATACGTAGTAGGCTGCAAAGCAATTTACGGTGCAATTAATTCGAGTACTTAACTGTTAGCATTGATTCTAATATAGATAGATGACCCCCTATACAAGTGGTTTCCAAAATTTTGATTCATTGGCAAATGATATAACAATACACAAAAAAGAGAAGGGCGAAGAATCTGGAAAGTGAACAAAACCTAGAAATAAGTTATAATGTATTATACGCATTGAATCACAAATATCAGTTTGGTATGTTCTGGAATGGCTGTTCGTCAGCTGAAATAATGATCACTGTGAATATAGTTCGCAGGCAACTATTTTGTCCCGCCTGTCCCTTACAATCAAGATGGTACCGTAATTAAATCTGAACACAGGTAATGTCGGTATCGGTATATCGTTACTAATGCATGTATCCCCATTCAAAATTTTGAATTGAAAAATATTTTTTCAAATGGTAATCACGATAGTTTAATCGGGTATAGATAAGATAAGATTTTATTTCGATTCTTCGCAAAATAAACACATATACACAAAAGATTAAGGCAAAGAACCTGGAAAGTGAACAAAACCTAATAAAATAGGTTTAAAACGTATTAAACGCGTTCACCTACCAAAGAAAAAAGAAAACGAGTCACAAACACAAACAAATAAACAAGAATATTGAAGGCAGTCATTACTCAGGCGTTTCACTTTGTAATCAGGTTGCGTGCAATCTTTTCAAAGACAAAACAGTGGATTAAATATCCGCTGTGCGTGTGATGCGGCATGTAAACAAACAGTCCGAAAAATCCTAGAATGAGGTGCGAATGCATGTTTCCGTTCCATGCTCAAACATATATCTAGTAAAATCTACTAAAACGTTAACACACCAATGTAAAAGTCGATTGTGAATTTCAAATATCAGTTCGTGCAGTTTAACCGTAAATATATACCACCACCATTACATAATGGCTCTGGTTTAACCGTAGAAGTATATATTTACGGTTTAACATTTGTATATCAGGTCTTCTCCATATTTGAGCAGAGCATAATTTCGTCCATCACAAAATCTTCCATTTTGCACCCATGTTGCACATTTCCAGTCTATCATTAAAAAATCTGCTATTCTGTTATTTGTTTATTGATGTCACTAAGTCTGGGATTCACTTCTCGAATGCATATCTTCGGCTCGAGGTAGCCACGTCCGCACGCGACGGCGGTCGGTACTGAAATGTTAATGTTATCTATCTATCTAACTGTAAGCGTGGCACAAGAACATCGAGTTTCTTTTCACCATCACTCTGTGAAGAAGAATATAGTTCATCTATACGCTAATTTTCACAACCTTGGGACAAGCAGGAGATGTGGAACAAGCTGCATACAAAATTTTCGAGGCATCGCCCAGCGGCGTGGATACGGCCCGACTGGATATGCGCGATTTCGATCAAGTCCGGACGGAATTTTCTCCGGAATGAGTTTGCAGCCGGACCATTATGTTATTAGGGGATTCCCGATATTTCCATGTATGATATACGTAAAAAGATGTATTTTTTGTCAACCAAAATTAGTCATCAATACAATAAGAAAGTACCAACAATAAAATTGTTTTTTTTTGTATGGACATGCGATTACGATCTGATCGTTTATGATATAAATTACTGATATTGGAAATATACCTAGTATATTTCGTTTCACTTGCATGTCAGAATTTCTGTTGGGCAATCGGTGCAATGCGCTCTAGTTTTATTCAGTATTACTGAATACCAGGGGTGTAGCGAGGAATTTTCAAAGGGAGTTCTCAAATTGCCAAGTTTGATCTTATCAGCTGGCGAGAAAACGTGGCTTTAGAATGGTTTTGCATAGGAATACTTGCTAGTATTTGACAAAATGGTTATTTTCACCTTATATTTTTGGTATTGTTAATATTATTTTTATTACATATTTCCATATATCTTTGCCGTCTCAGACAAACAAGAACACTGTGTAGTGCGCCATCTATGGTGAGTCAACTTTGACCATATTAGGCGCACTGGGAGTTAACACAGTGAAGGAATAATAATATCCCCGTTTCGCAGTTGACTTTGTCGGCCTCGTTGTACAGTACAGTTGCCGCTGCGTTGTACCGAATGTGTTGCGGTAAAGTCTGTGGCGCGAAGAATCGTTTAAGTATGCTTACAGCCATACAGTCCTACGCACTGTGTTTTTGTGAGTAGTAATCAGTACCGGTAATATTATCATTGTCAAACAGACTGCTCGACTGTCATATCTAAATACAGAGAATAACTAATGTGCCGTAACTTATGCAGCTACCGGTATACCGGTACCGTTATAGTCGGACTGTCCAGTCTAATGCTTCAATGCAGAAATAGAGATGTAATGTGCAAGGTTCCATTCGCTACCGGTAATCACGGACTTCTGGACTTGTTACCAGTAATCTAGTTGAACATTGAATTGTGTTGGTCAGTATGCAAGTCCTCAGTTCTGCAGTTTACAGGTCACCGAGGCTCTAGACCATAGGTTCTCAAAGTGCTCCGTACGGAGCCCCAGGGCTCCGCGAGAGAACCCCAGGGGCTCCGCGAGCTATTCGGTTACTTTTCAAAATACTGGCTTGGCTAATTTTGTAACTGTTCAAAGAAGCAATAACAGCTTTGATAAAATTGGACAACAATATAGCCTCGAAATATGGCAAAAAGGCGGAATTAAAAAATGACATTGTTTATAGGTAGGAGCACAGCCAGGATTCTTAAGAGGGAGGGGTTCAAAGTTGGAATTGGAAATTTCTACGCAACACTCTTCATTTAAATTGCATTTAAAGTGTCTTGTCGTAATAATTCTAATTGTGCTCATCGTCATTCACGTTTGATTCAAGATTACTATTAGGATTACTAAAATGAAAGAATACTATTCTAAAATAACATAAAATACCCAAGGTCGGAACGATTGTAATTTATTTATTGCATGCGGCTAAAAGGTACAACGCATGCACAATTGACTGTGTTTCGATTTCGCAGTTACTATGATGAATAACCAAAGTAAACCTAACATAAAACTAAATTTTGTGATTCACAATGTCTATAAAAGTCTGCTGAAACAACACTTATAGTGTTATCTCCCATTTTAAGTTTTAGTTTTAATATTTTAGAATGCCGCTTTCCAATCAAGAAATTCGAGTTGCGGATTTACCTCTTTATTAATTATTATTTTTAGTATTTCGTCGCCGATGACTATAATAGGATAACATGTTTTTTTTACATTGAACTCATAATTCCCCACGAGAACAAAAAAGCAATTATCGTTGTCATTGTGGAACAATACACGTATATGTCGATGGAAATTTTTGATTTAGGAAGAATAAACATCGGCGTAAAGATGTTTAAGGTTTAAAACACGCCATACTGACGAAAACAATCGGCGATTGTAACAAAATGCAATCGCGCGCGTTTTTAGCGGCCTTTTAAGTCTTCCAAAAATGTCAAAAGGGAAAAGATTCGACCCCTAATTTATTAATATGTTTGTCAAGTGTCAAATTTATAGCTTTAGTATATATATTTATCTTTGAAATTTAGATTCATTTATGACTTGTATTAACCCTATTATAAAGGTGTTGCATTCAAATTAAGTAAAGTACTTTTAACTTACTCAGGAATATTAATTGGAAAGTAACAATTTTAACATTTATTTTGGGGCTCCGTGAATAATGGTCAACCTTTTCAAGGGCTCCGCAACACCAAAAGTTTGAGAACCCCTGCTCTAGACCATTTTATTTACGTTGTGATACAACTGTCAGTACTGCAGTATGAATTATCACAATACAGCAATATGAAATTATAAAAGGATAAAATAAAAACAGAAAAAGAGTCTGCTGCTGAAATTTTTTCTACTATTGATACTTTCTGACTTTACATCAGATTTATTGTATAGTCCAGAGGTTGGACTAGATTTCTTACCTTCAGACTGTAGTGCAAAGTCTATTACTATTTTCAATAAAAATATAGTTGAGGTATATTAATTGATACCATGTTCTCCCAAAAATAAGCCTGCGTCTTTTTTCAATTTTCTTTTGAAATATAACACCAGGGGTTATTTTTGGAGGACGTCTTATTAAAGTAAAAAATTACAATGAAAATTATGAGATTTTCAAATATACAAAATATGAAAACCAAAATTCTTTTGCTCATAAATAACACACGTTTATTCAAAATAACTGCTGAACATGAATTTAAGCATTTAAAATGTGTGAGAGAGATTTTTTGCTATCGCCTAGGGTTATTTTAAGGGGGAGGGCACTGTTTATTCTTCACCCAAGACATTATACAACTTTACTATTGACCGAACTGTTTGTGTTCTGATTTCTATGCTGATTGTATGACAGTATGGTGATAAGTTCTTAGTAAAAGTAAGCCTAACTACAATGGCTATTGTCACACTCCATCACATGTACAGATATTTTTAATATTCAAATTTCAAGCAAGTATAGTTTGATAGTTATCTAGTTTAGGGTGGTCCAAGGTTGTTGGCCTCGTGGGCCACACTATTATTTTTGTATTGTTCGCGGACCACAATAGTGCCAACAATAGGTAAATAGTGCAATACAAAACAAATACTTTTATTGTCCAAACACATTGATCTTTATTTGTCATTTATCAAGCTAAAACGTGCAAAAATCTTACTATATCCACATTTAGTTCTACATTTCAAACTCTTCCTTACAATGAATGTGCCATAAGGAGAAAATGTCGTATTAGATTTTCACCGACCCAACATGTTAAGCATCGTGGTATTTGTCCTCCCATATCCAGTCAAAAATTTGTGTGAATCGGTCAGCTTTCTTTTTGAACTCATTTTTACAAAATAACTTACAACTTAATACATTTTTTGTAATACTTTTTAAGCTGGTTGCAAAAAAACACCCGGCAGGAATTATATTGTTCTGCCATTACATTAATATTTAGTTATCAGGCATAATAGATTCCTCGTTCGATTTTTATGTTTCTATGAAGCCTATTTTGTTAGCATATATTTCCAGCCAAAAAATAGAAAGCCAGTTAACAATTTAAGACTAGCATAGCACATTATTCATCTTCACTAGTGGCCTCCGATAGCCATAACACTAGTCAATTCAGTGACATTGGTGATGAAACAATATGGTTATTTTTATGCCGAAACAACACCAAATGCAATTTTTCGTTTACTCTCGCGCAAATGTGGCGCGGGCCACAGATAATGGAGCGACAGGCCACATGTGGCCCGCGGGCCTTGGATTGGACCACCCTGATCTAGTTCATTATTCAATTGAGTACAGAAAATCCCAATTAACTACACCCTAATATTAAGTCACAGAAACATTTTCAGTTTGGCCACAAACAGATTAATAATTGCTAAAGTTATTGATTAATTAGTTAATTTTGATTGTAGTAGCAATGAATGATGATGCTGTTTTGTTTCTACTGACTGGTAATTTACATTTTAATTATTAAATTGGAAGTGTCTATCTTTGCGAAAAGAATTTTTTGTTTTTGCCTTTCATGAGAAAGTTATGGGCCACAATATTTTCGTTCAATTAAAGTGGGCCACAAACGAAAAAAGTTTGAGAACCACTGGATTGTGCCAACATTTTTAGTAGTGCATATTAAGTTTGGCTGTTCGCTGTTTTAAATAATCATACATTTCAACAATTATTAAATGATAATACAAAGCAGCAGAACTCATTATATCTTATCATAATAAAACAATTCTAAGCAAGATTTGCTGTCATAAACGGAGCAGTAATTTTTTTAAATTTGATTTGGAATATATGTGTATATATATAAATTATATATTAAAAATAAAATATGTATGTATGTATGTATGTATAATATATTATATATCTAAAGTCACAATGGTATGGGAGCAAATTTCTGCAATTTCCATCATATTTGAATTGTTTTGATTGATAGTAGTAATGTTATATACTCCCAAATACCAGTATTTTACCATGAACAATGTTAAAATTGCTTTCCATATTTGGTGAATCTAATTGTATTCCTAATTAAGCTAGTTTCGATTCAACAATTTGGTTTTAAAACCACATATTACTGAAAATATATTGATAAGTTTGCCCTGAGGTAATGACAAAATGTGTCATTAATCATCAAATAAATCTGCTTTAAAAACTATTTTGGAGCAACATAAAAAATAATAACAAGCTATTAGGATTTTCAGTGTCATTGATATTTTGATTGATGCACTGCGTACCTAAAAGCTGATAAAAGTGACATTATCTTAGCAGTTTTTAAATTCAAAAAGCTTATTGATCTTCGTCAGAATGAAGATTTCAATCAATCAGTATACAGAAGAACAGTTGCATGAGAATTCTTAACTTGAAACTACTTTTTTAGTTTTTCGGTAGAGTTCATTGATCCAAATGTTTAGTTTGATGGACAGACTGGAAAAATATATTGTAAAGAAGCAGGATATTATTTTGAGTTCGATTTTTTGTTTGTTTCCATGTATTTTGTTTTCATTCAGTCAGGCATTGTTTGCAACTATAATAATTTGGTGGCAATTAATACTCATATTAAAATGATTAAAAGTCATATAAGTCAGTTTAATTATGTGGATGGAATTAGAATAGAAAGTTGGTATTATTGTTATATCCAAATGTAGCGGTGGAATAGACTTTTTTATTGCACAACAATTTGTTATAGTCTGGACTTGCATCACCACACCAGAATTGTATAATTTTAATTTGGTTAATAAAGTGCTTTGGAAACATTTTGAAACTAATACGGTTTATGCGTTTTTATTTCGTAGAAATTTTTTATTTAAATTTTAATAAAATTGGTCCAAGACAATGACGGACTATACTGATATGCAAATGAAGGAACGTGAAAAGTATTTGGCTCTAGATGAAGATGAATTACTTGCTGGATTAAATGAAGATGAATTAGAACAACTTGAACTGGAACTGGAGGAACTTGACCCTGACAATGAATTATTACCTGCTGGTATGAGACAGAAAGATCAAACAAAGAAAAAGGCCACCGGAAAACTGAACAGAGAAGAATTGATGGACTTTTTAGAAAGTGAAGCAAAATTGATAGAGGATGTTGAAGAGACTGTCCCATATCAACCTGGAGTGAAAAGAGGGAAAGTATTTGTGCAGCAGGAAAGTGTAGAAGGGGTATTAAGGCCTGCTAATTTGGATCCGGAGTTGGAAGAAGCCCTTGATAATGCAAGTGAAGCAGAATTAACAGATATTGCTGCCATACTTGGTATGCACACATTGATGAGCAGTGACCAGTTTTACAGTTCTATCAAATCATCAAAGATTGCCAACCAGTCTGGTTTCACCAGTGTAACGAAATGTGATTTGAAAGTTTCTCCTATCAATGAGCCTCCTAATCCAACGGATGTCGATAAAACCTTAAAACTGTGTCAAGAAGATGATGCTGAGCTTACTGACATCAATTTGAATAACATAAAAAATATCCCAATACACACTTTGAAAGCATACTGCGAAGCCTTGAAGACAAACACTCATGTTATTTCGTTTTCTCTCGTCAACACAAGAAGTAATGATGCAGTGGCAGGCGCAATTGGTGACATGCTGAAAATAAATCGGGTTTTGAAAATACTGAATGTTGAAAGTAACTTCATGTCTGGTGATGGTCTTCAAAGTATATTAAAATGTTTGACGGAAAACGACTGTATTGAACAACTCCGAGTTGACAATCAGAGGTCTCAGTTTGGTAATAAAGTAGAAATGGAAATGGCTGATTTCATCACTCAAAGTTCAACGTTGCTCAAGTTCGGTTATAACTTCAGATTGCAAGGTCCACGGTCCATAGTTGCTGCACACTTGCTGAAAAATAATGATGCTAAACGACTGACGAGAGTCGAATTCAATCCATCGAGCGTAGTCACAAAAACTGTTTACAAGAAGAAGAAATGATTTTGATTCAATATTTTTTTTATTTTATGATGTCGAAAATACTGTACCTAACGATTCTGCTGCTTTTTATGATTAGGACTTTCTCTCGGATATTTATCATCAGGACTCTCCAAGCATTTAACACTTATTATGTATTTGATCGTGAATTACTCGTTAGGTAAAAAGTACCTAAGTGGTGAGATATCTGCATTAAACTATGTAACTGAAAATTTTTAATTTTGGAATAGTAAATGGTTAGTGCAGTTTAGTGGCATTTTCATTGCTATTTAGTTGTGATTTCGCTGCTAAAAAGGCATTTTTATGTTGTGTCGCATAGATGAATGAGTTACATGAATACTTTAAATTGGTATGCAGCTAAAAAGCAAAAAATGCAATGCAGTAGTATTTTTCTTCATTACCGTGTACTGATAGTTGAGATTTGAAAAATGTTGAGGGTGTTATAGGGAATCTGTTGTAAAGTTGGTTTATGTAATTTCTTATAAGCCGGATATTTTCAATATCTTACTAAATTGGTCAAAAATTTTACACCAGTTCAAGTTTTAAGAGTTTTCAAAATATTATCGATAACATTCGTCGCACATTTCAATTCAATTTGAATCAATGATAATAAATTTCAATAAACGTCAGTAGAGCAGTAGTAGGACCATGGTCTGGCGACATATGAACAACATATAAACATTTTGTGCCTTATTTTCTGGAAGCTTGTCGTGATTTTGTTGCATTTTAAGTTTAATAAAAATTATTTTTCGATTGATTTTTAGATTTTTGGTGATACTTGCTTGAGCTATGTATTGTATTTTCTCTCATTATTCTAATAGTTCTGATGATAATATTTCTGATGAAGGGTAAAAGTGTTTTCTTGTTTAGAGCTATTGCACTCTGCAGATGTGGAGCTCATTATTGCCTCTTGAGTGTTATTTCGACACGTTTTCTGAGTGCTGTCATTTCAATGCACATAGCAGCTGTCCTTTATTCATTTGCACCCTTGTTTTAACGCCCTTTTAACTGATCACGTCTATGTTCTATTAAGAATAAATGCTTTTCTAATTTACTCAATCTGTGTTAATTAATATGATTGATATGTTTTTGAGCTAAGGTGTCTTATAGACCTTGCACTGTACATTAATATATTCGAAATTGCACTTTAATAATAACTCTTGCATGATATTGTATATAAATGCAAAATACATTCAGTACTGGTATCCATATATGTTACTTAATTGATGATGGACTGTAATGATGATGTCCTAGACAGGGCTTTGTTATCATGTTCCAACTGTACATGGTTTCAGAAATCACCTATTATTGCGTTGGAAACAAAAACGAGTGCAAGAGATTTGCCGTAGTTTTTTGTGTGTCTTCCGACGTCTCACCCAAGCCCACCTTTAAAAATTAGATGGATTATCATTATTATATTTCCCCTGAACCCTCGTTTCATCATCGCCTAAATATTCCCTAGGGATGATTATAAAAATCCTATTTGCACGTCTGTCGTTGCAAATATAAACAGGGCTTGCCAGAATCGATCAAGCTTCGTAGCCAATGACGTTCTTGGTATGACCACTACCGTGAAACATCAGCTCAAATCAACTTTGCCGAAGTCATCGGGTAAGGGTTTCAGATTTAAAATTATACCTGGTTTTACAATTTCAACTTGAATTTCAATTAATCTTGGATAGTTAGAAGCTAGAGCCACTTCATACGTTATGGTAAACTTGGCTCTAGCTCTGCAAATTTCACGGCTGCAACTTTCCAGCCCTATGAAAATCCTATTTGCTAGTTTATCGTTGCGAGTACATTTGCTGAATTACGCAATATATAAGTCGCAGCCGGATTCGTGATCAGAGTGGACAAGGTTAAAATAGAGAGTTTCATCGACATACTGAATGAATCTCTACTGCAAATATCATCAATCATGTCGCCTGCTTCGACTTAAATGCGATTCAGAAAGAAAAATTTCCGCCTCGGATCAAAACCAAATTTCGCCAACCCCATTCGACTTTCGTCGTATAGTTTTGCCGACATTTTAGTCAATTCAACATTGCGAATGTTGATGCCAAATGAAATTAACTTTGTCCTAAAACAAGAATTTCATTCAGTGCTTGGTTTTTTGCTTTGCAGAAGTACGCTTAATGAATACAACCATGACAAGTGTGGATGGAATCACAGGCGTAGCCGTGGACTAGGGGCCATGGCCAAAGTTTCCAACTTGCATTTTATTTTTTGAAAGGCGACTTTGCGGTATTTACAGTTAGACACAAACTCGTACTTCGTTTCCAACACTATTGATCTATTCCTGAGTGATTCACTGATAAGCCGGCGTTAATGGCTTACTATCAACCCCTTTTCCAAACTAGCCAATCGAGTTGAAGGAAATTGTGCGCTTGGATTACTTTGACAGTGTAGTTAGGGAACTTTTTTAAGATATCATTGGATACCAGTGACTGCTTGAACGAGGCATTGTTCGGAGCGAGAAAGTGTCATCTTAAAAAAAATTTCACGCCCCACAACATTTTGAACTGGCCGCACTCTGGGATGAAACAAACGGGGCAGTATATTTTATCCTGCGTGAAAAATACACCTTCGAATGATGACAATATGCCATGCATTTGTAAAAAACTTATCTGCCTGGTATGTTAAAAAATACTAGTCAGAACGGTTTTAAGTTTTAGTGTTATCGGCAAATGTATAAAATATCTATTTATATACAGTTTTCAAATCTACCAATAACACTTAGAAAGCCTTGCTTGGAATTTTCCAATAAACTTCCCTTGTGTAACTGCTGTGGAATTTTAATACAAGTTATATAGGACAATTAACCATAAATATGAATTTTCGAAAATCGAGTCTTTTCCCCTAATTCTAGGACAAGTAATAATAATAATGACGTTTTCAAATATACCTAGATTAAGACCACTGGGGATTTAGATGTATATAAGGAGAAATGAATAGATAAACTGCTATTTTTTCAAGTATTTATTATATATTCTGTGTATTTAGGAATTAACCGCGATTTCAACCATTTTACAATCAGAATGGTTTTTTTTAACGGTAGTTCTTGTTAGTAAACAAAACCGATTTTACAAGACTGATTCCGCCTGAATAACTGTGCGTTTGATTTTAATATTATACAACATTTTGCAAATGACCCTGTTCATGTTTTTGGGGCACAATAAGCTGCTGTATATTTTACATTCTTTACTGGCCAACGCGCTTTTTCAACTTCTAGTCTTTGGCGAACGCGCAAAAATATTATAGCGAGTCGTTATCGATAACAACCGCTTGTATATTTCAAGAGATTTCCTTTTACTTTGTATTAGCGAAGCAGGCAGTTGTAATATCAGTCAACCGTAATATGCTCAGCTCGACAATAACAAAAAGTTCACTCTGAGGCGCTATGTAATTAATTCCTAACTGTTTAATCGGAGGCGTTATCAGTCGTTTCAGCGTGGACGGCATATAGTCTCGCGAACATAACCAGAGGCGATTTCATGCGGTGTACTCGTGTTTACACTGAGGCTAGCTGCCTAGCAGCATATTATGCGGTTGCCATTCTGATTCACAGGATAGAAATCGAATCCAATAGTTTATAAAATGAAGAGTCGTAGCTCGTGTAATATGGTTTGCTTACAATTACAAGCAGTCGCTGACAAATAAATTGTTATCTCACGATGCTATTTTGTTTTTTACATTGTGATTTTATGTAGCTTGTGTAGTTATATTAGCCAGAAATTATGGACAGGTGGAATGGAAAAATCGCCTTAGTGACCGGGGCATCATCAGGGATAGGTGCAGCGATTGCCAAAAAATTTGTCGCACATGGAATGAAGGTGGTCGGATGCGCCAGAAATATAGAGGCACTGAAAAAGATTGCAGAAGAGGTTAATAAACGTGGTCCTGGTGAGTTGTGGCCAATTAAATGTGATCTACAAGTAGAAGCCGATATCTTAAAGCTTTTTCAAGAAATCGATGCGAAGTATGGCGGCCTCCATGTCCTAATCAACAATGCAGGATTAGCACATGATGCACCGTTGCTCAGTGGAAACACGGAAGATTGGAAGTCGATGATGTCCATAAATGTCATGGCAGTATGTATATGTTGTCGCGAAGCAGTCAAGCTGATGGACAAAGCAGGGGTAGATGACGGCCATATTGTCAATATGAACAGCACATCTGGTCACGCTGTGGATGACCGTCCAGACGCTCACTTTTATCAAATAACAAAGTACGCGGTCACCGCTATGACTGAGGGTCTGCGGCGTGAATTAGTTAGCAGAAAATCCCACATTCGAGTGACTTCAATTTCCCCTGGTTTAGTGGGCACCGATTTCCAACGCCGGTGGTTTCCAGATGACCCAGAGAGAGTTGCCAAAATACATTCACAATATGTCGAATTGACTGCTGACGACATTGCTGACGATGTAGTATTTGTGCTCTCGACACCGGCTCGGGTTAATATATGTGAAGTATTAGTTCGTCCTACGGAACAGTTACGCTGATAAATATACAGATTTGTGGCTGAGTTCCGCAGAGTCATAATGGTTATATTAATTTCATTGATGATATAGGCCACTTCTTGTACTAATAACTATATTCTACAAGTTCACCTCAAAATATTATTTCATGGCCAAACAAGTGTCTACTTTACTGCATTGAAAGGAGTAATTTTAGACGAACTTCATTTTCATATGTTAAATACAATTATATTGTTACAGGGTCTAACTATATTATTTAATATCATGTGCGAGAAAAATTCCACATATGCTTTCCGATATAGCATATATATGAACAAGCAACTTCTCGCAATCATGGCGGCGTTCACCCACATCAACACTCTAAGCTTGACCCGGTACAAGCAATTACTAAAACGTATTGGATATTTATCACTAAACGAGGCTGTGGGACTGTTTATTAACGTATGTATTCAACTACGCAACGCTAACAACAATTCACTGCGTTTACTTAGAACTAGACCCTGTGCAACCAAATAATGAAAACATAAATAAGTTCACCCTCACTGTCTTTCTGAACTATGCCTCGTACTCGTCCTGACGTAAATATGGGGCTTCGCATCTTTACATTCTCTCACAACTAGATATTCTATTCAAAACTACAACTGGCTAGAAAGTATGGGAACTTCATTCACACATTTCCTTTTAAATAGGCTCTATAATATGGACAATTACTAGCCATCGGGCCTTGACAGCTATAACAAGAAGTTTAGTCGTTCACTTCCACCGTATTCTCCGAATTAGGCGCGGCTCGAAACCTTTTCTGCCCATTCCTATTGTAGTATTTTATTTATGCAAGTTTCCGGTTTCCTATGTAAACTCCTGTTTAGATAGAACATGTGGAAGCAACATCACGGTAATGTTCAGTGATTTATTTTTATTAACGCCAAAGCAAGTTTTTTTAGTTGCTTCTATACTGTATACGTATCGTATAGGCTGGTACAAATCCAACATATAATTTGTTGTATGTATGTATGTTTATTTGCCTCAAAAATGTAACAGTATCTGCATAATAGTTAAACGGTATAAAAGAGACGGGATACATGTTCAAGACCTTGCTGGCCTAAGACACAGATGTGCGACATGTTTCAGAAATAATATATAACAGGAACTTCTCAATTCAGATTTGTTGCTGTGTGGAACAACGCCAACATTCATCAGTAATGTATTTTCGTGTACAGAGCCTTGTTGAAAGCTATCGGCACATAAAGTACATTATATTTGGTTCGGCGTACCCCGTACACCCTATAATCATGGTGTTCTAGTTGAGTTTGTCTGAGAATAATCAAAATCCTATCGCCAACCAATGTTACAATAGCGACATTGCTGACAGGACTGGACATGTACGCACAGTCGACAGTTCTGACATATGTAAATGACTTAGGCAACAAATAACCTACAACACATCGTTATTGGACACTTTAGTGGATATAACTATCGTTTCAATATTGTTTAATTAAATATTATTAAAGTATTGGAGAAATGCAGAAGTATTCAACGAAACTAACAAGCAGAAACGTATTACCGATCAAACACAAAATTTTATGCAGATTGATCGTTCTGAAATATAAGATATGAGACTACAATATTATATTTCTGGTGTATAAATGAAAATCTCCTGTATCGCATGCGCTTTGAAATACATTATTGGGGAAAACGACCAATGATCAACCTGAACAAATTAAAAAAAAAAAATTAAAATAAAATTACTACAATCACGTTGACACAACGACTACATGACATTTAATCCCCATGTATAAAATTACATTGCAAATAGCGGATTTTTTTAATAAAATGAAGTATTCACATACAAATGGTTTATGTTAAAAAGGATTGTAAAAATGTATAAAAAATATTATTCATTATATTGTTTTGTATAATGTATTGCTTTATATATGCACAAAATACAAAATTGCAGTTGTTTGGAAATTGCCAATTTTGTCAAGCAGGATTTAGAGAGAACCAAAAAACCTTTCTACTGTAGTGAGTAGTCGATAAAAATATTCGATATACGGTAAGTAAGAAGCACATTAGCATAGATTAGTTAAGTGGCAGCTGATTCAAACAAATATATGCATCTGAAAGAAATAACTAGGCAACTATTCCCACCCCTACATAGACGGTAAACCATACGAGATACCGTATTATTAAGCTGTCTCTTCGGCTTTCCATTGGGATATGAGAATATCCCGATATGGTTATATAAATGTTACGCCAGTTCTGGTTTAATGGGAACATGTTATTTTACGCGTAGGATTTTTTAATCTACCGTATGTATATTTTCATTATTATTTCACTGAAGTCGTGTCAAAGTACAGAAGTATTGCAGCCTGAGGGCAGAATTGCGCCGGGACAGGTTTGATTGACATGTGCAAAAGTTCATCTTGTCTAGAAGATTAGGGGGAGTGCTTGTCTTGTGTGGAGTGACTGACAAAAAGAATTGAAAGCCTGCAAGTCGCACCATGATTTCGGAGTTTTTTTCTGTTGTTGCTCTATCTGCTTTCATGTTTGTTGGATGTCTGGTTTCTGGTTACATTCCACTCAGCTTTTCTTTATCACAGGTAAGATTTTACTAAACAGGATATCTAAAACACAATGTATAACAACAAAACTAAGCTAAATACTGAAATAGTTTCTCACACTAGCAAATGTAAGTCAATTTCCAAAGCAATCCTATTTTTGATATTTTCTGATTTTTGATCACTTTTTTGTGTTGCACACTGTAATTTGATGTCTTGAATATTTCTGGAAACTGTCATTTATTTTTGAGTCACTAGTCATAGTCCTTTATAAAATTTGATGTTAGACTTCCTTGTAGGTGACGCTGCTCGATAACCATTACTGGTTTATCGCGTCTTCCTTCACACTAAAATGCATTTTTTTCTTTTTTTACTTAATCCTATTCGTATAATGTGTATTTTCGGCATGTGTAAAAATAAACTACTGATACTGATAGTCAAGTTTATTTTTTCCATCCAGTAAATAAGTTAACATGCGAAATTAAGACGAATAAATAATATTGAATACACATTTCACTGGGGAAGGGAAGCCGGGGGGAACCAAAGCTGGTTATCAAGCAGCGACACCCACTATTGTTTGGCTTGTAATTGCATCACAGACTGAAAGAATCGTGTTTGAATTTCCATCCAGTTATCACTAAATTAGGTTTAAACCAATGTCAGAATGTATTTCATTTTTGAAAATGGCAGAATGAGGTCATTGTTTTTTCAACTTGTTTTTTTTTGACTTTGTAAATAGCATTTTATATATTTTCAGTGCATACTGGCATATTTTTTTCTGAAAAGTTAATATTCGGACAATTGTTTGATTTCACGGTAGCGCCAAATAGTATAGTCTATTCCAGGGGATCCCAAACTTCATTGGCCGTGGGCCAAAATTAGAATCGGAAGGATGTTTGCGGGCCGGAAGAGTGTATCGCCCGAAAGTGCACGACGGTTTAGTTGGGGTTCAGGGGATTTACATTTGACATTATTTTGAAACGTGTTTGTTCGACATATAATGACGCTTTATAAGTATATAAGTATAAGTTTATTTCGACTCCATAATCAGCAATAGACGATAAAAAAATAGATAAAAACAAAAGTAAAAGTAACTGATTATAGAATCAGGAAAGCGAACAAAACCTAGAGTAAGGTTTGAAACGTACAGATTTTAGATGGAAAGGTATTGATAAAAGAAGTAGTACGTGTTCGCTCACCCAAAAGTAAAAAATCCTCATGTACCGGCACATATAACTGAGATATCTGCACAATTGAATGGCTGCGATAAACACTTGCTTAAGCTGTGATAATGACATATTAATTCTCGGTATGTACCGTAAATCACAAAACGGTAGAAACAAAATCAGTTGAACACTATTTCACTCAAGCTCGGCGGGCTATTTCAAATTGTTACTGGCCCGCGGTTTGGGAACCCCTGGTCTATTCCCACCTATTCTTGAGTTTTTTATTATCACTACAAGACTTATTACACATCTAGACATTAAAAATTACTTTAACCGAGAGTCCGACTTGCGCATAACACTAGCTAAGGAGATTGAATATTTACAGAATTTGAGTACTTTTTGTTAATAATGAGGTGGGAATAAAGAGTTCCAAAATAAGCGAAGAGGGGATTTAACGAAAAGGCTGAGGAGCAATGGTCTATTCTTAAGAGGCAGCAATATTTTCATTGCATAACATACGAGTGGCAGTATGGTGAATAAAAGTATGGTCAGAGAAAATATCTTCCACCCCAATTTTATTGAATATAATTCACTCGACACTAGGTTAATTTTCCATTTGTATTGTCCGTTTTCATACATGAAAGGAAAACTTAACCTTATGCTATACTATAGTAAACCATTGGACTGAATACATTAAAAGTCTCTATTCGTCAGATTCTACTGATTACATTTTCTATACATTTTTGAAAAAAGTTAAATATCACTAACTAAGGTATAGCTTTTCAATTTGTCATTACGTATTTTTTGAATCATTAAGCCCTTGATTATAATACCTCATATAACTCATAAATTGATGATATGTCCAAAATTGAATGAGGAATTTAATAATCAAAATCTTAATTTTGTGTAATTATTTCAGAGAAAAATTCAATTGTTTACAATATTTGGGGCCGGTCTCCTGGTTGGTACTGCTCTAGCTGTTATAATACCTGAAGGAGTGGAAACCATTTATAATTCACATGAACATGATAGCTCAGGTTTGTCAACACTGGAGTGGTAAATTATTGGTGTAAATAAAGAAATATGAGCCATAATATTCCTAATTATGCTTTGTACATTACATATGGCATGTTTGACGTCTTATTAGTATACAACAAACTGGAAATAATGTGCGTCTTGAATAGAGTCTCGTTGAAGACATTGTGGAGAATGTACTTAGGCGCACTCAACATACCTACAAATGAAGTGATAAATCATAAGAGAAGCTTCCTCGGGCCTAATCAAGGGTTGCCAGTAAGTTTGCCAGCTCCCTGCCTGTTCTACACTGTTCATGACGTAGTAGACTAATTAGAAATGAGCCTGAGTATGAGGATAGGTGTGATATCTAACATGGTAGTTCAGTATTTTGTTTATTTTTAGCTAAATTCCATGCCAAAGGTTTCGGTGTCTATATTATTTTTTTAAATTCTCTCATTATTATTTAGAAGAAATTTTAGAAGAAAAAAGGAGCATTGTTGATGAGGATGTTTCTCCATCAGATTTCAAGTCAGCTGTAGTAGAAGGTGTCGGTCACTATATTTCTTGCTTGAGAATATATCTATCTCTTGTGAACTATAACCATCTTAAAAAATGACTGAATTTGCATTTGACTATATTTTCAAAAAAATTTTTTTATCATTTTTTTATCAAAATTGTTTTTTTACAGTATTGATGTTGTGTACATTTAAAGGATTTTAGGGAGATTTCATTATGACTTAAATATGATAATATTAGCAATTCATAATAATGTGGCATTTTTGCATTATATATATATAATTTGTTTCACCATATTATTTTATCAATATGTACTGGAGTGAATATATAGATATAATGATATTCCACCATTTATTGTTTGGTAGAATGAAATCCAATTTAAAATTTCGCAGGAGAAAAGCATGAACATGAAGAGCACCACGCTAACAATCACAAGGTTGTAGGAATATCCTTGTTATTGGGATTTGTATCTATGCTACTTGTTGATCAATTGAGTGGTTCACATGGACATTCTCATCCTCCGGATATAAAACTAGGTAATGTATATTTGTTTTTCTAGGAAATCAGTTATTATTACTGTCTTATTATGATAGCAATTGAATGTTCTTGTGCGAAAATATTAAATATTAGAAAGTATATCATATATATTATAATAACAATAAAGTTTCCATTGGTATGAGACATTTTAAAAGGAGTTTCCTCATATTTTTGTGCAATCTTTTTATGGTGACATAGGCATAGCCCTCGTAATATCCTATACCAAAGTGAATGGAGAAATGGACTGGAGATTGAACTAGATATTCATATCATGTGATATCAGTATATAGTTTGATACATTGCACAAGTGAAAAAACAGATTTCCATTTTTAGCTAGTCAGTAATTAGATTTCCAGTGCCATCTAAAATTTCCAATTCCTAACTTTGTGTTTCAGACAATCTTACACAAAGTGTTGTTGGAACAGCAAGACAGCCACAATCATCAAATAAAGGAATGACTGCAACTATAGGATTAGTTGTTCATGCAGCTGCAGATGGAATAGCATTAGGTGCTGCTGCAACTACTTCTCGATCCGATTTACAAGTCATTGTGTTTCTAGCAATAATGCTGCATAAGGTAATGGGGGAATTTTTATATTACAATTGTTCATTTACTTATGGTTTTGATCTTGTCTTTTTTTAATGAACGCCAGAGGTTATAGGATGTTTAAATACAGATAACAGAGATGGCATATGGTTGCAATCAGGAAGCCATGTAGTTCGGTTACAACATGCTTTTTCTGTGTAATCACGCTATGTAAATTTTCGACAATTCAACTTGAATTTATTCGTAAAATGCATTATTTTTTTTTGGAAACTACTATCATGGTATTCTTATGAAGATGTGTCTCTACTCTATTATCCATATGGGAGTAGTATTGCAGCTTTCATTTGTCATCTTTCTGTTACCTGTAGCAACCAATGTGAAATACAATTTGTATTCTTAACATTAGGCCCCTGCAGCATTTGGCCTTGTATCATTTCTTATGCATGACGGATTGGAACCGAGAAAAATTAAAAGGCATTTACTTGTATTTTCATCAGCGGCACCTGCTCTAGCGATTTTTACATTTTTTGTCTTGCACCAGGTGAGATGTTAGTTTTATCAGTTTTAGCCAAAACCGATAGGATTTTGTATACTAAAAGTGAATACATTCTGAAAAAATTTGTTTCAACTGTTATTACGTGCTCTGATATAACCAACCCTGATAACAACATTATAAAGTAAATGGGTAGATATGGATATGCACGATGTACAAATCATTTCATGGTTGGATATAGAAATGTAGCTCTGTTGATTATTGGAAAAGCCCTTTGCCCTAGAAATAGGGGGGTTACCTGTGCCAGTAAATCATGTTTATGTTTTCAGTATTCAGGTACGACATTACACAGTGTGAATGGGACCGGGATAGCAATGTTGTTTTCAGCAGGAACTTTTCTGTACGTAGCCACTGTTCATGTTTTACCAGAAGTTTCACATCAAGCGTCAAGTGGAAGCCATTCTTCGGGATTGAGTCGTTTTGAAGTAACTTTATTAGTTCTTGGGTGCTTACTTCCTTTAATTCTTAATATTGGACATCATCATTGAAGCCTTTTTATTTTATCTACCTTCTTACTTTCAAAGATATTCATTCTAGTAATATGTGGTTGCCAAAGTTTAATGATAACTTTTTGAATACCTATTCCTGACATTTTACCATTATCCTTCTGGAAACGTACTGTACATCAAATTGAATATTCTCACAGAAAAACCTAAATATTCATTTATTGTTATCCATATGTAACATTGGAGGTAAACCAGCATTTACAAAACCGTGATCATAATTTAAAGTGAAAATGTAGCCCTTGTTTTTGTCAAACAGTGATGATGGATAGATACAAAGCACCAACTATAAAGCAAGCTTGAGTGTACCTAATTTTGGCTTTCCTGCAATACAGACACAATTTGAGTATTTTCGGTCCTGTATATGTGAAAAATCTTCATCCCATGACATTGGGAGGTTTTCATTTGTAAAAAGTAAATTCAAACAGAATATACGTTCCATATAAGAAATCTATCTTCGTCTTGAAAACTGGGATTTTAGTGTGCTTTTTTAATATTTATTTACAGTTTGTTTTGAACAGAGTGAGTACTGTTGAATTTTCATATTACTCTCGCAAATGAGAATAACTTCTATATACCAGTTCATGGATATATTATCCTCTAACAACTGTTCACGTTTTCAGAATAATCTTCTAATTTGTCAGAAGTTTAACAAATTTGTTTCGTTTGTTTTTTATTTAGTGCAATGAAGTGTGGTTTTAGCATGGCCAAATTGGTCCAACTGAATTTAAAATATAAGTTTGCCATAGAATTTTTTCTCATTTCTTTTATGATTGCAGCAGGTGCCTTGTTTACATAGGTCTGCAATCTTCACACAATTTTGGTGTCGCATTTGGGAAAGGGGCGAGTGTGGGTCCAGTGTAATTATGTAGTAAATTGAGAACTTGCAATGTCTAAAGATAAATGGCATTTCAGAAATGTTTTTCAGCAAACCTGGTTCGGTATTGATTGTATTTTTGGAGGATAAGAGTTTATAGTGTTTGGCAATATGTAGATTTTGGTGAGAAAGCTACGAGTGTGCAGAAAGGAAAAAAGTTTGCAGATGTGGGGAGAGCGACTTCTAAGCTATCAGTCTCTTGAAGGCACGCAGCTGCAATAATTCACACGACTTTTAATTTGATAGCTACTTATATGCACTTTTCTATAGCGCTTTGGTCTACAAATATTTTGAAAGGTATTTCATACTTCACCATGGTTGTTCAACCTCCTGCATTTTCTACTTTAAAAATAAAGTCTTTTGGTTAAACACAATAAAACATGTCAACAAGTTGGTGGTTTCACCTGATTTATCTAGGAGTTATCAATTTTTGGTGTACGGTGTATCATTTGATCAGTGTGACAACTATCATGTCAAGAAGACTAAATATAGATACAGAACTAATCGCTAATATACCATTGGATTCGAATACATGAAAGTAACCTACAGTCTGACAGTGCACAAATCTTGGATCGCCAATCCTCACTCAAAAGCTGACCAGCCTGGACAAATTGTGATGCTCGAGTTAATTAATCCAAGTTTTCCTTGCAGGGTTTTTCGCAAAATTCATATGGAATTCACCCCTCATAACAATAGTTTTGAAACTATAGAATATCCAATTTTTATGTTTAGATAATAGAATCTTGGGTGTTGTTGCTCAAAAACCAGTTTTGGTTCCTGACGCTTGCTTCTCTTTCCCAGTAAAAACATTAAATTTCCTTTTTCTTATAATTTGTGCACGACTGATTTTTCTTTTCCTAAATGTAAAAAATAAAATTGACTTAAGTCTTCCTTAAACCATCCATACTCTTTTCATCAAACAAAAAATTATTTGTCTTCAAATAAATTACTAGCATATATGGTGATCAAATGATGACTTTTTATTGTGGGTTAGCATATTTGTAATTTGTTTTGCACAACAATGTGAAATTGAATATAGATCTTTTGCAATATGCTTAATGAATGTTGAAAGAGTAATGGTTTGCATAGTTCAACCTCATGAGTAACAGTAACATGCAGTTACTCATGAGCAAAATGATATATTTGGCAGCGCTTCCTCTGCAAACTGATACAATTCGCTCATACGTTTCGTTGCATTTTCTATGTGAGACATGGATTCTCGAATATTGTATGAAGTGTTCGATGCAGAACTTTGACAGACATCCAACTTGCCACAGATTTTGTTCATTTTTAAAGTAGCATCTATACAGCATTTACTGTGCTGCTGCATAAAATCCTTCTGTAGTGCAAGGTTAATGCTTTTAAATTTCCATTGCATAAAGCTCTTCACCCTATTGCTATCCAGATTTTTTTCATCCATGTCAATATTGTTTTCACTGGCATTCGACTCTGTACTTCGTGAAGAAGCTGTATCTAATTTCTGGTCGCTTGGAAGCTCTTCGTCAATAACGACTGGTTGATCAATTTCTTCGTCTGTTTCATCGGCCTCGCCTTGCATAACTAAGCCACCATGTTTTGTGGAATAAGTATCACCTGCGTCTCCAATTTCTTCGTCTGTTTCATCTGCCTCGCCTTGCATAACTAAGCCGCCATGTTTTGTGGAATAAGTATCACTTGCGTCTCCAACCGTATCCATCAGAAAAAATCAAACGAAAAGCAGGAAGCAATAGCTGAAACCCTGAAACTACATAAAACACAATCATGTGGGGTTTCCCCCATGCGAAAGCAAATAAAAAACGACGTTTTGCCATGAGCTTGAGTTATTAAAAGTATGACTTTTGTGATGTCGGGAAGATAACAAAAACTTATATTCAGGTTTAAAATGGTATACAGAATTTTTAAAATAGAAGAGCACGTGTTCTCTCATCCACGACAAATAATGTAATATAAAAAACATACCTATTCGCTAACAAACACATTTCATGAAGTGCGGTGAATAATCCAATTAAAAAATAATTCAAGAACAATTAACAATATTTCATGTCACACAGGCCTAATAGACTGGGAAATATTGACCAATGGTACAACTTTTTCTATTTACATTTTTGCACCAGGACTACGGCCGCCAGTAAGATCGTGTTCAATTGATATTGATGGTGACCGTACATTTGAACCCATGCGTATATCCACGGGTTCAATCTATATGCGGGTGCTAAAACCCATGGGTTAGGGTTAGTATGGGTTTAACTATCCGTGAAACAAAAAAAATTCCATAGGTGCAATAGCATACAGGTGCAATTGTCATGGGTTCAAATGTACGTGGGTTCAAATGTAATGGGACCGATATTGATATACTCACTAAATTGCGTCTGAAACTTTTATGAAAGGTGAAGATTTAAGTTTACCAAATAAAATTTATTAAGGGTAGTCAAATATTTTTGTCGAATAAAACATATATTCGTATAGTTTTTATCAACAGTCGAAAGCGAGGCCAGAGTACTGAATAAGTAAAGGCGTATGCCTGCATGACAATCTCAGTATTATATTCCTCAGTAAAAATACCGATCAAATCGACATTGAGGCATTTTACATAATAAAAAAAATATCTCCAAAATAATCTTGTGTATGTAAATCCCAGTAAATTTGTGTATTTTTCATTTTCTCGTAAATTGGGTTCAATTGTCTGTTTTTACTGGTTGAAAAAATATATTCTATTCAATTAAAGAGTCCAGCTGCACACTAACACAAATGTATTTCTGTAACGTTTCGTCCGACCAGAGTCAGACTTCCTCAGACAAGCAGTTTACAACAATGGCAAGAAAGAAAATTTGCTAAATGAATTTGAAATATACTTATAATAAATTGGGTAAACAATGTCGAAACCAGATGGATTTCAGTAAATACAAATAATAGTAGCATCTCTACATATCGTTAGATATCAGTGACTACTCGTGGAGAATCGTGTAAGGTTGCGCCCTGTTGTAGATGTACTATCTCATCAATTTATAGTGGCGCTAGGTCTAGGTGTGAAAATCTAGGTTTGCAAAAATCTAAACAAAAAACCAACAAAGTGCCACGTAAGGGTCATAACCAGTGGTGGGATTCAGCCGGTTCGCACCGGTTCTATAGGACCGTCTCGCAGAATTTTATGAGATCCGCGAACCGGTTAGCATTACGGGTTACTGACAATGGATTTTTGCATCTTATCTGACACACCGATTTTTGAGATCAAGTAGCTCACGTGTTTTTTTCAAAATGTGAAATGACCAATTTCGCACTTACCAGTTATACATTGTGTTTAATTTCTATAATTGTATAATTTTTTTTTTTGTAATTTAGTGTGTTTTCAGTAGATCATACATCTTCAGGTTTTTAAGTTCATTATCAACGAGTATATTAATACAGAAATATAGACAATCCTCAACATCATCAAAAATTCCGATGCTAATTTTGACATAATGATGCTTACTTAACCATTATTTTGAAATGGTAATTGGGAAGTAATTAAAAATAATCAGTTTATTTGCTAAAAAATATGACTTTTTGTAATGAAACCGACTGACAAAAAATTTAAATTCCCCCACTGGTCATAACTAACATCAAACATGAATCATTAGACATTTGGATATCAAATTTCGTCCAAAATGACAGATACAAAGTTAAACTTTTAAAAATGAAACGTCAAAGTATATATATCATCATAATTCTAGGAGTGGTCAATGAAATGAGGAAACAGTGGGTTAAAACATTAGTAACATTTATGAGTTGTAGTTGGATTAACCCAAAAGAAACCAGAACAAAATCATGTCACTGCAACATTCTAATGTAGGCTACTTTGTGGCGAAGAATAAATAAAACAATATGCCGAACTTAAATTAAGTAATCTTTATAGATTTTCTAATACTTTATAGTAGGAATGCTGAGGCATAAGCAATACTCCATGAGATGGAGGGGTTGCGATTAACATCTATTTTCGAGTTTGTAATTGATACCGACTTTCGCTCTACTTTTACTTTTTTTTCCCTACTTTATTTTCTTGATTGTTCAATATCAATTGAGCATATCTCTCTGAATTTTGGTTTTCCCAAAACGACCCTGTTCTCTCATTATGAATTCCCACGACGTCACATCGATTCAAAAAGTCGTAATATTCGTTAACTTCTGAACCATAGGCCAACATGAAATATTTGATACGGGCGTGTCTTTTAGGTTCCGCCCGGAACATCGAGGCCAATTCTTGACTCTTGGATACTATCAAAATCGCAAACAAGTAGTCAACAGTAACATGGTGGCATCGGTAAATGCTAGTGATTTGCATTTTCTGACGCAAACGAATGGAAATATCGTGTGGCCACAGGGTTGTAAAGAGATATTACAGCTTTATGGGCGGCACTGATAAGAATAGTCGAATAAACGTGTCTTCAGAAATGCAGACGATATTCATAGTGGCCGCAGAGACAGGTCGTAAATTTTTTTATGTGTTTAGCGTACAACTCGAAAGTTTGGATGAATTTAACGAAGCCGCACAATGTAAGAAACCATTTATATTCCAACAATGAATGTGTACCGGGCTGTTCCTCACGACGACAGTAAAAACAACAGATGTGATGTTTGCCGAAGGCTGCATATGGTGGAGAAAAGGACCGAAGCCACATTTTCCAAAATAGATTTGCCCAGACATAGCAAAACGGTTTTAATGCACCTTCTCACGCATAGGGAACGAAATAAGTTCAGTACTGTAATGACTTCAAACAATGCGTTTCGTGATATATAAGAACCAGCATTTGGATGTAGATAGATGGCAGGCATAATCACACCCAATAAAATGGATCATTACTAGGATTTCAGAAACGGAAAAACATTATAAGTCAAAG